TACCTAAGCCAGCGGTAGAGGGCATGGGTCAGGCATGCTAGAGTCGACACGTAAATAATGAGGCGGTCGCCTGTGCTCCCTAACTAAGCCACTGGGGGGGACTAAGGTATGGAAGGTTGAAACTCCACGCCCAATATTAGACACAATAAAGGGTCCCGTTTTCTTGTGTGCCGGGAAAAAAAAATGAAAAAAAACCAGCAGGGGTGTAGTAAGCAATTTAAAAAAATGCATAAGGTGTAGGGGTGCAAATGACTAGTAAATATCAAGCTCAAGCATAGCATCACCATAAAGAAGAGTTAAAAAAAGCGGAACGCAATGGGTATCGCAAATGATACAATGAAAAACCACGAAGTCATGAAAAAAGGGACCCTCTGGAATGGAAGTCACCAATAGGTTGTCCTAATAGTGAAGGACACTCGAAAAAAAATCTCTAAATGGTCGCTTGGAGAGGTATTTCAATGCCACGAGTAATCTAAAAAAAAGAAAAGATAGCCAAAAAACAAACAAGTCACGAACAATAAAAGGAACAAAAAACGACCACTGACAAAATAAAATGGCCAGAAATAAAAAATGGTTACCCTTATTCTGAGGTTTCGTACTTCTTTTACCATTCCGCTCAATAAACATCGAATTTAGTTTATTGACTAAGATTAAATAATTTGAGATAAAAATTGAACATGTGTTGTATGACACATTAATCTATGTGTAAGTAATCCAGAGGGTTTTGCAAGGCATGATCCAAAAGTCATACAACGTCAACTTGTGGTAATAACGCCCAGCGTATCAGTTTTGATAAATACCTAGGCAAACTACAAATAAGGATAGGGGGACAACATATACAAAAAAAAAAAAAAAAAAAGGCACCGCACTGATATAAGAATTGATAAGAAGCAGAATATACTAATAAGAAAGCAAAAATTCGCATTGTAGAATAAAAAAAGATTACACACTGCAATTCCTAATGTCTTGTTGGGGGAGGTATATAGTAAAGCCTTGTGTTTTGAGTAAAGAAGTATAAAACCAACAAATGAATGTTATTAATCACAAGCTTTAGTAAATACACCCCTTTGGAAAAAACCTCTAAACCGTGGGTCTCCTCCATGCGAGAAACACATCTGAGCACAGGACACAAACGGCAACAAATGGCCAAGATCAAGAGTGTCAAACCAACGTATTGACGTGACTATTGAATGGCAACACGAAATGTCCACCGTCGCGGACAGCTAATGAAAGGTAAAAACTAAGAAACCATATCATAGGGGGGAAAAAAAGGGGGAGAAGAAAAAGAAGGAAGAAAAAGGAAAAAAAGCGACTGTATGAAGCACACGATCCGAATAAGATCGGGCTACAAAACCATAAATCAAAAGCGGGAGATGTGCCGTAGGAAAAAAAAAAAAAAAAGGGGAAAAAAAAAAGAAGGGCAAAGTAATGACAGATATGAAAAAATAAGACGGTATATAATTTGCGGCCCAGCCAACTATTCATAAATTTCGTTCATACCGCGCTACTTATGTCCCTACCATTATGATTAACAATAATGCAGGACCGTTTTTTGTGCATATTTTATTATTAAAAACTTTTTATATCAGTTAGCAGTGTACGGAACATGCAGTAAAAAATATTGATAAAATCAAACAAATAATAATAGTTGAATCGCTGGGTTCCAAGAAAGAGAATGACGTCGATAGCAAAATATATGCATATGTAAGCACATTCATGATTTACCTGTGCCTTGTTTCTCACACAAACAAATTGGTAACCAGGTAGAAAAAGCAAGGCTAAAGGCACACATGCACAAAAGCTTTCACCACATTCGACATGCGAAGTCAGTTCCACAGACCAAAAAAGGAAACCCCCAAAAAACATTAACAAAGCAACACATGTGCAGAACACCTGTCTATCTGCAAGTATAGCCGCAAAGAACATTTTTTGGTTGGATGATTTTGATATTAGGTTTTCAGCGGCGAGACGTAAAAAGCACGACGTGCCAATACTCTGGTGGTGTGTGGTGATTGTACATACATGGGGGGGATACGAAAAATCCCCCCAGTAAAGCTCTTCTTCTTGTCTGTTGAAAATGAAGAAATAGCTGGCCCTGAAAGGTAATACGTGGTGACATATGAAAGTGTTGAGGCACTTTGCACTTGCCTTTCTACCAGGAAGGATGCTGAAGCCAAAAAAGACAAGTTTGTTGAGACCGGTAACGAGTAAAAAAATGGTGACAGAGCCAGTGACGACAAAAATCATGCCACTCAAAAAAAACGAAACTAGATAGCAATAGTATGTGTGGATCGAGTCCCACCTACAGCAGCTAAAGAATACCGTGGTGATTAAAATTGTAGGTCCAGAGGTGGTGCTAAAAAAATTGTGAAATAAAATGGGGTCAATAAAAGGGTGAAAATACATGCTGATAATATTTTGTTTTGGATCCAAATTGGGGGTGTAAGTGATATGACCTTGGTAAGTGACTAACAAACATGTGATGTATGGAATCAAATATATAATGCCAACAAAATTTGCTCATCACAATTAATGACAGATGTTTAAAAGTATGAAGACCACAGGCAAAAAGGTGGCTGGGAGAACACACCAAATGGGATAAATACAGTAGAATTAAAACAGGAACTTAGAGAGACCTTCCAAAGGTGTTGGCCAGTTCACACTATTCCAACCCTGTCCCTCCTCCACGCGCACACACATGTCAGTGCCATAGCTAGTAGGTCACCTGTATACTACCGCTGTCCCAGCTAGAGTTACAAGGCCAAGGGTCACTACATTAGTAGCTGTCTCACAGTTGTGCACTGAAACAACTCTGCAAATACCGGCATCATTAACCCTGTGTAATCAAACTGTCGCCAAAAAATCAAGTGTGTGTGTGTGTCAGTAAATTTCTAGTCAATCATTGATTTTGCGATTTTGTGACTCCTAGAGTTACTAAAGCTACAGTTGACTGTCCTACAGAAGACATTACTAACTGCTCTATAGGGAGTGGTAGAGAGAGGTGCTCCTAATGGGCAAGACATAGTGGGTGTCTGAGAGGTGGTTTGGGACTCACCCACCAAATCTATTGTCCTCTGATGAGAGGGCAGACAGGATCTTTGGCAGGAAGCTCAATACATATATTCAGTACTCCAACACTACACCATGTGCTTCTCTGTTCCTCTTACTCTCTCAAGTGACTAGCACACACACACACACACTCTCTCTCTCTCTTCTCTCTCTCTCTCTCTCTTCTCTCTCTCTTCTCTTCTCTCTCTCTCTCTTCTCTCTCTCTCTCTCTCTCTCTCTCTTCTCTCTCCTCACTCGCTCGCTCACCTGCCAAAGAGACACTAGGCCCCTCTCACACGACTTGATCCTCTCTCTGAGGTAGTCGTTCTCTCCCTGAACCCGCCGCAGCTGCTGCTCGTAGCCGTGGAACCCACCACTTGAACTGTGGCCGTGTTTCCCCTCCATACTCTAGTGTTGAGAGGGAAGGAGGAAGGGGGAAAGAAGGAGGGAGAAAGAATAAGAGAAGAGAGAGGAGAGAAGGAGGGAGATAGAGGAGAGAAGAAGGGGACATGCAGTAAATAATTAGTGGTAAACTAGGATCACAGACCACCATGCACCCAGAGCAATGGGCTGAACAAGAATAAGTTATGAAGAAGCTATACAGGTTGTCTTAGATCTCTATCTTTCTATAGCTTTACAGAAACTACCAGCACAGAGTAACCAAGAGTATGTCTCCTACTAGACTCTGCACATATACCACAAGAGTTAAGAAACTAGCTATATTAGCTGATTGGGTATATATTATATTGGCTTGGGTAATAAGAAATGACTGAGTGAAGCGTCTTGCATCACTGTTTACACACTCGGCAAAGCCAGGATATATTTCAGTGGTTGTTGCCAACGCCACAGCACTCTTATCCGACTCTCCATGCCAAAAACCTGACGTACACCTCATACTGCACACAATACTGTATGTATACTGCATACTGAGTGACTATACACCGATGCAACACGTGCAGTAACAATATAGCCTTAGAGCGCCATTCATTGTGATGATCAGTTTCAGTCGGTACATGAGAAGAACCAACTAAAATCCTTCTTTTTTCAATCGTGGCAATTAACATGCGCAGGCAACAAAGCCAAGACAAAACAAGGTGCTAAAGGGCGGGAAGGTGATTGGCGCAAATTGGACTTAAAGTGGCTTAAAGTGCTCCAGGGACGTCTGCCAGTGAAACTGGAGTGAAGACGCACTCAACCTCCCATTCAGTGCAGCTGCCAGGAAAAGAGATAAAGAATCAAAGAGTGGCCTTTTCCACAGATACTACCACATTATGTACCTCCTCCCCAGGACTGTATACACTTTTCTCAAAAGTGCAAAAGCTAATGCAAATATTTTTCTGTTGCACCTCAGAAATACAGCAATAAATATATAAAAGAAACCCTAAGTAAAACCTTTGACCTCCAAACTATACAGAGAACTTCACTCACTCTACTACACCATTCCTATCACCAAGGCAACCCCTCTCCCAAGTATAGCTACTTAATATCCCCACACCCAAAAAACCTGAAATGCAAAGTCTCTAACAGTATTGTTGTTCTGCTGTCATAGGCAACAGTAGTGTTACGAGACATATAAAGAAATTGTGTCACATGAGAAAAGTATATCTAGACCCAGTGGCAACATATAGTACGTCGTCAGAGGACACACATACACGCATGAAGGTGGGTCGTTTGCCCGTGTCAACCAAGGCAGGCAATTTGTAAGGAAATCCGAGTAGGATTGTGTGGGTTACAAGGACCCACGGTTGGCGCTTGTGTTCCTGTCACGAATTTAGCTCACGTCGACTGGGTGATATCACCCACACACTCACACCCCTCCCCTCCCCACACACACAAGTATACTGGCATCTTTACATCAAGAGGAAGGAGAGAGAGAGAGAGAGAGAGAGAGAGAGAGGGAGAGTCCTACAGTCCTCGATGTTTACTTCCACATCTAATATATTATACTGTATAGTACTAGCTAACATACACATACCTTTTCTACCCCCTACATATTACAGACGTACAAAGCCAACCTGGCCAAAGGAACACTCTACGCCACGCACAGCTATACACCATCTTAGGAAGAGTGTTGTCTGTAGAGACTTATAGCGTCCTCACCTCACTTGCGACACACCAGAGACTCGGCGGAGTAGGGCTAGCTAAATGTGCTGAGCGTTGTACATTAGTAAGCAAACTGGCACAAACACGGCGCCAGAGCAAAAAGGTTCACCGGGGAAGACTACACAAAAACGGACGCAACATGCGCGGAACATCACCCGGACACACAAACCGAACACATTCTCCAAACCCATTCTCCCCCGTCCAAATGGCGGACTGCCGAGAGGAATGCGTGTAGCCCTACAGCCTGCACACGCGCGTGAAACACTGGGGTCCAGCTACAGGCATGGCTTCTCTTTCCACACAGCGCGCGCGAATTTACACGCGTTTGTTGGTTTCTCGGCGAGCAGCTCTAGAGCGGGGCAGGTTAGTTTTACGGGTTCAGGGGCTCACGCAGTCACGCACAATAACGACAGCCCTCGGCCCTATTCTCCCACTCCCTGTCTTCCCAAACTCACTTTCAACCTCTCCGATCCACGCCAGAACTCGGCTTTCAACTGGATTTCTCGTCGTCTCCAAAATTTCTCGGGCGCGATGCTAATTACTGCTAATCAGCTGTGTTTTTGCGGCGCGCGCCCGCGACGGACCGGCCAACAAACTGCGCACGCGCATTAAATTTTAATCCTTTCGGGACTGTGTTTTATGACCGACTGTCAACACCCCTCACTCACTTTGCTGTCATCAGCCTTAGTCACTTATCTCGCGATACAGACTGACAAGAACCTTCTCTTCGCAACCCGAGACATCTCGACAGCTACTCAAAACTCTTGAGAGCTTCGTACACTTCCCGAACTTGGAGGTCAGCTACTTTGTTTTCTAGGACTGTATGCAACGGCACTCGTACAGCGTAGCTACTAGTAAAGCGAACGAGGGAGACCCTAATCCTCACTTTCTACGCAGAGGCTTTCAGTAGCTTGAAGTCACACGAACTGTAAAATGCAGCTAGGACATGCATGTAAACATACGTTTATGTAGCTATGGTAAGGGTACATGTAGTTACTGCACATACATAGTGAAAAGACTTAGGTTGCTTGTTCTGTTGTCGATTCCCTCACTATCCCATTGAGGATGATGTAATCCTCACTTTCTCCTTATTCAGTGATGTATCGTGTGTGGCTGCGGCCCCGATTGTGGGCGGGGCTAGCTTCAACTCGCCCCGCCTCTTCCGGCGCAGCGGAGCCGTTTCTGAGCGGGTCTTCCGGTGCCTACGTAGAGCAGATGTACGAGGCATGGACACAAAACCCATCTTCTGTCCACAAGGCAAGGGAGAGGGATGACGAGGTCGATTATGGACTCTTGGCTGACTTCTACTTCAGTATAATGTGTACATGTGGTTCAGTGTATCTATAAACCGGAGAGCAGCCCAATTTCCTGCTAACACTGTGTCAAAACTGTTCCCTTGTTCCTCGTCTTTCTCGTTAATCGGGAATCCCTATTCCTGTGTATTTGATAATAGCACCCATATCTGTAGCAACATTGTTCACATATCGTCTCGTTGCCTTTGTCATGGAGTGTTGTGGGTCCGAATCCGACCACAAGTATATCAAAATACTCTTTTTCCTCATGTAGTTTCATAGTGAGTGACTACAAGCTGAATATACAAGCATTCATGCCTTTATATCTGTACCATTCACAATACAGTAGAACCTAACTTACATCAGGAAAAAGCTACAGGCGCTTCAGGTTAAACTGGGCAGCTTTTGCACGCAAACAGCAGAGTAATGCACATGGGCTGGAAGACAACTTTACTTAGCACAAAACTATAGGCTTCTTAGGTTTAACAAGGGATCTTTTGCTGTTTTTTCTCGTTGTGAGCTTTCCTCGTTTGAAACTGATCTATTCTTTTTCCTCCAGTCTTGGGATGCGTTCTTTCGAAATGCCTCGGCAGGTGCAGTCCCTGGCCAGGCATACTCCCCACCTCCCCCCCTCACACACTCCCCCTCCTCCCCATCTCCCCGCGTCACTGAAGGAAGCACTCACCAGTCTATGACCAACATCACTGAACATCTCAACGTCCAGGTACGCTTACATATACTGTTACACGTGTCCGATACTGTTTAGTGGTTGTGCTTTGAATAACTAATTTTTCTTCACATAATATGGTATGCACAGTAGTGTAAGCAGTACAATTGTGTTGCCACAGGCTCTAATTAGAGCCTACCAGATCCGAGGCCACAACATAGCCAATCTGGACCCGCTGGGAATCAACGACGCTGATCTTGACGACAGCATGCCTCCTGAACTCATCGCCAATGAGGTATTACTGTGTGGAGTATCCGATACACCACTTGTTGTAACTGCTGCATATTTTTTTCTTTTTTTTCTTTTTTTCTTTTTTCTTTTTTTCTTCTTTTTTTTGCCCTCCAAAGTGTAACAGATTTCCTATATTGAGCAGTTTACCGGTTTTCTCCACACAGGGATTAGACATGGACAAGGAGTTCACACTGCCAAAGACCACGATGATAGGAGGAGGAGAGAAAGCTCTGCCCCTGAGGGAGATTATCAGCAGACTCAGGACCATCTACTGTGGGAGTGTGGGTGTGGAGTTCATGTTTATAAACGACAGACAAAAGTGTGAGTTTATCATTGCCGTACTGTGGCCTATATACCTCGAATTCATGAATCTATGTTATAAGTGCGCATGGATAGCTTTCTTTACCGGGTAAATTAATTGGCACATCTCGCTCATTATGAGCAGGTGAGGGCAAGAGCCTCTTTGTGAATTTCCTATGAGATTGTTGAAGTATGCACGGTATGAGGAGTTGTATGTACAGTATATGTGCTACTGTATATAGCTGTGTACATTTGTATGTAGGTGATTGGATCAGACAGAGGTTTGAGCCACCAGGAGTCTTCCAGATGACTGACGAGGAGAAGAAGATATTGCTGGCCAGACTGATTCGCTCAACAAGGTCTCGGAAAAACACTGCCAATGTCTAATACACATTCATAAAGTCTCAGCTAATGGCACATCACTGGGTGAAAATATAAATACAGTGGAACTCCTCTAATCCAGACACCGATGTATGGATCTAGTGTTGCACTATAATAATACGCAGGTTTGAGGAGTACCTGGCAGCCAAGTGGCCCAGTGAGAAGAGGTTTGGTCTGGAGGGATGCGAGGTGATGATTCCCGCCATGAAAGAGATCATTGACCACTCCACCGTTCGCGGAGTCGAGTCCTACGTCATTGGAATGCCTCACAGGTATAATTGATGTTCAGCAACTTTTTGTAGCATGCATACATCTTTAGGCTAGGTTCACAATATGTCACATGTCGCGTCCTGCTGCACACAGCTTTGCACTGCATTGGTATCATGCTTCTGCTAAGTTAATGTGGTACACGTAGCTCAAGAAGGCAGAGTGTCGTTGGTTTTTGAGTCTCACCCAGTGCAGCTCTTTTATTTTCTTTGCCGGTGTATTACTTTCACAGATGTGGACATGATAGCTTTTGTGTGTACAACGAACAATTATGTTTTGCTTTTTATGCCGATACGTAATGCTAGGATTAATGTGTGTGTGTCGTTTGTCGCATGTGAAGGGGTCGTCTGAATGTTCTGGCAAACGTGGCCCGGACCCCCCTGGAGAGAATTTTCCACGAGTTCAACCCCATGTTGGACCCCCAGGACGAGGGGATGGGGGACGTGAAGTACCACCTGGGGACCACAAACACCGTCCTCAACCACTTCTCAGAGAGAGAAATTACGGTCTCTCTGGTTGCCAACCCTTCACATCTAGAAGGTTAGGTTTTTTCTCTCATCATGAAAATTGTCTGAATTAGTGAAACCATTAGTTCTCTTTTACCCCTCTCTCCCTCCCTTTCCGTGCTTTCAATTTCCCTTTTACACACTCCTTTATAATTACACTCTCTCCCTCCTTATAATATTTTGCTTTCCCTTCCTCTCTTTTCCTTCCTCTGTTCGTTCTTTCTCCCCTCTCCTCCCTCTCTTCTTTCTCCCTCCTCCCTCTCTTCTTTCTCCCTCTCTCCCTTCCTCTCTTCTCTCTCCCCTCTCCTCTCTCTTCTTTCTCCCCTCTCCTCCACTATCTTCTCTCTCCCTCCTCCCTCTCCTCTCTCTCTCCCTCCTCCCTCTCCTCTCTCAACAGCTGTAGATCCAGTAGTACAAGGAAAGACAAGAGCCACACAGTTTCGGAGAAACGACGAGAGTGGAAAGACTTGCATGAGCATTCTCCTCCATGGAGATGCTGCTTTTGCAGGTACACTATATACACACATATGTATGTATTTGACATATTAATAGACTCTTGTAGATGAAAGTGATGCTGTAACAAGTTAAGCAAGTTAGAATGTTATGTATGAATGTTTGCTCATAACCAGCCGCTGACACATAAATGTGTCCAGAGCCCCCATAAGTCTATAAGAATTTATATGGGGGTTATTATATACTAGGCACTAATACTTTATACTTCAAATTCGGCTTATTAAAACAGATACCCATGGCGCCCAAAGGGACAAGAAATGTGTTGCTAAGAGAGTACCTTTCAACAGAGAACAGATAAAGAAGGAAATCTTTTCTTATACTGCTCGTTCAACACACCTCTGTTATGTAAAGGACACTTTATAATTGTCCCATGGTGTCCATTGTTCAGATATTTCCCACTGTATGCGCGAAAGCCTTCTCCCTCTAAAGTTTCTTTCGTGCTATACACAGTAACTGTACAGGGTCTACTGTATCTCCTGCAGGTCAGGGGGTGGTGTACGAGACCTTTCATCTGTCAGACCTCCCGGACTACACCACCCACGGGACCGTCCACATGGTCGTCAACAACCAGATTGGTTTCACCACGGACCCTCGCGTGGCCCGCTCCTCGCCTTACTGCACCGACGTCGCTAAGGTCACCTGCTGCAATATTAGCAATGTCTATCCATTTAATCCCATTCCTATGCTGCGTGCATTACAGTCTCAATCCTGTACCAGCTCGCGTACGCTACGCATGCACATGGGGACGCGCGTGTTAATGACAACAGTGCGCTTTACAACCAAAGATGATGCGCTGCAATGAGGGTGCAGACAATAAGTTACAAACGTTGCCATTGACGACAGATACAACAACAGTGGGCATCATTTGGAGTAATCAAACCAGGACTTGACCAGCATGCCACATGCTGCGCTTAAAACAACTGCAGGTGTTATAAAATGTGTGCATCTGTCAACAACGAGGTCTCAAGGCAAAAGGCAATGCAAACGAGGTCCATGCGTGGGTAGATTATGATTGTGAGCGTTCGTGTACTTTCTTCCCACACATTGAAATGCTCTGTGTTCTAACATATGTATAGCTAGGGCCTACACATACACAGCGTGTATGTTCTCTATGCAACGTACAGACATGTATTACCACAAAAGTAAGTGAGTGTACACTATATTATATTCATACTAAATAAGGTCTACTGTTTTTTGCGACGTTTTAGGCATTCAATTGCATTTGTTAATCGTGTATACTACATGCTGCATAAAGCAGTTTGAATGTGCACGAGTGTGGATGCCAACAATTAGGTTCCTTTGTGAGTGATTTGACTGTTAACCCTCTGATTAGCGGGCCGCTGAATTGCGTCTGAACTTCTTTCATGTCTGATACCTAAACCCAGTTTTTCTGGCACAGGTTTGCCCCAAACTGAGGTGTAACCTATACGTACACAAATTTATCACCGGGCAAAAGCTTTGGTTGGTTGTATGGCACTTTAATAAGTGGCCTGATTAATCCGGGGTTTGGTAATAATAATTGATTTCTGGTTTCATTCCGAACAAAAAAGCTCTATCTATAATATTATTATTGTTGCATAGTAAATCTCAGTTGTTTTGACTACCTTACATAAGGGCAACGTAAATTTGGTGAGTAAGAGACAAAATTCTCATGTAACTTAAGTGTATTAGTTATATATGTACATAGGGCGTACACACTTGCATACACAGCTTTCCTCACTGGGTTACGTCGGATTGATTAATCCACCACACATCTCGCTCCCGATCTCACGCCTGGTAGACTCAAAGAATGGTGATGAGTGTGTCGTCAGAAAGAGGGGAAGAATAGAAAGAAATATCAGATCTAAGTATTTAACTTCAAGTGTATTGGGTCCATACTGTTTGTACTACTGTATGGACCAGTTTGCATGAAAATGAGAAATGTTTAAAACGCTGTTCATCCTCACAAAATACTAAAACACTGTTGATCCTCAGGTGGTATCAGCTCCGATATTTCACGTCAATGCCGATGATCCTGAGGCCGTCTTGCACGTCTGTCGGGTCGCCACCGAGTGGCGGGCAACATTTGGAAAAGACGTCGTTATTGACCTGGTGTGCTACCGTCGCCACGGACACAACGAGATGGACGAACCCTCACTTACACAGGTATAATTACCGTTCAAGCAAGACATTTTGTGTCATTTACTTTTCTCGCCTCCCTCCTCCTCTTTTTCGTCCCCTCAGCCGCTCATGTACAAGCAGATTAAGAAACACGAAAAACTGGTGGAAATGTATGCCAGGAAACTTGTAGAAGGCAATGTTGTCACTCAGGAGGATTACGAGGTACATGGCACAACTTTCTCCATCCACAGTTTAAGTAGCATGTTAATAATGAGCAAAGTTGATTGTGAAAGGGTGAAATATGATCATGTATGTACCCCTGTAGCTATCAAATGTAAGAGTATACCTCTGCTGGTCGTATTTCATCGTTCCCTTGTGTTACGTCCAATGATGTCACACACACACACACACGCACACGCACACGCGCACACGCACACACATGCACCCATAGAAAGAGAAGAACAAGTATGACCAGATCTGTAAAGATGCCTACGAGAGGGCACCAAAGATTGTCCCCTTCCACAGAGACTGGCTGGACTCCCCGTGGAAAGGTTTACATACATACATACATACATACATACATACATACATACATACATACATACATACATACATACATACATACATACATACATACATACATACATACATACATACATACATACATACATACATACATACATACATACATACATACATACATACATACATAAATACATACACTGTACAGGCGAACCTCTGAATAAGGGACACCTTCGGGACATCAATCTGCCCTATTTCCCAACGGTCCGGTAATAATTTACACTACTGTGTATGAGGCAGTACCAACATTCATTTTCAATCCGTGATTGTGCCTTCGGTATATGAGCAAAGTAGGCATTAGTAACAAAATTGAGGCACCCAATATGAGCAAAGTAGGCATTAGTACACAAAATTGAGGCACCCAATGCTCCTTTTGATTTACCAGTACAGAGTAAGTAATGCAAAGTTTCCTTCTCCATGATAATGCCAGGAGTGTTCTCAGACGAAGGGACACCTCTGGAGGCAACCGGTGCCATCCCGTCGACTGGCATCTCGCGCCAGAGGATCTCCCACATTGGCAACGTCTACAGCTCTCTGCCTGATGACTTTGAGGAACATAGAGGTTTGCTTCCAGCAGTCCAGCATTAAAGGGAATATGTCAGTACATAAGATCTAAAAACATTACAAAGATAGAACTAAGCAATAGGGCCCAGTGCAAGAATGCACGTTTGCTTTACATACGGCCACATTTCCTTTGAATAGGCTACTGTCCCAATATAATGTTGGTGAATTTTTGAAGTTTGAGACTCACAATGTTTGCGGAAGGCAAGTGCACGTGAAGGGCACTCAAACTATAGAAGAGATGTCCTTGGTGGGACTCAAACCCCACTTCTTGTGCACACATCCATTGAGAGAGATTTACTCACTTGCTGTGCGAATTTGCAGATTCATACTTGTGTGATAAATGAATGTTGCCGCAAAATGTTTAGATTCAGCATGCAATATTACACGAACTCCCTTTCACGAAACCTTCAAAGTCTATACATACACACACACACACACACACACACATGGTGACAATCTTCGATGAACTCTCAGTTGACAACTGTACTGCTGCTTGCAGGCATCAAGAGAGTGTTGGCGGAGAGACGTAAGATGCTGGGGGAGGAGGAGTGCGACTGGGCCATTGGAGAGGCTCTGGCATTCGGGTCTCTCCTGGAGGAGGGAGTACACGTGAGGCTGTCAGGGCAGGACGTGGAGAGAGGGACCTTCTCCCACAGACACCACGTGATCCACGACCAGAAGGTCGATAGGAGGCAGTACCGGTGAATGATCCTACTGTCTGACGCACATGCAGCAGCAGGGAATATATGGCAGAATCCTCTCAAGGATATATAATACTCCTGAAATGAGGACACCTGGAGTATGAGGACACATCTCCAATGAGGACACCTTTTATCGTCCAAAATAATGCATGCAATTTAACCCAAGGAGGAAGGGGTGAGTACCTCTCACCCCTTCCCTCCTGACATGACTTTGACCACTTCACCGAACATCTCACTTCTTGAGATTGACGTGTGGATTAGAGGGGTTCAACTGTGCAGTGTATGCGTGTATAGTGAAATTCTCTTTTAATTCCCCATCTCGCCTCTACCTAGCTTCTATCTTGCTGTTCCCAACTCTTATGTTGCCGTTCCCATTATAGTCTCGCCTATACATATCTCACATTCACTTCCATGTCTCGCCTCTTATTTCCTGTTCGAGCTTCCCAATCTCACCCGGATTTCTAACCCCCCCTTAGTCCCCTGGAGCACATCTCCCCGGACCAGGCCAGGTACACAGTCTGCAACAGCTCTCTCTCCGAGTTTGCAGTTCTCGGGCTTCGAGCTCGGGTTCTCCATGAGTGATCCCAACTACCTCGTCTGCTGGGAGGCTCAGTTTGGAGACTTCCACAACAACGCTCAGGTCTTCATACAATATATACTGTTGTGTACCGCCGCGGAACCTTTTATATTTGTCACAATCTCTCTATGCATAAACCCTCAACAAACCTCCCCCGCCCACAGTGTATCATCGACCAGTTCATATCGTCAGGTCAGGAGAAGTGGGTGAGACAGAGTGGACTGGTAATGCTCTTGCCTCATGGGTAAGCATTTTTTTACTTGGGATGCACCATGAGCTTATCGGTGGAAATTTACGCCGTGGCAATTCAAACACACTGTGTTAGAACAATACTCGACTCTACTGAATCCAAGCAAATGCCATAAGCTTATCCATGATCAAACGCAGGTGCAGTTTAGTAACCTGTACATTTCTACAATAACCAACTCCACTGCATGATGAATCAGGTATGAAGGGATGGGCCCGGAGCACAGTTCAGCAAGACTGGAGCGGTTCCTGCAGCTCTGTTCAGACGACGCAGACTGCCAGCCAGACATTGACAACCCTGCCTTCGAATACGACCAGCTCTACAGCTGTAACATGCAGGTTAGATCAGATCACTCGTTGCATTGCCTTTTCTTGGTGTTCCAGCTCAGGTTACATTGTACACAAGACAAAATATATATTCTTGCGTTGGGCCATGCATTTTGTTCTCTTTTCTTGTCCTCATTCGGAATGTTTAGCTAAACGTTTCTTTTTTTCAACTTTCTTTGAGAAGCTTTCGATTTTGCATCGGGTTTTCGTTTACATACATACACATACACATTTCCTAGTTACACACGTAACTGTTTCTCTTGTATCTACACGTGTGTCTGTTTTTGTATCTCTGTCTGTCTGCAGGTGATCAACTGTACAACTCCCAGCAACTATTTCCACGCTCTGAGGAGACAAGTCAAGAAGCCTTTCAGAAAACCAGTCAGTCTATAATATATAGGCTCAGTGTTACTTGTGCACAGTTTATCCTGCATTGCCGTGATTTTTAAAGTTTCAAGGGGAAAAAGTTGGTATGGGTTTGTGGGTTGGTCAACAAATTTCCCCGAAATGTTTTTTTCTTCTTCAAATCTCTCTCTCTCCCTCCCTCTCTCTCTCCCTCCCTCTCTCTCTCTCTCTCTCTCTCTCTCTAGCTCATTGTTATGACTCCCAAGAGTCTCCTAAGACATCCGGAAGCCAAATCGAAATTTTCCTACTTTGACGAGGGGACACACTTCCTGAGACTCATCCCAGACTCCACGGCCAGGGAGGGAGAGGGAGTCAAACGGATCGTGTTCTGCTCGGGGAAGGTCTACTACGAGTTGGCCAAGCAAAGGGAGTTGGCCGGACTCCAGGAATCTGTCGCTATTTCCAGGGTTGAGCAGGTACATATCATAATTACTAGTAGGCGAATGCAGGGCATTTTTAGTGAGCGGGAGCGAGCATGCAATGACTGTATCTGCACGAGCCATCCTAACCTATTTACAACTTTCACGTTGGAACCACGAAGATTGGAAAGAGGTACAGCTTTATGATCATAGCAGCAGGTACTTACTGTACACGCTACATTGGTGGCCAGTAAAGATTTGGGTGGGAGGAAATTTTTGAAAGGGGAAAGCGGGTTTTTAGGAAGTTCTTGTAAAAGTCCGTCCCTCGAGAATTCTCTTACTATATAATGTGTAGGTGTGTAATTGTAACACAATCTGTGGTCGAGTAACGTGCACAGTTCACTGAACATGTTGTAAACACTTATTCTCCCAACTGCCCGACCCAACTCCCTTGCACCACACCAATGAACAGTAGGTCATCACACCGATAAACAGTAGGTCATCACACCAATAAACAGTGGGTCATCACACCAATAATCAGTAGGTCCATCACACCAATAAACAGTAGGTCATCAAGTGGAATAACATACATTCACAATCATTGCAGTACAAAGGGAGTCTATGCACCATACACCGTTCAAATCTGCTATATATCAATTAATGACATAATACACATCTATGTGTCTCCCCCATGCACTGCATATGCAGGTCTCCCCGTTCCCCCACGACCTGGTGCACAGAGAGCTGGCCAGGTTCCCCGCGGCTGACGTAGTGTGGGTCCAGGAGGAGCCCAAGAACATGGGAGCATGGAGCTACGTTCAACCTCGCTTCTTCACTGCCTCCCACAGTCAGAGACACCCCAGGTATATGTACATATTATACTGCAGAAATCATTCACTGAAGGAACATGCTACTACAGTGACCTAATAGATACAGATGGGACCACTCTAATCTGGACACCAGTCGGACAGAAGAAAGTGTCCATATCAATAGAGGGCTCCACATTTTCAGGGGTTAACTAAGCTGCTTATAATCTCCACATGGCATACACACACAGTACTTTGAATGGCCCTGACATCTCAAATATTGCTTGTGCTCCAATGTACTACATGTTACTGCAAGTCAAAAGTCGGCACTAATTGGAATAATGATAGCTCTCACTATGTCTACAGGTATATAGGGAGGCCTCCGAGTGCCACAGTTGCAGCAGGGAACAAGGCCGTCTACAAACACGAGCAGGAGACGCTCGTCCAAGGAGCATTCTCTCTCTGAGACTTCTGCAACATACCATTATAGAGAGCATTATGTAGGTATTGTGTGGCTGGCTGAATCTATTATCTATTTGTCTTAGTGGATAACCATTAATTTTATGGCTAAAATTGTAGGGGGCTGTTGGCACACTCACCCCTGATGAAGTTCCCTATAATATTATGACGATGATTCGAGCAATCGACATGAGAAGTGATGCGCACTGCTCATGCACCAACTGCAGACACGTCATGACGTGTTTATTAATTTTCATTTCCCCGGCATCAATTAGGACTCCTATGTAGCTGTTTGCACACGTACACAAAATGAGTATCTATAGCTGGTCAAAAAAACTACTTTCAACGGAATTATTGACATCCTAAACAAGCTAGCAGTCAAAACACTATAATACAGCTAAATGGTCCAAAAAATCTTAGTTCGAAAAAGCAACTAAAGTCATGTCAGTCTGTTTCTTGATTTCTTTACAGCTCGCCACTGTTAGCAATCATAACTGGCTTCGATGTTGGGCCATCCTGAAAGGACAAGAGTTAAATGTACACGTGCAACGTACATACACTTATAATACCCGTGAGCCAACACCCTCCATCTCGTCCACAACATCTAGGCCTTCAACAACGCTCCCGAAAACAACGTGCTTTCCGTCCAGCCTGGAAATAAAAACGGCTTCAAGTAAGGACAAAATTTCCTTGCAATACTGCTGAGATGCAAACGTGCAGTTGCTGAAATTACCACGTGGTCTTGGCAGTGCAGATGAAAAACTGCGATCCGTTTGTGTTGGCCCCAGAATTGGCCATGCTCAAAGTGCCTTTCGCGGTGTGCTTCAATTGGAAGTTCTCGTCAGCAAACTTTTCACCGTAGATGGATTTGCCTCCAGTACCATTTCCACGGGTGAAATCACCGCCCTGGGCAGTAAAGGGGTTATTATCGATGCAATAACTCGCACATTACAAATTACCTGGCACATAAAGCCGGGGATAATGCGGTGGAACTTTGACCCCTTGAAGCCAAACCCTTTCTCGCCGGTACAGAGGGCACGGAAGTTTTCTGTAGTCAGACTGACCATAAACTACACAAGTCGGATTGGAAACTGTACAGTTTGCTGCATGCTAAAGTCATATTATACAATGGAGAGATGGGCATTATTTAGAGTCAGCCGTGGGCAGTGTGTAGCTCGTGGTGAAGCCCATGAGAGGCAGGGTAAGTCGTGTTGTTGCAACATTTTGCTACGTACATACCCAAAACAATTGTGTGATGAACTGGGAAGACGAAAATTTTGGGGTGAATGGGTGACACGAAATAAACGCAGTCTCAAAACCGCGCGAAGTCGCTAATAGCCTTACCTGCTGTCCTAGGCACGACGTCCCCTCGCAGCTTCAGATTCAGGAACGGAGTGGGAGGGGGGGAGGACAATGTGAAACATGCACGACAGAGTGCGAACAGAGGCTCACCTCCATGACAACACGCCCGGCCGCCTTCCCGCCAATGGTGATATCGAAGAACACCCTTTGTCTGCTCATGATTGTACTGGCGTAGCGAAGTCCTCTTTGAAGATGAACAGCAGGAAAAACTATCCGCATAAAGACACTGACAACCTGACCGCGCAAGACAACTGGTATTGGCTGGCTAATTAAATCCACGTGCTTGCGCGCGCCGCTGTAACTTTGCGCATGCGTAGTTACTTCGGCGTCTTTGGTAGAAAAACGTACGTATGGCAGAAATCTAAAAAACAAACAGGTCAATCATGCATGTGACCTAAAGTCTAGTCCAGAATGTTGTATGCAGCACCCTTCATCACGACAGCTGTCCACAGTCAACAATTTTCACTTCTTTTCCTTTCTGAACCAATCCGTGCTGTGCAAGAAAGACTGAAATCACGGCGAACCATTGACACAATGCACTCCACTTACCTCAGAACCACAAGCAACCATCTTCTTTACGATATCCATGCCTTCAATAACCTTCCCAAACACCACGTGTCGTCCATTCAACCTGGAAGAGTAATTATTGTCATACCTTTGCACACCCAACTCCTCATCATAAACTGCCACTATTATATGTACAGTGGGACCTCTATGGAACAGATATTTTGTCTTCGTCTCCCCGTTAAATTTACTGGACTGTAATATTATGGTAAAATGTGACCTCAGATTGTGTCCTTTATTGAGAGGTTGTTTCTATTGTGTCCTATATTCGGAGGCTCTACTGACCTCATAAGGACACCTCTCTATAAAAGACACCTGGCTTCGTTTTGATTCATACATACTTATAAGTGAGATTGAGTCATTACCAGTTTGCCTCGCAAACGGTGATGAAGAACTGCGATCCGTTTGAGTTGGGTCCAGAGTTGGCCATGGCAACGGTGCCTTCTGCTTCAAGTTTCAGTTCAAAGTTCTCGTCCTTGAACTTGTGGCCACCGTAGATGGACTTTCCACCCGTTCCGATTCCACGAGTGAAATCTCCACCCTGACGAGGAGAAAGAAAGAGAGGGGGAGGGAGAAAGAGAGGAAGACAGAGATGGGAAGGAACACCCGAAAATCTTACACACCTGGCACATGAACTCGGGGATGATGCGGTGGAAGATGGACCCCTTGTAGCCAAACCCTTTCTCGCCGGTGCAGAGACAACGGAAGTTCTCTGTGTTGCGAGGGAGGAGTCACAAGGTATATATATACAAGATAAACCCTTTTCAGAATCACAGATACACACACAGAGTTAGGCTCAACATGATTTTGGGGTTGGACAGGGCTGGGTAAAAAGCATGATCATTGAGTGTTCTAGCAGATGATGTACCAGGGTTACCAACACCTCTGGCTATATATGTTTTGTCGTAGTGGTGGTGGAAGCGTATTATCAAACGTTTCAAAGTCCATTATACACAACATACTCCTTTTCACGCACCTGCTGTCTTCGGTACGACGTCAAGTCGTATCTGCAACAACGTCGTCGGGAAGACGCGGAGAAAGGCCACTGATTGTCACTATAAAACAAAACTGTTTTCTCGGAGCCTACCTCAATCACGACACGTCCGACTGGCTTGTCGCTTATAGACATGTCCAGGAACATCTTTGGTTTGGCCATGGCTGTGCTTGTGTAGCGAAGTCTTCACAACAAGAATCGAACAGGGCGACACAATCCTGGGGGTTAACCTACGACGGGTGTACGTGTCCAGCGGATATGGGGGGGGCGTGTTCGTGCATCATGTGATTACTCGCGCGCGCCGTTCGCTAGCTCGACCTTCACCTATAACTGCGCATGCGTAAAGATAAACGCGACGAGCGAGCGAGGAGAGTACGAGCGTAGTTTCGAGTTTCTCACCCAGGTATCTTTGGTAAATGCTAGCAGCAGTCGACCTCCTGGCTTTATGAGGTGGTGTAAACCCTTCTTCCTGCAGTGGCGGAAGTGGAGATGTGCGTGCGACTCAACAACAAGAGGCACTGCCTGACGCTGCAGTCTCTGACTGGTCTGCTGCAAGTTCTCATTGCCCTTCCCATAATCGTCGTCTCGTTCATCGTTTTCACTCAGTCCTCTCTCGGAGGCGCTCTCTCTCCGTTCTGGGCCGGATTTCTCGTGAGTTGAACCTTGGAAAAGGAGAGCAAGAGTGATGATGCAGTTTAGGGGAGTAATGTGAGCCAGGTGTCCTAGCTTTGAATCACACCTTGGACTTTCCATTCAGAAAGTTACCTTTCTTGGTGAGTCGTGCGTGGGTCTCTTATAGTATTGTTTAGCAGTACTAAAGGAGATCTTGGCACTCACTGAATGGTGTGGTCTTGCTGTACGTGGGAATGCTATAGGTCGTCTTCAGCTATTGCCGCTTGTTTCCCGAACCAGCTGTTAGCTAAAATTTGTCTTTCTACTGGTATGGATGGTGATAGAGGCTTTAAACAAGTGCATTCATGGCTATTGAAGGTCTCTGGTGTGTTTATGATGAACTGCAGAAGATGGTTTGTAAACAGTCTGGTAGTGACAAAAGTCGAACTCAATGCATCACCTTTTGAGTGACGAAAGGGCATTGTAAACTGCTTTTGAGAACAAGGCTAGGTGCGCAGTTAATATACACTTTCAACTAGCAATGTCAGCAGTTGTCCCACCCATGCAATGAAGGTTGCCATTCTAGCTACGTTTTCATCAAAATGCATGTGCAATTTTTCAAAAAAGCATAAGTGGATTGACACTGGCATGTGGGATGGAGTCTATGCCTTTTTTTATTGAGGCATGCACAAATTTTGTGTCACAGTGACAGGATTATGGAGCAAAAATTATGAATCCATGTGATGTCAATATTTGCAGTCTATGAAGCCTTTAGCCACAGGTGTGTCATATTTACCCTGTGCGGTGCTCAGTGTATCGCGATCAGAAGCTCATAAGGAATGTATTTTGATACACAGTATATATACCATGCCCACACTGCACATGGGTTGTTATTGTGTAGGGTACGCTAGTAGATGTTGCTAATTTGTCCAAGTTGGCATAGGCATGTAGTTGAGAGGCCTCTGTTGTTCAATCACGTGGCTTTTGTTTGTTAGAATAGCACTTCTGTCTGGGTATTTCCTCTCAACTAAAAGAGTTTTTGCCCACACCTTCCTTCTCTTATACTCTTCTCTCTGTCTCTATCTCTAGTTGCTGATTGCTGGAGTCGTGGGGTTACTGGTGAGACCAACGAAACTGGCATCAGTGGTAAGTGTATGCAGTCTTATGAATGTGCATGAATATTGATTGTTGGTTATGTTCTTGTGTGTGCCTGTGTGTGGGAAAGGCTAGGTGTGTCCACAGGGCAAGTAGAGGTCCAGGTGACACATGCATATACAAAGGGGAGAGCTCCTCCCTTTTGGCAGCTGTTCATGGTGTAGCCTCAATTGGGTGCTCTCTGATACTTTCCTGCATTGGGAAGCTAAGCTATTCATGTTGTATCCAGAAGTGTTATGAGCTCACATTGTGCGCTGGTTGTGCAGGAACACTACTATTTTTGACGGAGAATCTTTATGATGTCATTAGCTTGATTATCAATTGATTAACAAATGTATTCCAATTCATTAACTGCCAATTCGTTAAAATGATCTGGTCCTTGCACACAGATACTGGCTGACATAATATTCAATGCTCTAGCAATCACTGCGTGTTTCCTGGCAGCTGGTATGACTGGCATCTACGGAACTTCAGTACAACTAGACAACTACGATCAATTGCAAGGTGGGTGGATAAAAGGAGTGGTGGCCGAGAGGTGACATTTATTGAATTGTGGTGGAAATTTTGGCACCCTCGCTTAGTTCTGATGTATAGTTGCGCAAACAATGCAACGTGACTGCCCACAACTGCTACCTTAATAGGAGCATTGCATCACGGCTGTCACCTAATTCATGCAGTTTGTAGTCGAGTAATCTGGCTACAGAGTGGTGACATTCATTCCATACTGGTAACTTCTGATATTGACCAGCTTGCACGCAGCCAACAATTCAAAATTCACGCACACGAACTGCATGTATACCCTTTTCTTCGTTTAAGCAAAAGGTATGCTATAGTCAATTACATAGTTTTTTGATGAGCAAACATGGAGTAGTTCGTGAGGTAATTTAGTCTAGAATCACATACAGTATTATGTATGTGCAGTGCCCATCACAAGATCTGCATTGAGACAAGGTATACTCGCTTCCCTTGCCTATTATCACATGCCCCTATCATTATAACTCCCCTACACAGTGCTAGAGGGCAGTGGTGGAAGTGAAGGGGACTGCATTTTTGCCGACGGATCTCCTCTCTACTCCGAGAGCTTCCGTTCCTCCATGGAGCCTCTGGACCGCCTGGTCCCTTCCTGCGAAGACCTGGAGTCCTACTGGAAACACCTGGTGTCGCTCATGTCCCTGAGTATCATGGGACTCTTGGTTTCTCTCGTGGCCATTGTCATAAACTGTGTGACTCCGTGTGTAGAGGACAGAGCGGACAGCATCACCTGGTATCCAAAGACTGACGTTTGAGACAATCCACTATTATTACACAGCACTCTATCTTAACTGCAACATTGTTATGACCAACTCACAGAACACTCTGCTATTATACCAAGTTACTGAACACCAATCACACAAGAATAATCTCTCTTTCATCTTCTATAATTATTATAATAACAATTATGTACGTCTTTAAAAACACACAATTGCAGCAAAAGCACGAGTGACAGACAACATTGTATGCGAAGATAACAAGTGAAATGAAGGGGGGGGGGTCAGTCTGTAATCTCACCGCAGTCTGCAATTACCACATACTTGTCTGGTTTTCCGCCATACTGTATCAATGGAATAACAATCATAATCGAGTAGGGGAAAACTGGGCCATCCCCAACACAGTTTCTGTCATTATGGTGCAATCTCACTCGGAATGAAACACCTTTCTCTGCATTAACTACTTAATAGTCCAAGAGGGTTTCTTAGGAGGGTTTTCCTGTATAAAAATGCACCCTCAGAGAGACATTCGCCCAACCACTAACTAAGTCCAGTGAATAGATGATGGTGCTGCAGGTATGTATGTACGTACATAGCTATATATATACCTCAGATCCTAACTCTTCCATCTGTCGTATTAACTCCATTCCTTCCACTACTGAACCAAACACCACGTTCTTACCATCCAGTCTGTTTGAGAGGAAGTGAAAAATGTTTCCTAATCATTGTGCCCACATTATACACTTAGTGATAATAAAACCAGAAAACAAAACACAAGACTTCGTTTTTTAGAAAAATAATTTTTTTTCTCTTTCCCTTCTGGCCTGTTTGTTTCCATCAGCTACTTAGAAGAATGCTAGACATTGCTTGTCCCAGACAAAAATGGCCCCACACCCACTAGATTCAGGGAAAATAAATTGGCTCTCAAGTTTGCTCAAAACTACCTATGCATCGTCCATTGCCAATGTAAAGCCCTAGACTCACTCCTCCAGCTTGCGGAATGTGATAAAAAACTGGCCTCCGTTGGTGTCGGGCCCTCGATTGGCCATACTCAACACTCCTGGTCCACTGTGCTTTAGAGTAAAGTTTTCGTCTTCAAATCTGGCGTCATCTCCCTTGTAGATGGAGAACCCGCCTGTTCCCAAGTGTTTACCAGCAAAGTCACCAGCCTGCAAAACAAGACATCAATGACGGTGAATATCTAGTATATACGGCAGCTACGGTTTCACTCTCATGCATACGATGGTTTTCCCCAAGTACAGTGGAAACTCTGAACAATGGACACGTTTGGACCACCAATTTTCTCCTTTATAAGGCTGTTGTACTCTCTTTGGAGGTTAAAGAATCATAGAAAAGTGAACATTCGCGACTTCAAAGTGTGTGCTTTTATTGAGAGGTTTTTTCTATTGTGTCTTATATTCTGAGTGTCCTTTACCAGAGGTTCTACTGCCTATACATATGACAGACCTGACATAGGTAGTCCTTCACAATTCGGAAAAACTTGGTACCTTTGAAGCCATATCCTTTCTCCCCAGTACACAGGGCACGGAAATTCTCTATATATAGAGTAAGGCCAACAAGTTTGAAAAAAAATCTTTCACTCATTCATTCTTACCTGATGTTTTAGGGACAACGTCAGGTCGAAGCTGAAAAATAAACCACGCCCAGATTATTGTACGCAACGCAGTAGATAGTAAGTAACAAGACAGATCCTTACCCTGACGACTAGCCGCCCAAAAGGCTCGTCTTCTATAGTCAGGTCGAAGAAACACCTCAGTTCCCTGCCTTTTAGCTTCGGCATTTCTCTACTATGCGACTTCTTCGAAGGGGTGGGGTTTATTCATGTAGTGCGCATGCGCAAATTTATGCAAACCGCCGCTCTCTAATTAAGCGTAATATTTCAAAATTGTCATAGTTAATGACGAGGTAACTTCCGTTTCTTCGTCTATCTTGCGCTCTCGCTGGATCGGATCTCCTGTGTTTTTCCCAGCTAAAAAACGGCACGGCTTTTCCCGTTTCATCACAGCCGTCTGAACTGGCCAGGATATACAGCTAGACCCTTTGGAGGTGAGCAGAAAATGCTTACTTGGAACGCAAACGAGAATACGTCGCGATAAATCCGGTACCTTGTTTCCGTCTCACTTGCGCGTGGAAGCGATGTTCAAGCTCGGGAAGGTTACTGTTTAGGGCAGAAGTCAAAGTATGTTATGCACCGGCTATAGATTGCCTGGTATAAAACAGCGAGGGAACGCGGTGCGTGTGTGTGTGTTTGTGTTACGTCCATCTTCGGTCTCTATACGAGAAAACGTGCTGCTATATTTAGCACCTTTCCCTTCAAACTTACAGTCTCACTTAAGAGCACGGGGTGATTATCGTGTCCCAAACCAGTTGATGTCTAGTACTGATGTTCGGTACACTGGGTTCTTGTGCTTTCGAACACGTTTGTGAGTGATGGGCCGTGTGGTAGAAGAGTTGGTTCAGTCGCCTCTGCATGCTGGGTTGGATCCATACACGTACCTATGTTTATGGCATCTGTATTAGTAGTGTGTGTAGTACTCTGCCTATCCCACTGGTGGTATCCCCGAAACTTGACCCCCATCTACTAAACTCCGAGAAAAGGGTGCGATATTCGTGTGTGTGTGTGTGTGTGTTTGTATGTGAGTTAGAGGAGGCTGAGTGAAATACGTAATCTAGTAAACTCAGCTAGCCATGTAGCAAATTATACTGCATAACGAGATATGCGAGTATACAGCCTCGTTACTTTGTATAAGTCTAAGTTTTGAGTCACGTATACAGGCTTACTTGTGTGCCTGTTTATGCGTCCGCAGCGGTCGTTGATACTGTACATAATTGTCACCTCCTGTGTATGGGAAACCCCCTCTTCCAGAGCTTCTCAGTAATTATCGAGTTTATTTTTATTGGTGAATGCTTGTCGACTGACTTTAGTTTAGTTCCACGGTAGCTTTGCCTCTGTGTTAAAGTTAATGACTAGCAAACCCTTGTCACTGTTTTTTTTGTCTTTGCATAAGTGCGGTTGCGTATGGTACATAGAGCTCCGTCTGGACGCGATGTTATAGTAAATAGAGCACTGGATACAGTGTAATTCTTTATAATATAGCACTGGATAGTCAGATTATATAGCACTTGATATGGTGTGCAATGTGCACTCTGTTGACACGGATACGTGGTGCAACCGCTGGATATCGTTCCTCATGCGACGCTGCTCACTCAAATCGACAGAGTATTTGTTTCCTTTCGTGTTTTTTTCTCGCATGCAAGACAGCCTTCAGACAGCATCACGTCTCCAGTATATCACATTACATATGTATTATGTAATTAAACCATCTGCTTATCTAATTATAATGTGTACATGATAATTATGTCATTTCATAATGAAAGGCTAGGAACGCCAATGCACTTATACGCAATAATAGTATCTCATTCTTAGCATGCATGTTACCGTATTAAAAGTCTATGTAAGTCTGGTCATCCACAATATCCGATTTCAATCAGAGTTTATTGGTTTGTGTGTGGAGTGGTTGAAAATAGAATTAGTGTGGCGTTACGCATATATTATAGGCCATTTATGTATGTGTTATGTATTATTGTGTGTAACAATGATCCGTGTGACGCTGTATGTACAAGTATGCATGGATGTATAGCGGGAGTTGTCGCACATCACAGATAATGTGTCACGTGGGGGGATTCTGTGTTTGTCTTCTGCAAGATTCTACGCATATCTCCTCCGTGTATTTTAGCTGTGGAGTATGAGGCGCGTGGAATGTACCCATACATGCACGTTTCCCCCGTTATAATTATGTGTATTATACTTGGAACCTCTTAGGGAAGTTTCCAGTGGTTTTCTCCTACAATTGGAAACGACTTTCATGAGGGTAGGGAGGGGGAGGGGCAAGCAGTGAATTCTTGTATGAACCTGTCTGTCTCAACGCTCCGTGCTAGCCAGCTCCTAATCACGCAGCTTCTCAAGTCAAGTTTTTATTTCTTCTCTAGTGTAAAGTGTCAGTGTGTTCCTGTGTACTGTAGTAATTAATATGGCATACTTTCTTTTAGTTTTTCCGTAATTTTTCCGTTCTCCCGTTCTATGTGAAGTGTGGAGAGACAAATAAGTGGTTACCTGAGCCCAAGACAGTCGCTAACTATCTTCTCGCACTACATCCTGTGTGACCCTTTCTGCATAGAACACAGCACTATAACATAATACCTAGTAGTGCTTGCACTGATGGTCACTAATCAGGCAACTGTACGCATGCAAGCGGGGGTATTATAAAACATGAAAGTTATTAGTAGCCACCTACATGCAACAACCCTAGTAGCCTACCATATCTGGTGCTGGATTGAAACAGTACAAGTATATCTTGACTTTCGACATATGTGGTTGTTTTCTTTCACTGTGAGGGAGTAATGGAAGGTGTTTTTGGTACACATGTACGTATGAGCAAAGTATTGTGAGGGGATGACTCAGAGCTGTGGACTATTTGTATGCACAGGTTATAGAAGAACGATGCACGTAGTGCTCTTGATAGTAAGAGTTCAATTTGTGATTTACCTTTGTAGTGCGTTGCATTATGGGCTTGCAGCTGCTATCAACCGAGTGACCGATTAGGAAGGGCACTCTGCCTAAAGAGTAGATAAGTAGGTGGTGGTTTCAAGTCCTACCCCGAGGGCAACTCAAAAAGACAGCGTTAGATTTACACTCTTTTGGTTTTCATTATTGATCCCCACCTCCCTAATAAATGTATCGGACCACTTTACACTGTTTTTTCCCGATGATCATCACTGTTCGTAATGCGTTAAAAAACCATACATTACATGCACAATGATGTGTATTTAGTATTTTAGTATTGCCAGGAGAATGCCCGAAAGCGGCAGTGGTTGCCGGGGCTACCCGGTTGCAAAGCAATCTGCGTATGTGATCGCTGTATGTGAACTATTTCATGTACACAATTCGTAAAGATCACCCAACAATGAACAGAGGGTGTACACCACTGGATTAATGTATGGTGACGTATGTAGTGGAGGTTATTATACTGGCTTATATGCAGTGTGACACATGTGATGGTAGGGGTGACTGGGCCAAGTGAGTTTATTTAGAGTGTCTGTTGATGATGTGAAAGATTTGGCCGCAAAAGATTTGGCGGTCATTCATACATACATTGTAGGCCGAACCTCAAGCAGTGGAAATACTTCTGTTGTACGAGACAGAGTTGCAACGCCATAGGACAGTCTGTCCATTTGACATGCAACTTTTCCGTCTCACTCAACAAAGCATGCATCATGTATTTTGGCCAGCTACTGTATGGCTGTCGTTGATTGCTGAACGTATAACGAGTTAGGTTAACTGAGGTGTATTATATGACTATCTATTAGGTGCATGCCAAGATGTATATGGTTGGGGCTTAGGGCTGGGTCTGGTGGGATGTGTGCTATATAAACATATCGTATTGGGAGTCAGTAATCTATGGGATGGCTAGATGTTACAATACAGTACATGACGGTTTGTAGACTGGTTAAGTTTTGGTACAGCTACATGTGTACAAATTAACTTTGATACAATGAAGTTTCATATACGATACGAGATGATATGTCAATGGAAGATGGACACCTCTCTTTCCATCGCGAAGTTTAACATCTGGTCCTCACTAGTATGGACACTATGCTTTGTATATGCTGTCCCTTTTGTGTCCAGATAGTGTAAATGTTTAACTCTATTCCTCTCTCTCTCTCTCTCTCTCTCTCTCTCCCTCTCTCCCTCTCTCCCTCTTGCAGATATTTGGTAACAGAATTGAAGCGAGAAAGATAGCGAGATTGTGAGTTTCGCACCCCTAGGCCCATGGCGTGATGGGACTTTTTGCTAGTTCCTATTAGACTGATAATGTATGCCATGCTGGCTCCTATACACCAGAAATAGTAACTGTGACTCATAATTGGAACCAGACATGGAACCAGACATGGGCAATGCTAAGTCATGTTGAGTCATGCTAAGTAGGGAACTTTCCCTTCAGATCTCTGATTGATATATAGCCACACCTACAAGAACTATTGGAGTGTTTTCTTACTCTCCCACTTTCGGCACAATGGTCAGGGGTGCCCCTTTCCAAACTGTGACCTTAACAACTTTCACACATGTAATGAATCATGTAGAAGCAAATTGCGACAAAAGCCGCCGTGAAGGTTGTCGGCCAGCCTGCAACTGTATAACTTTACAGCATACTAGCTATCCGTGCCAGCTCTTACCACATACAAATGGTGGTCAGCCAGTGGTGGTGGCCTCCTGAAACTGAAGTGTTTGAACATTTCTTTGGGAAAGTTGTGAAATGGGCAGTCTGACTCTCAGTGGTGGGTGCTGAGAGTGTGGGAGTGTCTCTGACAAGTGTCAGTGTCAGTTCCAGTAGTCTGCAGGCCATGTGCAGTCCCAGTGTTTGCTTGTAGCTGTGTTAGTCACATGGCCTTGTGGTAGAATATCAAGTAATGAGATTTACCCTGCTGTGGTTGAATATCATTACTTGATATTTACCCTGCTGTGGTTGAATATCATTACTTGAGATTTACCCTGCTGTGGTTGAATATCATTACTTGGGATTTACCCTGCTGTTGGCTTTAATACTGATGACATACATGTGTGTGTGTGTGTGTGTGTGTGTTGGAACAATGAATTTTATTGTCCTCCCCTCCCTCTCTAGAATGACGACTGCAATAAATCCAGTCGCCACTGTTCCAATAAACTCGTCTCATGTCGCAATGGGAACCTTCCAGGACTGGCTGGTGGCCTGGAAGGAATGGGCCGGACAAGGAAAAGGGGAAAGATGGCCCAGTTCATAGTTGACAAGCTGGAAGATAGCGTAAGCATTTGTACACTTGTTTGTCCAAACTGCACATAGTGATACGTATGTATAAAAGATTTTTGCCGTGCGCAATGAGTTTTGTCAATGTTTCCTGTGTGCTGTTGAGTGAAATCTTATAATAATAGACGTACCTCTTTTCTGCCGATACCGTACTCTTATACTCTCCTCTTCTCCCTCTCTTCTCTCCTCCCTCTTCTTTCACATCCCCACTTCTCCTCTTCTCCCTCTTCTCCTCTTTCACATACCCACTTCTCCTCTCCTCTCTCCCTCCTCCTCTCCTCTCCCTCTCTTTCACATCCCCACTTCTCCTCTCCTCTCCTCTTCCCCCTCCTTGGTCACATGCAGAAGCAGGCGAGATGGCTCAGTATCGCAGAGGGGAAGTTCGAACTGACGAACTGGCACGATATCGCCAAGGAATGGTTCAAGGAAAAACCAAGAAACTCTGACCAGGTTCCTCCTCACTCCCACCATGGGTTTAAAATTACGTAATGGGCATTAATCCCAAATATGCTCACCGTGTGTTTATAATGCGGTAAAAATGGTGAATAACAGGTCATGTGACTATCACATGATTTGCCTCCACCAAAACTAAGTTGACTGTGTGGCAGTCTATTATTAAACCGTGGCCCTAGTTTGAAGCAATTTGCTTCTGCGTGGGCAGTCCATGTCATAGTCCATGTCATAGTTCCTTAACTGGAGTTCTAATGGCCGAAGTTGATACTGCTATATGTTCTTTGTGCAGTGTTTAACTGAACTACTTTTGAGGTCCAACATTGTACTAAGCTATTGGGTTGAATTACATATAATACAGTGTCTAATGGAACTGGATATCTGGATCACCAATCATGTGATTTGTACAACTAGTAGGTCATTGGTTGCTTCACACACACACACACACACACACACACGCTGGTCACAGCTAGTACTTGGCATCTTGCTCTCACACACTAGAGGACCTGTACTAAGTACCACTATGCAATACTTAATGCATGTATACCAAGTATAATACACACTTGCCATGCTTTATACTCAGCACCACTGTACATTATAGTGCCAACAAAAGTGCTTACAAGGACTGTAGTCAAGCGATGTAATGATTTCACAATTTGGAGGTGTACAGTCTGATAACAGTCTAAGTTGAGGTGTTAATTGCTTCAGAGTGTCTGTATTTGGGCGTGGACCCAGACGCCATCTCCCCTTCCTTCTTCCTGGGAAAGTTCCTGAGCCGCTGGCTCATTACCTTGGCAGTGCCCCACGTTTCCTGAGATAATCTCGTGGGCTAACATGAGGTCACCGCATGTCCTCTTACACACCTGGGCCTATATATGGCAGTCCTGTCTAATCTCAACGTTACTAACAAAGGTTTAACTAATCTCAACGTTACTAACAAAGGTTCCAATGGTCCAAAGGTGCCACTAGGTCGCCAATGAGATAACCTTTGTGAGGATCGAATGAAAAGTTTTTTCGTGTGGCGAAATTTTGCACGTTTGTAAAATGGACAAGCGAGAGAATCTTGCCTTGAAATCTATGTGTTATGTGACGTACAGTACTATAGGTTTATGGTTCATATGGCCCCTAATGTGTATACGCTGTATATACTTGTGTTGTGGGGTGCTGTTATGTGATCCTGTAGAGGTACAATGTTGTGTGAAGTCCTGTAGGTTGACGCTCCATGGAGGCTTGTACTGTATATACACATGGAGCGCCCGCGTAGACTGCAGAGTGTCGTGGTTTCGAATCCCACCCAGGACAGCTCTTCTTTTTTCCTTGGAAAAAAGAAGAGCTGTCCTCGGTGCAGTTGACTTGTTTGTTGTGCCTTTGCCTTTCTACCTCGTGTTTGACAGAGTTGACACATGACATGTCTTGTGGGCTGCTGTTTATTGTGCTCTTTACATACTTGAGAGTATTGTGGCGTCCTATATAATGTATAGTGGACGCTCCCTGCATTATACTCTTCACATACTTGAGAGTATTGTGGCGTCCTATATAATGTATAAGTGGACGCTCCCTGCATTATACTCTTCACATACTTGAGAGTATTGTGGCATCCTATATAATGTACAGGTGGACGCTCCCTGCATTATACTCTTCACATACTTGAGAGTATTGTGTATGTATAGGTGGACGCTCCCTGCATTATGCTCTTCACATACTTGAGAGTATTGTGTGTGTATAGGTGGACGCTCCCTGCATTATGCTCTTCACATACTTGAGAGTATTGTGGCATCCTATGTATATATGTACAGGTGGACGCTCCCTGCATGTTGAGGAAAGGCCTCCCGAGAGCTTTCCCCGGACTGGAGGAGGTGAAGGGAGAGTCCATCAAGGAAGGAACGCAGTACAGAAGTCGTGTGTTTGTGGCTCCGAGAGAACTGGTCCACGGTAAGTTAGTGTACCCTGCGGACATACATGTCTTCACAGTCCCTAGCCCTGCAAAACTGCACAGTACAAGTTTATATAATGCCTCTGACCCCATTTACACTCTCCTGCACCTCCTCTCTCTCTCTCTCTCTTTCTCTCTCTCTCCTCCAGAGGTGATGATGTACATCCAGAACGGCCGTGGAGGTGTCCATCCACCGATAATGCAAGCTCCGCCTACATCAGCCCCCTACCATGTCCAATATCAGGCCATTGCCCCTGGGCAAATGGCTCAATTTACTCATCAGGTCCAGGTATGTGCACATTTGTTTTTGGCAAGATAGCAGGGGAATTTTTCATAAAGCTTGGACTTTAAACGGGTTTTCATACATAGGCAGTAAAAGCCACGAAAACAAGCGTTGTGTACTCATAATCTGCTACACTTAGGGCAATATTTATGCGTGAGTCCCACTCTGTCTTCCTCTCTCCCCCTCCCTCCACAGAGTCCTCCACAGGTGATGTCGAACGGCATCAATTCGTCTCCCCACATGTACTACAACACTCCAGAGAACCACCCTGTGAGCCAACAACACACACCTTCCGACTGTCAGCGGGGAAAAAGCATTTCCTTCTTCATATCTGTCTTTTTCTGTTTTTTCCCCTCAAACCACTTTCCCCCTATCTCGCTCCAGACTTAGTACTGTCATAATCATTTCTCTTCTTCATATCTGTCTTTTTCTGTTTTTTCCCCTCAAACCACTTTCCCCCTATCTCGCTCCAGACTTAGTACTGTCATAATCATTTCCTTCTTCATATCTGTCTTTTTTGTCCCCTCAAACCACTTTCCCCCTATCTCGCTCCAGACTTAGTACTGTCATGCTTTCTCCCATACCTGTATGTTGTAGTTGCTTGCCTAAGTAGTACGTACATAATAGTATCCTGTTGCTTACTTAATGTAATGTGCTTGCCTTGTATGTAATATGCGACGTAAAATTCCTTTTCTTGTTCCTCCGAGGCTTCCTGCTTTTGACGCGTGTGTGAAATTCGATCTACGCTATTGAGAGGTTGCCTATAAGTATGCCCTCTCTTTTCCTGCCTCCTTCCCTCTTCCTTCCCCCCTCCTCCCCCTCCTCTCCCCTCCCTCCTCCCTCCCCTCCTTCCCCCTCATTCCCCTCCCTCCTTCCTCCCTCCTTCCTTCTTCCCCTCCTCCCCCTCCCTCCTTCCTCTCTCCTTCCTCCCCTCCTCCCCCTCCCTCCCTCAGATAAAGTTGGACCCAGATTTCATGGTGGACAGTCCAAGTGCCAGTGACACCCAGTCGCCTTACTACGTGGTTCCTCAGCACTCTGGCCCTGGACCTTTCATCTCCACTGCACAGGCTGCTGCAGGTGCTAAGGACACCCCTGAAATGAGGACCCTTCTTTAATAAGGACACCCTTTCTTTCCCCCAAGATTGTTTTCTTGCATGCGATGAACCCCTGAAATAAGGGCACCTCACTAATATGGACACTTCCATTGATTGGAGTGGTTCCACTGTATACCATTTGAGCCACTCGCACAAGTAGGTTGATACGCACGTAACTTTGACCCAGATTACTTAATCATTACTTCAATTGCCTTTTCTCATGATACAATCATTGGTTATGGATAGAGTGATTTTTAGCTCGGACACATCTCGTCTCCCCCTCTCCCTCCTTTCTGCGCAGGCAATTTGGATGGGATAGACCCTGGTCTAGCCGATGCTCTGGCTGGCAACCACCACAGTCCGAGCAGCACTATTTACTCTGACCCTCCAGATAGCGCCAGTCCGTACCAGCAACAACCGTCACACGACGTACTGCAGGTGGGTGGAGCCTGGTTAATTGGTGGGTGTGGTCTCATGTGGGTGGAGCCTGGTTAATTTGGTTGGTGTGGTCTCACGTGGTTGGAGCCTGGTTAATTGGTGGGTGTGGTCTCAGGTGGGTGTAGTCGGTAGTGCTAGCAAAAACCTCAATTTTCCACATGGCGGGTTAAATTTCTCGTACTTTTAGAAGGCCAGTGGGTTGAAGGACGGTGCAACTAAACTTCCTAGATACCTCGACCATTGCTGCAGTGTGCAGTGCGAGTAATTAGGGTGGCCTAAATATGAACATACTTTATTTCAAGATGCTAATGTCTAGTGTTTCTTAAAAACGCCAACTATAAAAGGACCGTAATGATTATTGTTGGAAACATAGAAAGAGGTGATATTTAGAGTTTACTGCTTAGCAATTTTTGTTCTAATTCTTGAGTCCAGCGATTTCGTGATTTTCATTTTCATGATCTGTATCTTCTGTTGCATCAATCCTTGCAGCTGCCCCCAGGGATTGGTCCGGGAATGGTAGGAGAGGGAGGGTGGATCAGCCCCAACTCTCACTCACAGACCAACTCCCCGCGATACTCCCCCGACCCGGGAGAAATGGTCGCCGCTGTTGGAGGAGGAGGAGCCAGTGGCGGGTTGAGCTACCCTGTCAACAGTATGGGAGTGGTGAGTGTGGGAGGGAGGGAGGGAGGGAGGAAGGGAGGAGGGTGAGAGAGGAAAAGCTAGGGAGAAAGAGCAGCATGAAGTAATGAATCAACCCTCTTACCATGACTGTATGAGTTATGAAAGTTGAACTGAAGAAGAAACGATTTAGCCAAAATCAATGACACACGGTGGACAAGGGCTACATTTCGTGTATACGGTTGTTAGGATTACGTAACTTCAATAGCTGATTCTCGATCACTGTCGGTGGATCGGCTAAGTCGTCACTGTGTACATAAGTCACTTGGAAGAGAGAGAGAGTAAAGCTCAATTACCAGGTAGAGGGTCCGTGTTACGGCTGATTTGGCATATTAACGTCTCCTCCACCCTTCGTTTTCCTGGTATTCTGCATTATAACATTCCCAGTACAGGTGCAGTACATACATGTACATGCCTTCTCTACTACAATATGTACTGTAGGTCATGTGTGCATGGATGGGCGTGCATGCGTACTGAGTGAGAGTGTAGCACAGTGGTTTGAGGTGTGCCTTGTGTTGTGTTGTGTTGTAGATTCGAACCCCTACCAGCTGACTGGTAGCGTCAGTTGGTAGAGCACTCGCCTAGACTGCAGAGTGTCGTGGGTTCGAATCCCACCCGGGGCAACTCTTCATCTTTTCTTTGAAAGAAAGGGCTGTCCTGGGTGTAGTTGACTTGTTTGCCTTGCCTTGCCTTTCTACCTCACTACCAAATTGTTGAGACATGCCTCTATATACTATATACATCATGTGTGTGCGCACATGCGTCTACTGTATACGAGTTGCGGGCTCTAATGCAGGAGTGTAACTGGTAAACCTGTGTACGTGTTGTGTATGAAGGATGTTGAAAGGGTTGCTGTCCATTCCACTGTCCTGCCCACACAGTCTCCTGTCACAGGTGATAGTCCGTCTTAGGTCCCATTCCTGTTTATGGCTCGATTCTTTCTTTGGCTCCAGCGAACAATGGCATATATCGGCATACAGCTCAAACTCATACGTACTAGTGGAAGTGCTTAGTGTTGTATGAGTGACCTCAGTTGTCAGTACGAACAGTAGCGTAGCTGTAGGCATATTCATACCGCATACAGTTCAAGGTCATGCATACTAGTGGAAGTGCTTTAGCGTTCTATGAGTAACCACTGTCGTCGGTACAGATCGACCTAATACAGTCGTGAATGTATGTATATATAGCTGTAAGAGCAGGTATTGGTGGAGTTGGGGTTAGAGTTATTGGCCATGGGACCAACACGCATGCGGATAAGAATAGCGAACACCCGGGCTAGCTACCGAGCAGGAAAATATCTCAATGATGCTATGCACACTTGGAACGATATATAATATATACAGTCGTGTATATAGGAAATCATTGGATTCACATAATGATGCGCGAATGGTTTCTTGATGAAGGGAGGGGGGACTCAACCTCAGTCAGTGAAACTTTTGTTGGTTCAATTTTGATATAAAACACGGTGTACGAGGTTCAGCTTTGTACAAGGCTGTATTGTTGCTGTATGATCTGTTGTTGTGTTCTGTAGGTGATGAACCCTCAGCCACCGCACAGTGCTGGACCCATGTCTGCCGTAGTTAGTCCTCCAATGCAGCAGAGCACTATGGGTGAGTATGGGGAGGAGGGTGTGGGTGTATGAGGCTTTTGGGAGAGAGGGAGAAGATAGGGAAGAAGAGGGAGAGAAGGGGGGGAGATTGGAATAATGGATGAGTGTGTGAAAGAGGGAGAGGAATACGGTCAGAGGAAAGAAGAGAGAAGTGAGGGAGGGAAGGGGAGAGACTGAAGAAGAAGAAGAGAGAAGCCAGTGAGGAGGAAGAGAGGGGGGAGGCTGAGTGGACGGGAGGATGTGGTGGATAATGAAAAACTATGGAGTACAAAGGAGGCAACCAGAATTGAAGTTTCCTGGCGGTAGCTAGGCAAACGGAAACATGTGTAGCTAGGCATTATGATGTACAAAACTCTTACTTGTATGTTAGTACATCTTCACAGGAAGGGTCAATTGCACAACACCATAATGTGTGTATGGGGGTGTATAGGTTAGTTCCACTGTAGTGTAGGTTGTGTGGGCTCTATCCTGCATAGTTCACTGAGGGGGTGAAATATAGTTGCTTTGGTTTACTCCTTTCAGTTCATGTCTGTTAAGCAAGTAGGGGCCCCCTCATATTATTATGTGTGCACCTATAATACACGTACTGGTATGCAATACGTCTCTTTTTGTCAAAAGCAACGATTTCTAAAGTTACTTTGTTTTGTTCTGTGTGCAGGTAGAATGTATGCCATTAGAGACACTAAAAATGTGGCACACCTGCGATTTGCATTTGCCATTATTAAACAAATTACACCACAATGTGCACTGAAGCTTCATGCATGAGTGCATTCCTGTTGGTAAAACTGGCACACACACACACGTAGCGGACCTGTGTCATGCATGTAGCATGCAGTGGTTATGCAAGGGGTATGCATACCAGCTAGCTATGTATGTCTTTTACTGTTGTTTCTAGTGTGAGTATGTTTTGTGCTATTCATGCCCTAACACATAATTTACTTGGTTACTGGAGGATAGTGTGTACTAGTAGGCGAGTGGAGCCACCCAGAACTCAGAGAGAGAGAGAGAGAGGAGTATATTGGCTAGTGGGAGCAAACACCGCGCCGTTTTGGACCACTAGGTTAGCTCTTTCCCGCTTGCCAACAGTCAAAATCACCAATAAGGAGCTGGGTAGCCTTTTCAACCAAGCCTCCAATAGTCCAAATGTACGTATAGATGTACATGTCAACAACGAGGTCAAAACAAAAACATGTCGACTACCTCCAAGACAACTCTCTTTTTCCAAGGAAATAAGAAGAGCTGCCCTGGGTGGGATGTATGCCATATTTTGTTAGCCAGAAGCTGAAGAAAGGGGAAGGGTGACTGACAACTTACCACCTGAAGACAATACCCATACCATGCAGTAAAGGGGGGGGGGGGGATTGTATATGCCAGTCAGTTTTCTTAGCCTTACATTAGGATAGGAGCAGTTCAGGTAGACACTGTGTCTAGGGCAAGGTCAACTGCAGTGTGTCCTAGCATAGTTCAGGGGCAACTGAAATAGGATCACACTTAGTGCATCTGTGGGTAGGGGCAGTTCCTATAAACTCCAGTAGTGCTGTAGTGTTACAGTGGATCCTTTCTAACCCTGACACCCATGGAACAGTCCACATTAGTAAAGTCAGGTAAGCTTTACTGACAAGCCCATCCTACTGACCCATCATTCGTTTCCCCTCCAGACAGGTCTATAGTTTAAGCGAAAGCCTGCCTTGAATGTGGTCCGTGTGGGTCTATATGTATTTAATTAGCAAACATGAGCGTGTGAGTAGGAAATTTAGTTTATGCAACCACGTGTGTACAATGTAAGTAAGGTAGCTATGGTAGCTGGTAGAGATGCTGTGAGCACACATGCACGTTGTGAGTCTGTGTGCATAATGATTATACACGTAGAAGTAGGAAATGCATGGCTAATGAAGCGAGCCTACACATGTATGTATGTATGTGTGTACACACACAGTACACACAGAGAGAGAAAGAGGAAACGTAGCTACGATGCTGGTGCCGCGGTTTCAGAATGTGCACTAGAATGTTGCGGATTTTAAGGACACGAAGCGCTAGAACCGATGGAATTGCACACGAGGAAAGAAGTTGAAAGCATTGTGTATGCATTTCTGCAATAATAGTTATATGCTCCCACCTTCAAAGAGCTTTGCCAGGCAACAAGGCACTATACGGGTAACATTGCACCCATGTTATCGGGTAGTGATCCTATATAGCGGGTAACTAAGACTATCGAATCAGGTTTCTCTGATATTTGACGGAATATGGGGCATCTGCCAGCAATGGTGCCCTTTGCTAAGGACTCAGACGCATTCTTTAGTCTAATTGTGGACTTCGGGGAAGTTGTGATTTAGAACTACCTACGTAGGAATCAATATTACTGACGGAATGCCACAGCACTCAGCGAAAATAGTTCGTTCAAAGTCTGAAGAATTGTGGAAGTAGATCGGAGGGAGCCTACTTCTGTCTGGAGTCAAACCCAGGCGCCGTGACCGGAAGTCCAGAGCGCTACACGCTGAGCTACGATCTTCCCTCTTGCCCTGCCATTCTTCAGTTATCCTACTCTCTCGAAATAGCGTGCTCGAGCTGCTTTTTGGTTTATTCACATTGTGTTAAATGCTTGCAACAAATGATGTTGTTGTTTTAATGTGTACATGTGTATGCTATAAACAGACATACTTTTATTGTGATGCACCGTCACACAATAACAAGCCCCATTGTGTTTGTTGTTTACATCGATGTGTCGGCTATGAGACCGACACTTGAATGCAAACAATTGCTTCCTTCTGCAATCAGCGACCCACAAAATCCCACATCGTTAATCATTAATTGCTGACTTGTATATACCTAGGTTCGTGTATGCATTCACATAGAAAGTAAGTAGACGCTGGTGGAGCGAAATTGTTGTAGCACGCAAAATTTTTATTGAGTCTGACCACCCTGGGACATCGATGTGTCGGCTATGAGAAACTATACACAGGAGCTATATACCACTTACACTTTTTGAATAGAATGCCCACGAAAAAGGTCCGTGCCCTATGGTGTTGGTAAACATTCAAGCATGTGGTGTTATTTTGACACTACACCTGGGAGATTGGCAGACCCCCAAGTGTTCCAAACTGCCTACTTTGGTTGTATGAGTCGGTCATGGCCACTGAAACACACACACACAAACACAGTCACAGTCACAGCACAGTCTTTTAGTTCCGTTTCACAATGGTGCTAGAGGTTTGGGCATGGAGGAGTCAAACTTTACAGCTGCATTTCATAATGACACCTGTGCATAATAATATGTGAATAAAAGTAAACAAAGCAAAGGGAATTGACAAGCATACATACAGTTGATTCAACTTCAACCAGAACTACATTATTTTCAAAGAAAAAAGAGCTATCCTGGGACTTAGAGGAAGTTCGAATTGTCGGGAACTGGGAGTTCTGTAGAGGAACACCATAGACTGAGTACTTTTTCTACTGATGAGCTTTACCTACACTTATGCCCTTTTTGATGGTAAACTGGTTCAACGTTTTGCATGTGTTCCAAGAAAACAGTTTTGACGTATTAGGACAAATTTGCCTCACAGTAAAATTTGTGCCCACATGTTTGCTTCAATTTCCCTTATAATTGCCCACTCTTTGGCCATTGATGACGTCTCCACTACTCGGTATGGGACTTGGGGAACTGTCAGGTGTCAACTGCAACTGATGTTGTGTGTAAATCGGTTGGTGTTGTTCCGTTTTCTCTGCTCGTAACTTGCAGTCCGAGTGTATTTTGTTGTTCTTTTACAGTGGAATGATGTGAAAACACAGTGTTGTTTCTCTTCCTTAGTTCAGTAGCATGTTTTTCAACTTGCAAAGTATAAGTGTTGTTTCTTTCTTAGCTCATAGTTTCTGGTGACATACAAACACAAGAGTTTTGCTCTGTAATATTATCACGTTTGCAGCCATTTTTAGTTCCATATGGACCTTTCGGGGCTGAAAATGTTTTTGTAGCGTCTTCAGTTGAACATGTCTGTCCGAGCCACAGTACGGTGGTGTGTAGATTTGAGGGGTCCGTTTGCCTTGCATAGAGCACATCGCACTGCAGAAAGCCTGGGTAAATATCCCGTCTGGGGCAGCATTTTAAAAAAAAACAACTTAACATGGGTGTAATCGAGTTTTTTTGGCTTACCTCTTGCCTTGCAACCTTATTGCACACTCTGCTGTGTACCTCCTGATATGGTCAGTGGAAGACGACGTGTTTGTTGTGACTGAGGAAGAGTGGTTATCAAGAGAAGTTGGCAGTTGACTTGTTGAAGGACTGTACGTCATCTTTCGGACCAACTGCGATTGGCTGAAACTTACTTCAACACAGCAACAAACTGTGTCGACTTGCATCACTTGTTGCATCATGTGACATCACCAATCGCATCGTGTGATGTCACTGGCCACCGCATCACACGGCGTCACTCCAGAAACTAATCTTTTTGGCAAAAACTCCAAGTGTCCATTTCATGTCAGGCGCCACTTTTCTTTGCTGGCTGTGTACGCATTTGTGGAATATGAAGTAAACGGAGAACAATGCTGACCGGCAATTTAGTTTGTCTTGGAGGTTTGGGCCTTTGTGTGTTACTACCTTGGAGATAAAATGTGTAAGGCACAGGTTCAGTGCAATAGATAGTTATGCAAGCCTTTGTAAGTGCTGGTTGCTGGTGTAAGCTTATTCACAATGGCACTAGGTAGGTATACCTTAGTTGCCCAGACTGCAATACTATATCCCTCAGAAGTCGTAGCTGAAAGGTGCATAATAGGAACCTTGCACTGCTATGAATATGGTCCGTTGCCAGGGCACCCTCGAAGGTATCTCGCGGGCGCCTTACAATGTCGTTCAGTTCTAGTTCCAAAAGCCAGCTGGCTTTATATAGGAGCGTGGTGGGAGTTGCGCGTTACTCTCAGTTGCCTTTGTAGCTAGCCAGAGTTCGTGTGTGTTATCTACCTGTCTTCTTTCTCCCTGCGCCGCCATGGTGTTCAATACAGGGGGTCTCATAAGCGTGAAGGTCGTGCCCGACCGGAGTCCGTTGGAGGTGAGTTTTACGCAGAAATTTACGGAGAATGTAACGGGAGGGGGTAGGGCTCGTTGTTACTGGATGCAGTGTGCCTGCCCCACGCGTGCTTCTTTCAAGTGGTGTGAAGGCAGTAAGCTGCCCTATTTTAGCATGTGTGTAGCAGATGCTTGGCATGCTCCTTGCCATGTGTGCTGAGGGCCGTGTTACTTAGTATGTAGGGCCTGTGCTCATTCTTTCACTATGGGAGAGGCATTCATACCCAATGGGATGGTCTATTGTACCCAACTGTAACTGCAGCTTCTCTAGGGCCCTGTGTAACGTTCTGTAGCACATGCCCAGCTGCTAGTAGTGCACACTTGACCTCCAAAATACACGTGAACACTCTCTTTTAAAAGTGAGCTCTATTATTCATATTGAGAGAACTTTCTGACGCATGGATACACCAACCTATGTACTAGCTGCAGGTGTACGAATGCCTGTGTAAGTAAACAGGTGAACTGAAAGCAGCTCAATACATGTAAAACATACAGCACAAACGTAGTGTTATTGGACCTCTCACTTCGTGTGTGTAATGCTCTCTATTGCTCCTCCTGTGTCCCAATACAGGGTGGAGGGCAGATGGTGCTGGTGTTCTACAACGAACTGCCACCAGGCAACAAGTTTGTGACGTTCTTCTCTCAGAAGAGAAACACCAGTATAACTGTCGATACCACTCAGGAGAACGCGATGGTTCTTTATGCACTCATTCCAAGTGAGTGTAAATGGGAACGAAAGAAAGAGAGAGGGGGGAGAGGCGGGAGTAAAGGAGGGAGAGGGAAAGAGGAAGGGGTGGTGAGAGGGGGAGAGAGAGAGAGAGAGTGAGGGAGGGATTACAAGTTGAATGGTAGAGAAATAGATCAGTGAAAGAGTGAGTGAAAAAGGGACGGGAAACGATCAGGAAGGGGGATGGAAATGCTGAATGTATACTCACCCGATAAAAGGTTACACAAAGAAGAATTGATAAAGAAGGAAACTGGAACTCTGAATATCACTCCCTGCTGCATTGTAGCAATTATCGGCCGGTTATTTTTCAAATTCATGACACACCACCCGCCTGCTACAACTTGGTCTACATGTATGTCGATCTGGCGTATTGCCTATGGCTGTTCAATACCATGTGTGGCAATGTAAAGATAGAGCCTTGAAATGTATGTACACTGGAACCTTTTACAATTGAGACTCAGAATAAGTATATATACACACGTATAAAGAACACTAGTTTTGATTTGGTGATTTAAATTCAACCTCTGTACATAGGAAACAGTTAGGCCCTTTGTGGGATGTCCACTGTCATAATGTGCAGGCGTGCCCTGAGGTCTATGTATGGGTAGTGTTGTGGGTAAGATTCACTAGGCTAGGGTTGAGGCATTGAACTGTGTTGTGGGTAAGATTCACTAGGCTAGGGTTGTGGAATTCAACTTATGGTTCCTATTGCTTGGCCACCTCCCCGTTTGGTTGCTGTGTTTGTGAGTCAGGTGAGGAAAGGGTTGTGCAGTTGAATGGTGAGAGAAGGGTTATTTGAACGCAGGCTAGTTACAAGGAAGGCACTACAAGTATGTACGTTGTTACTAGAGGCTGCTTGTTGTCCGTTCCATTTTCCGAGAAAATTTGCCTACCTCTGTTTATGTTAGAGGTTCCCTTTAGGCGCTGCACTGTCATATTATCCCTGCCTTCACTTCCCAATTACCAGTACACAGGGTAGGCATTGGGAGCAATAGTCACGTAACTGGTGGAATAACACCTGAGTTCTAAGGCTTTGTTTGTTACCAATGTGCCTACTTGTGGAAGCTTGTCTGCGTTTTTCCGTCTAATGCTAGTCGTCCATGAGAGATGGTGAATATGCATATAATACACATGTCTGTCAAGCCCTATGCTGTGGTTCTGTTAAAGTTAGTGAGTCCCAGAGAAGCAGTGGTATACACATATAGAGAAAGCTTTGTTCCTTTCTTGGAGTTCAGAAGGGGAAGAGAGTAGTCTCCAAAACCAATCTATGGTTTGCTGAATACCCTCTGCTCCCTAGTACTGAGCCCTTTGGTTTACAAGTTGCCTTTTGTAATGGGTTATGGCATTGTGTGGAGATAAAGGTTAGTTTGCCACTTAAAAGTGATAAGCTTGTACTGCACTATATTGTGGGTGTTCAGACTGATCTACCTGATGTGTGAGTGTGAGTGAAGTTCCACGTTCAAAGGCAGCGGAACAGCAGTAAAACCCTAGGAACGAAAATACTGGGCAACAGGCTAGTGTTGGGTGTTTGTCTTGTTGCCCTAAGGGAGTAGTAGTATAAAGGAAGTGTATGGTCAATATGGAACTGAGCCCCAAAGCCGCTGGTACCAGGTTACACCACAGAGTCCTTCTATATAGTGTGGGAGTAAAACTGGAACACTGTGGTAACTCTATAACTCTGAGTTTGTAGTATATACACCCACAGTCAGTTCCCTCACGTGGGCTCTAGAGTGTTCATTGCCAGAATGGGCATTTTGGAGCATTTGGGTAGGGTGATTAGGTATCACTGTCAAAATGTGTCTCCCTCTCTCTCCCCTCCTCCTCTCCCCCTCTTCTCCACCTCCTTTCTCCCCTCCTCCTCTCCCCCCTCTTCCTCCCCAGGGTACGACTGCCCAGAAACAGTGGCTCTCCAGGTCTACTGTGAAGGACGTGTTCTCGCACAAACAGAGTTCACCTTCTATGCCAATACCCAGTACCACTCTGACCAGCTCTTCAGCTATCTCGTCCAGAACATGCCGCAGTACTTCCAGATGGACGACATTTCAGGTGAATAGGGGCTAAAGTAACAGTTGAAACTGGAGGTGAAAGAGTCATTACGTAGTGGCATAGAGGTTTTTAACTGCAGAAAGAGTGACATGAAGGGATTACTGAGTTACTGAAGCAAGGGTTTTAGAAGACAGCTAGCTACTGTGCCATTTATACCTTCATTGCCTTCACCATTGCAGAAAGACTAGCTTTTCACATTCTAGTTCCGATTTCTCGTTGGACTACCCTCTTGTGGGTACCTCTGTTTTGGGTAAAAAAAACTTGCAGTTCCGTGGTTGGCACAAAACAAACAGTCCAGTACGCGGGTATATGCCCTGTGCCTTGACCCTTTACTACCACTTCAGTTCCACTCCACCTGGTCAGAAGATTTCTCCATAATCCTCTAGCTGCGTAGGAGTAACCACATCTTTGGTCTCGGCTGTTTTTATAAGTAATTTTATGTGGTCTGATCGAAATGTCTGAACGTTTGAGAGTCAGGTTCACTGCTTGTTCACCGTTTTCCTCCTCCCCCTTCTCTTTGTTTCTTTGTTTCCTCTTGGCCCTCCCTCCCTCTTTCCTTCTCTTTCTCACTCACTTGCTCCCCCTCCCCCTCTGTCCCCACATGTACACAGGAGCGATGGGAGGAGCTGATGGTGGGATGGGTGGCGGTGGTGCTAGCGGTGCCGGAGGTGGAGGGTACGGGTACTATGGCAACGTCCCAGCCTCCATGTACGGTCTCCTGCTGGGAGCCTGTCGTCTCGGTCTCGAGCCCCTCGTCTACCACACTCTGAAGGTGACAAACATGTCCAAGATCAGCGGGGAGCAGCTGCAGAAGGCGTTCACTTGCTCGCAGGAACACGGGCACCAGAACCTTGCCAACTGCCTCAAACACCTGGTCCGGTTCACCACCTTTGTCACTCGGTATGTATATTGTAAGAGTCGTGTACGTCGTACATAGGGCTACAGTATTAAAGACTGGGGAAGGGGCAAGGAAGGGAATAGGTGCACACTATTATACTATTGTGTGTATGTGTGTGTTACCCCTGCTTTAGAACCTATATGAGGTCTACAAGGGCCTCGTGCATCATAATGTTGTCATTTTGGGTCGATTATGTACATGGCTCTAATCCGTGCCCTCTCTCTCTCCCTCTCTCACCCTCTCTCCTTCACTCTCTCTCACCGCCTATAGTGGAGACTCTCCTGTAGATTCAGTGCTGGCAGAAGGTTCTGAGAAATACCTTGAGAAACTTAACATGGGTGGAGAGGACCCAATTGGTACGTGTGTGTGTACCACATGGACACATCAAGTAGTGGTTGGCCAGCTATATATATACATACACACTCTTGGGTTACCTCTGTACTGGTATGATTGGAGCTAGCTGTGCCCAGCCTGAGTATGTGACCAGCTCATGCATCCCTGGCCTGGGGAGAGAGAGCAATGAGAACTATAGCCATGATGTAGGCTATCTTGTAGCCCCAAGACTGCTGCCTTACTGTGCCGGCAGTGATTCAACAGCCTTGCCTTGTAGGTGGGTGACACTGCATTCTGCAAGTACATGTATGGCACCGCAGCCATGCTCTGCCTGTACCAATGTACTGGAACTTGGCATACATGTTCCATAGTGCTGAGTGGTAAAGCGGCTTCTGTGGCTAAGATGTTGCTTTTATCTACCACACCTGATTATTTGACTGCCGTTCAACTCTTAAGCCTTACATAACTCTCTCTTGCTTCTTGCATACATACATATGTAGCAGTTACGTGTATTAAAGTGGGAAAAGTGTACTGTGCATTCACACGCTGCAACGTTGTACGTAATCCAGAACTATTGAATTTGCTGAATGTGGACAGTGTTTCATGTAGAACTGTCCCACCTGGCTGAGTAATGCAGTCACCACTGCACTGTAACCCTATTCTGCCACATAAAGGACGCAGTGACTGTGTTAGCCAGCGATGAAATTGAATAAAGCTCGAGTGTTTTCTTCCAACAGGAAGAAATTATATCCAATTCTACACATAACTTACACTGCATGTGACTACACATAATCACTCTACTTGTGACCACGTTGTATGTACATGTGGCAAACTTGGCCTCCACTGTATTATGTGCAGACAATTTGGGGGACGAAAAGTCAGTTAGGAGTCGTAGCCCACCTTTGTTATTCTTTTGGTAACTGTATGTACCTAATCGTCCCCCTATTATCTTCATTGCTGCAGCTACGTCCCACATGATCCTCAAATCAATGTTGGAGGCCTCTCGCAGTGTTCGCTCCATACCCACTCCCTCCCCCTCCGCCTCCCCCTCCCCCTCTCCCACCCACTCACCAGCTCACCACTCTCCCTCCTCCACCGTCACACTCCCTTCCCCCTCCCCTCCCTCTCGTCGAGTTTCAACCACCACCAAACTCCAGAAACAAGACAGCGTCAAAGACCCAGATGGTATGTTCGGTAAACCTGTTGCATTCGCTAACAGTGTGGTAGAATGCACAGAAGCACTGTGTTACATAGAATTTACTGTCGCATGTGATTGATGTGCGGACTTCTAAGTGGTTGAAATGTGAAGCATGTTGATGCTACAGGTGAAAGTTGCCATAGGAGTGAATTTGATGTCACGTAGCGTCATGTGAGATAATGCAACTGCCTTGGCTGTCGTGTCATGTACATTTTAGTCTAGACATAGTTCCATAATGGCTTGGAATGGTAGGCATGTAACACGTAGTGTGGTCATTGATGTACCTAACCCACATAACAGTAAGCCACATGTGAAACTGTAACCATTTGAGGAGGAAAACTTGCCGTAATTTGTGAAAATGGAAACCAAACCTTTGAAATACAGTCTCTCTCACCCTCCTCTCTCTCCCTCTCTTTCTTTTCTTCAGAAGACCTTGCTGACACAGATTCGACCCCGACAGCCACCAACCTTGGGTTTCTCGGTACAGGGAGTCTGGACGGCACCGGGAACCAGCGAGGAGAGCACCTCGTCCCTCGCGGCGGCAGTGGCAGTGGTACAAACAACAGTGGCTCCATCACTCCCACCTCCATCCTGGACATGGAGCTCAAGGACTCGCTCCCGCCACTGCAGCCCAGAGCCGAGAGGCTGAGCATGCGTGGCACACGTTCGCACCGTCTCGTAAATGCCCACTCCGATGACACCGACTCTGCTGTGTCAATGGTTAGTGATACAATAGTGACAGTTTACTACGTTTATACTGTACGTAGGTGTGCATACTACTTTATATGACAGTGTATATGTATACTGTGTCTATGGTGAGCCTTCCTTGCTACTTATGAATATTCATATTTTACTTTGAGCATCGGCAGCTACCTTTATTGAGGAGTACTTGGCAAAATGAATAGTCGCATTAAATTGATGGGGGCTGATGTATGAATTAATATTCAACTGCAGAATGAAGGTTTTATGGAAATTGAGTGTGATTTGTATGATACTCTGCTTCTCCCCGTTCCACAGTCGTTTGACCGTACGTTTGAAGACCACGACCTCCAGAGAGAGATTGAGCGAAGGATGAGCGGGACGTTTGCCTCCTCCGGACTCTTCTCCCTCAACATGAGTGACACCGAGAAAGCAGTGGACGTCACTATTGATCCTGCAGCCTCTTATGGATGTAAGTTGCAGGGCACTTCACTAATCTAATGTATGGGCCATAGATGAAGCTATTTCTATGTCATGAATAGAGAATAGAGAGGTTCCTTGTCAATATTAATTTTATGTTGAGACTGAAGACTGATAGTCAAAAAGTCATGTGAGAATCATGTGACTATAAGTTTACTGTAGTGATGGAAGATCAATGGTCAGCAACAGACAATAGATGGATCTCTTTTGTGCGGGCTTTCAATAGGCACAAGATGGCCTGTTTTTCTTACCAGCAATTGGAACTGCTCTTGAGCAAGTTCCGACATGGGTGTGTATGATCTTACACCAGTGCTGTGCATATGGAACTTGTAGTGTAGATCTTACACCAGTGCTGTGCATATGGAACTTGTAGTGTAGATCTTACACCAGTGCTGTGCATATGGAACTTGTAGTGTAGATCTTACACCAGTGCTGTGCATATTACACCAGTGCTGTGCATATGGAACTTGTAGTGTAGATCTTACACCAGTGCTGTGCATATGGAACTTGTAGTGTAGATCTTACACCAGTGCTGTGCATATGGAACTTGTAGTGTAGATCTTCACCAGTGCTGTGCATATGGAACTTGTAGTGTATGATCTTACACCAGTGCTGTGCATATGGAACTTGTAGTGTAGATCTTACACCAGTGCTGTGCATATGAACTGTAGTGTAATCTTCACCAGTGCGTGCATATGGAACTTGTAGTGTAGATCTTACACCAGTGCTGTGCATATGGAACTTGTAGTGTAGATCTTACACCAGTGCTGTGCATATGGAACTTGTAGTGTAGATCTTCACCAGTGCTGTGCATATTACACCAGTGCTGTGCATATGGAACTTGTAGTGTAGATCTTACACCAGTGCTGTGCATATGGACTTGTAGTGTAGATCTACCCAGTGCTGTGCATATGGAACTTGTAGTGTAGATCTTACACCAGTGCTGTGCATATGGAACTTGTAGTGTATGATCTTACACCAGTGCTGTGCATATGGAACTTGTAGTGTAGATCTTACACCAGTGCTGTGCATATGGAACTTGTAGTGTATGATCTTACACCAGTGCTGTGCATATGGAACTTGTAGTGTAGATCTTACACCAGTGCTGTGCATATGGAACTTGTAGTGTAGATCTTACACCAGTGCTGTGCATATGGACTTGTAGTGTAGATCTTCACCAGTGCTGTGCATTATGGAACTTGTAGTGTATGATCTTACACCAGTGCTGTGCATATGGAACTTGTAGTGTAGATCTTACACCAGTGCTGTGCATATGGAACTTGTAGTGTAGATCTTACACCAGTGCTGTGCATATGGAACTTGTAGTGTAGATCTTACACCAGTCTCATATGGAACTTGTGATCAACATGCGTGCATTGGAACTTGTAGTGTAGATCTTACACCAGTGCTGTGCATATTACACCAGTGCTGTGCATATGGAACTTGTAGTGTAGATCTTACACCAGTGCTGTGCATATGGAACTTGTAGTGTATGATCTTACACCAGTGCTGTGCATATGGAACTTGTAGTGTAGATCTTACACCAGTGCTGTGCATATGGAACTTGTAGTGTAGATCTTACACCAGTGCCGTGCATATTACACCAGTGCCATGCATATGGAACTTGTAGTGTAGATCTTACACCAGTGCTGTGCATATGGAACTTGTAGTGTAGATCTTACACCAGTGCTGTGCATATGGAACTTGTAGTGTAGATCTTACACCAGTGCTGTGCATATGGAACTTGTAGTGTAGATCTTACACCGCTGTGCATAGGACTTGTAGTGTAGATCTACACCAGTGCTGTGCATATGGAACTTGTAGTGTAGATCTTACACCAGTGCTGTGCATATGGAACTTGTAGTGTAGTACAGTTTACACAGTAGAGCGGACATGGTGGCTAAAAGGGTCAGTGGTGGCTAAGGGGTCAGCGTGCTTTTCACATGGCTGTGAATGACCTTCTCTCTCTTTCTTCCTCCCTTCCTCTCTTTCCCTTCCCTTCCCTCCCTCTCTCCCTCCTTCCTGTAAAACTCCAGTTGCCAGCTCTCTGCAGTACGAGGGAGTGTTCCTGGTCACGGAGGACTACCCTCCCGGGGAGGAGACTATCTTCAGATCGGGCGACAGGATCCTGGCCGTCGGAGACACCTCGGTCCGTGGGATGAGCCCCGACAGCTTCCAGGAACTTCTTGAGGTGTGTATGAGTCTCGTTGGTTTGAGTCTTGTAGAGCAGCTCTTTTATTCATAATTTATGTCCTATATGCAATATATAATTGCCACCACCAATCCAGTTGAATACTTTATAGCAGGAGTATTTTACCCACGAAAAAATACTTTTGTGGACTTTCTGGTTGCATACAAGTAGGCAATGAGAATCCGTTTATGGAACCTCTTATTATCATTCCCTCTCTTTTCTCTCTCCCACAACAACAGAAGGAGACGGCCTCGGGGACCAGTACAAAGGTCAAGGTTCTCCCCCGCATGGAGCGCTCGCCGCCGCCCCCCGCCTCCCTGTCCCTCCACAGTCTCGGCTCCAGCCTCGAGCTCACGGAGAAGAAACTGAACCGCCGTCAATCTGAGAAACAGCTGCTGGACTCCATCACTCTCAAAGTCTCAAACCTTCTCAGCATGAAGGCCAGCGGGTGGGTGAACTATGGGGGAAAGTTTGTGGTGTAGATGGTAACTGAATGTGCTTTAGATTTTGAAACTGCGATTGCTACTACAGGTTATTACTGTGGTTAGGGGTTTACAAAGCATACATCTTGAGGTTGCACCATGTACTAGTGTGTATGTTCTGTATATAGTATAATGTGTATGTTTGCTTAGCAGATGAACTAATCTTTCTCGCTCTATCTCCTTTCCCTCTCTCTCCTTCCTTCCTCTCCTTACATCTGCAGGAAGCCCCGAAACGTGATCATCACCAGCTCCTCAGAAGGGTTCGGTTTCAAAGTCATCGGAGGCAATGCCGTGGGACTGTTTGTGTCGGAGGTGAAGCCAGTCAGGAAGGAGCTGTGCCAAGGAGACCAGATCCTGGAGATAAACGGACAAGACGCTCGCCACATGACGCACTACGAGGCCTCCCAGCTCCTCAGGTCCTGCAGGGACAAGGTCCACCTCAAAGTCATGGACAATGGAGCAAGTGAGCTTTGATTCAAATAAAAACATTGTGCATAAGTAAAGCCTCTTTCAACAGAAGTGTAGAGTTTGAAGCTCCAACTAATGTGTTTGATTACTGCGAAAGGCTCGTATTTTACCACGTAGCATTTGCAAGTAAAGCCTAGAAGCTTCAAGTGAGGCCTAGCTTCATCCATAGTCAATCACATAGTTATGCCCTTATCAGCTATAATTATACCTGAGAGCTTACCTGACTTGACTTAAAATAAACCTGTCATTGAGCTGTTCCCTGCTTCGTCTCTCTGCACAGAGTTCACGACCGTACGAGACCAGTTTGAATTTGACTCGTTCTACATGCGCTGCGTGGGAGACCACAAGGAGGCATGCCTGAGGCCCAACACCGTCCTGCGAGTCGTAAACACCTTCCTCTTCTCCGGGCACTTCTGGCTGGCCTGGATCGTGGACGAGAACGGGACAGACTGTGAACTGAGAAAGATCCCCTCGCCCACAAAGTGAGTATTAATAGTAGTCATGCATGTGCGTAGGTATTTCTGGACTTCTGACACGTCAGATTCGTGGAGTAATGGTCACTTTTTGCACCCTTATGGGATGCATTTTCACAGATATGCATGCAAACTAACTGCTGAAGTCACTTGAAACCATTGGCTTGTGCTGTAAAAACGCATACAATTATTAGTGCCAAGAGCATATCATAGAACTTGTAAGTGGACATGAAATTAATCCTCTTGTCTCTCTCTATCCAGAGCCAAGCAGCAGTATGGGAAGGAGGTGTATGAAGAAATGGAAGCTCCCTTCGCAGCACAACCAACCAAAGCATAAACTTCTCACACACAGACCTGCAGTCACACAAACAAGAAGACTTTAAAATTTATTATTCACAATGTCACTCACACACCCCTTCAGAGTCCCCCTTACTCCCTCCTCCTTTTTTGTTTCCTCATTGACCGTTTTTTGTTTGTGTATTTTGTATGTATGTATTGTTTTTTGAATATCGATTTGATATATTCATGGCACTAAGTGCTTTGTGAGTGTTTTGCTGCAAAATATCAATGTTTCTCCTCCATCTCTCTACTTGCGCATGCGTATTTGATTGTGATGGTGTGCGCGCATGGTCAGTTGCCATGGTTTCGGCTATCGTAAAAATGGCGGAAGGTCAGAGTGGAGTGGACAGTTTGGCGACAGAATTCGCGACCTACAGCGACTTTCTGGACTCTCAGGTCACGCCAACAGACCTGTACTACCTGGAGGTATGCAAAAACAAAGACATCGTAGTGCATTCGTCCCTGAATCACGTGCTTCAGCTACATAGAGCTAAAAGTTGGTGTGTGCATGTCTCGCACGCATTTACGGCTTCGAATTTGTGTGGCATCTATTCAGTAGGATGAGCATCTACATACATAGGAACAGAGCCCTACCTAGAAAGCAGAGTGTCGTGGATTTGAGGCCTGCCCAGACGGCAGCTGATTTTCAGCCCCTTGCCGTGATTGGTGTCCTGTATGCCATAATTCCTGGTGGAGTCTCAGTTTGAGTGTGTGTCTGCCTCAGGATGAGGAGCTGGCGAGACAGCTGGTGGAGCTGGGCTACAGGGGCAGTGGAGAGGTGCTCAAAAGAGAAGACTTTGAGGCCAGGAAACTCGCTGCTGCTGCCAGCAGGCAGGCCAGAGGAGACCAGCAGAAGTATGGATGCTTTATCCTATCGTAGTGCGAGAAGGGGTATTATAATGCTCAACAGGCCTAGTCTGGTAGTATATATTAGAGGGCCAGTTGGCATTGTATGAATATTGATCGTTCATGATCTGGAAAAGGTCTTGTGTGTGGGTAAGTCAAAGAGGGAAAGTGTTAGTGAATCTCTTATATGTTTGTACAGTAGGTGCGCAAGCTACTGCTCCATAGGCTTAGTCTAAAGTCTATTTGACACACACACACAACGAAGAGCTCCTCTTTTTTGCCAGCTGTTGGTGGTGAAGCCTGCTGTGACGGAGGTGGTTTCAACGGTGAAGCTATAAGGAAGAAATTGGGGGTCTTTAGATGGAGGCAGTTAACAGTTAGGCCTTGTTTTAGAGATGAAGTTGGAAGTTTAAGTTCATTTTTTCTGGACAGCCGCTTGTCTTCTGTGGAGAATGTATTGTGTCAAACTGGCCAATGTAGGGTCCTGCTGTTGCTGTAGATCTTTGTAGCCATTGTCGTCTGCACAGATTGTCAGTTTTCGTTACATTGTGGCTAATACTTACATCTTGTCTGGTTAGCCATTGCTGTGAATTGAAAAACATGTGTATTGAAAACCATGTCTGTGTAACAGGAGAGGAGGTTTCCTTTGTGGGAGATGGGGCAAAGCCTTGCTGTATACACACAGACGGGTTTCCAAAATGTTCAGATTTTGCATTATCGTCTTTCTCTACACATTATGTGTACCGTATCTATACATATTCCCTTTATAGTGTCTGTCTGCATCCCTAATATTAGTCTAATGTGTTTTTCCTTTTCTGTATGTGTAAAGAGTTTCTTCCTGTTAGTTTGTACATGTGCTTTGGCTTCATCATCTGTTCTTGTTACTCTTCCTGTCTGTCATCAGATTACTACTTATCTTACTGTGGGTAGTGACTTCATGTAGCACAGATGAGTTTCCCATGTTTCATCATCATTTCCCCCTCTTCCTTTGTGTCCCCCTCTATCTACATCATCTCCATACATTATCTTACCATCTCTTCACATCCTAATGCATCAGTGGGTTTATACGTATCCTCACAGTATCATGTCAATACATTCCTTCCTTCTTGTATCATGCACATACATTTATCTCATTCTCTTGCCATTCTGCTCATCGTGTTCATTCTGCTCTATCATTTCAGTGCATTCTCTCTTCTATTTTATCTCAAGAGTTGTCATGAGTTTAGTTAATTTGTTTGCTTTTCCTTTGCCGTGCAGCCTCGTAGATGTTTCCATGCATTCTCATCTCCTCTCTCATGTCCATATTCCTATCATTTCCATGCATTCCCATCTCCTCTATCATGTCCATATTCCTATCATTTCCATGCATTCCCATCTCCTCTATCATGTCCATACAGTGTCTTGTGCAGTACTGGTAAGCCAGTGGAGAAGTGTGCTCTCCTCTTGGCCCTGGCCCAGAGAGAAGAGGCCAACAGGAACGGGAAGATGACTACCATTGTCTTCGTAAGAGACAGAAATCACAGGGGCCAGGAGATCTCCGGCTACATCGACTATGCCCACCGACTCAAGGTCTGTAGCCATAAAACGCTCTTTTATACGACACACATCCATTGACTGTTAAGCCATGAGTTATGAGCATGATATCGAGACTTAGACTATGCTACCCACACTATATAATGATTAATGGAAAACTTCCCTGCAACATATACATGAGTTATGAGCAAATTGATACTTAGACCACACTACACTACTACACTACTGTATGATAGCTTCCCTACGACTCCTGTAACGTACAACTGAACCCACACAATGATGGTATCGTGCAATTTTTCAACCCTCAATAGTCTAAACTGCAGGGGGGATCATTTCTTAGAAAATTAATAAGCCCTTTGAAAAATAACCAATGCTTCTCTTGATTACTATATAGCACAGTTACTTCCTTGTGTCCCGTGTGTTTGTTTCATACAAGACTGAAGATTTTGGGCCCTACTTTTCCGGACGACGGAAGCTGCTGCCCCGTCACTCAGACCTGAGCTTCTATAACTGGGACACCAACTACTCCACCTCCAATTCCACTGCCAACTATCAGGTGAGGAGGGAGGAGGTGGAGGAGAGGGGAGGGGAGGTGAAGAAAAGAGGGAGGAAGAAACCTGGAGGTGGTTGGAGGGAGGGGTGGAAGGAAGGAGGGAGGGAGTAAATGAGGAAACAATGAGGTGGAAGGAAAGAGGGAGAGAGAAGTAATCAACAGGTGAAGGAGGGTGGGGTCTAGACACTAGAAGAAACTGCAGCTTCAGGCAAGGAAAAAGTCCCAGAATTTGTTAGGTGATGCCATTGCTGTTATATTGAAGGGCGTAGTGTTTTTGTGTGCTGTTCTCTTACTCTGTCTCTGCATGCTCAAAACTGCAATTAAGTCCAGGCAGTCATATGTAGTGTAGGGAAAAGCAAAAGTACAACCATAGAGTGGATTGTGGCCGTGTCTGCAGCTGTGCTGGAGGCATTGGCTCTCAGTATTCTAGAATCCTCCAGAAGCAACCACAATTATTAGAGTGTTTAAAACGTAGTCCAGTGATAGGTGGATCTGCCAGACCACCTGCTATGCCTATGGGATAGAATCGACAGTTGGAATGAGGGATAATCGCCTGTTGATCTGGTAAAATGGGCCAAACACACTGTCATATACACAGCCTTGTCACGCAGTGGAATCAATGGTATGAGGAGGAGCGAAAACCTAAAAAATCATGCAGCGTGTTAGTTTCCCCTACTGTGCGCTCTTCGTAACTCACCCCCATACAAGGAGAGATTATTTTTAGTTAATTTCTAAGTTTAGAACGTGCCTTGGCAGTATGGGAAGTGAGACCTTGCCGCTCCGATTACCCCATCCACTGTACTGTGAAATCACCCCAGTGACTAATGGTTGTTTTAGCCCTCCAACCGCGACACGATTTGAACTCATTTATCGTTCACAAATACATATGCTCTCGTCTCATCTGTACGTGCAGTATTATATTATAATGACCATCCAATGGTGCTGGCAGGCTTTGTTGAGCACCGAGTATGCAAACATCGGCTCGGTATGCAGATAATGCAGAGTGATTAGTCATACAGGCAACTTGCTGTATTGCGGGATATAAAGTCTGTATTGTGCGATAAAGTCTGGATTTCTAGTATGTACAGATATGCTGGGGCAATGATAGTAACTCACATAGTCGTCTGAATGGACGTACTCTATGTACTTATTCATTCATTACTCATTACGTAATCTTTTCTAGTCATTCGCATAAAAAGTGTATGCACGTGGAAAATAATTAGATTTGAGAGTCACAGTATAGAGAGAGAGAGATGAGTGTTGTCATGCGCAAGGCTGGGCGTGCCACAAATGTATCCATCCGGTCATACCTGATAATCCGCATGTAAAAATGAACATGAAGCTGTCCAAAGGAGGATTCTCTCGTGTTTGCTTGCCAATACATTATACGCATTGATAGCGAGGTAGAAATAGTCACCCAGTGTACATTAATGCTGTAGTAATGTATGTTGTGCTTTCTCTACCAGCTAGGACACGTATATATGTACTACACAACCCTGTTATGCTTGCTTGCAGGTGATCGCAGACAGTTTGTCAGGGCTGCTCTTTAAAAACAAACGTGACAGGAAAATGGTCTGCGTTGATCCAAAGGTTGGTGACCGGAGTTATAGACTCACTTTCACATGTTGTGCACCAACATAGGGAAACATTCAATTGGCTTTGTAAATATTTGGCGTGTGGCTATGGCTTTGCTAGTCCATCGTTACACAGTTGTGCATCGTTACATAAATATCCACCCACTAATCCATACATATGCTACCTGATCATGTTCCGTTTTCCTGGTGAACATTTTGTGTGTATGTACTAGCAGCTATATTATCCCTTTGCTCAATTGCTATCGCTGCACCAGTTACACATTGTTACGCCGATATCCGCATTCCAATCCAATCATAAAGGGTGGTGTTTTATGAATTTGTGGTCCAGCCAATAGAGCCCCTTATGAAGTGTGATCCAAGTGCTCTGCAGACACCGTGGCTCCTGTTGCAACACTGTTCTGGCTCTCCTCAACCTACTGCGTAACATGCTCTGGCCTTTTGCTGCATTTAGACTAATGCACTGGACATTCACCTTCCCTTTGGCTCATTTTGCCGTGAGCGGAAGTGCACATTGCATTGCTTGTGTACCCTTTTCTGCTGAAAGCTCTAACCTGCTGTGGACCTAGGCATTTACCACTCTTGCTGAGGAGAAGAGTAGCCAAGTCGCGACTAATAAGGAACTTTGCACACAAAGAATGTCACTGGAAAACTCGTTAACCAATCATGAAGTATAATATACCTGGAGAATCATAGTCGTGCACATGATCCTAAGCAGTTTATCTAATACTTGGTGCGCGGTCCCAAAGCAACTATTTGTGATACGGGCAGAATATTTTGTAGCGACTCAAATAAGACACCTGCCATAATGTATCTAACAAACCACAGATAAACACAGCAGGTTCTATCAGGACTGATCGGAAGCCCGAACAACATTCCTTGAAGAGTGTGCATATTGAAGGTGCTCCAACACGTGGATTATAGTCACAGGGCCTCGGGTCTCTGCCAAGATCGACAGAATACGTCGGAAAGTGATCTATAGTATTAGTGGATATTGGGAGTCCCATATGGTACGCATAGTTTTTGGACGAAAGTAATACAGTTTAAGGGTCACTGTGTGTGCTGGGGTGTAATTGTGTGGTCTACGGCCTAACAAATTTAGGCGGGTCAAAGTGTTCCAGCGCACCTACTCATATACTATTGCCATAAAAAAGGACTGGCATCTCTGTCTATTCCCCTCCAAAAGCTTGGCCCCCATTCACAGTTGGCATAAACTCCAGAATGTGCCCGGACACAACATGTACTCTACGGACTCTCTGGATAACCGGGATGATTTGGAGAGGTCTCCCTCTCGTTCTTTTTTCTTGCTCCCTCTCTCTCTGCTTTCTTAATATCGCAGTATACACAGTGCATTCCAAGGCCCAATCTCATCCCAGCAAAACCAACCAACGCAGCCAGTGTGTCTCTGGCAAATTCTGGAATTGCATTCCACGGATTTTCCTCTGAGCAGTAACAGGTGGTATGACATTGTTCCTGGCGGAGTGTGTGGAGCACCAGTCTCCCTCATCAGTAGTGGCATTTTCACAGATAATCCTGTGGGCACTGGAAAAATTATCGCGGTTTTCTCTCACATATGCTAAACCACGAATAGACTTTTTCTGCTTTTGCGACTCCGTGCGGACCGATTGTCTCTACGTGTATACTGCTGTACGCTCTGGTGTGAACACCGGCGCCATATACATTACTACGTTTGATGGATAAGTGTCACATTCGACTGATGTTATTTGTCTAGTCACATAACCGAGTTTGGTGCTTTGAAGATTATTTTAGACCACCCCACGCCAGAGTTCTTCATTTTTTCTATCGTCTAATTGACTTGGTCTGCCGTCTTACGTACACCTGAGTTACTCATTACTGGTTTATACCCCTTGGACAGTTTTTTTTTAATGTCACGAAAATGTCGCGTTTTTACTGTCTATGAGATTTGTCTGACAGCTACGTATGTGCTTTGAGATGTGTAAAACTCTTGTTTGGTTGCCAAAAATGAGATGCTAAAAGAAACACTCTTCAAATTAAGTTATGGAGTTTGGTGTGACATGGACATACATATTATGCAGTGTTAGAGGTTCAGCTAAACTTCCCCTCTTTTGTGGACTAAATTCCTTTGTTAACAGCTCAATATTATATGAGATCAATATATGCCTCAAATGCCTCATTTGGTTACCTCGATATGAGCACGCGTTCATGTGTGGGCAGTTACATCCTCTTACCGTCCTCTTTGTATATGCTTAATCTCCAGACGAATCTATTGGTTTGATTGTTAAGTGGATAAGAGGCTTTCCTCTCTGTTACAAAGTCCAAGGTGCCGCTCCAGTGATTGGATAACAAGTATCTCGTGTGTATATACACTTGTACCTTTGCACCGAACATGCTTGTCTTGGCAGGAACCTAACTAGCAATTCCATACCATGAGGACCATTAGATTTTCCGCTGCACGAGTTGGGTTTGGGTTTAAACAGTTCATAGCATCAGCTAATTTATGCAGTCCCTTCGTTGCTGCACCAGCCAATGTTCCTCCTCACCCAGCAAACCAGTCTGTCATCATTTCCCCCTACCAATGGCTTCTTGACCGTAGGGCATCTGTTTCAAGCAAGCTTGCCACAAGATGTTCACACAAACTGGTCAATTTCGTGACCTCTATAAGCATTTCCTGCAATTTCAGCGAACTTTGCTTCCACTATGCATGATGTGGGCTTTATTGTTTTGAAACCCGATTTTCGCATCAGTCATTCCTCTGTACTGCTGTGTTGTCACACACCTCCACCCTTCAAGAATTCCCCAATGTGCTACGTGTACCGCTACGTGTAGCCCTTTCTTCAGTTCTTTCCTCCTTCATCTCTTCATTATCTGTACTTGAATCCTGTCTCATCCAACCACTCTCATTCGTTTGCCGTTTCTCATCCCAATCTCGCACACACGTGTATACACACACACACACAGGCTCCATCTCCAGGTGACAACACCACGTGTGCACGTCTGTCCTCTCAGAGGTACATTCAGATCACTCTCTTTGACCATATCACCAGGAGAAAAGCATAGACCATCACCTCATTCACTACCACTGCACATTTGTACTCTCTGTCATCCTCATTTTACTCCCCCTTTCAATGGTGCATTAAATGTATATTTGCTTAAGGTCGTCTGTGTCATTAACAAAATGAATTGAAGTATGCACCACAGTGCTAGAGGTGCGCTGTGTATACAAACTTAAACTTTGCACACACAAGTTTATGTACATACCAGCAATTCCAAGGTCGATATCAAAGAGTAGTCTGTTGATAATAACCATTTGTCCTCGTTTTACTTTCTCCTTTAATGATAGTGCATTTAAGACACCTCACAAGTATATAGGCCGTCTATGTCATTAATCAAGTATGCTTGAAGACTAGAAGTGCATTTGAAACACCTCGCAATCAGCTCATCTGTGTAGACCCCGCGGAAAGTATGCACGTGTGGCTTTTAGGTGGCGTGCTGTGTATACAAATGTAGACTTTGCACACTCAGAGGGCATGTGCACGCTGGGTTGTGTAACGCTGTAGTTAGAGAAGGTTCGGTACCGCTTTTTATAATAGTACCAAGGTCAGTATCAAAGGATAGCCTGTATCAAAAACCAATTGTCCTCAGCTGAGTGTACACAGTGCTGTCCTCCTCACAACCACTCTCTTAGCCTTAAAAGATAAGTTTTTGTTGTTATTACAACTGAGTACTATGGCTCTCTTGGGAGGTGACCATCTGTTTACAACAACCTGCATTCCTACCTACAACACGTGGCATACCTCTGTCATCCGATATCTGGAGGCTGCAGTTGGGATATTAAAGGTATATACAGCATACTGTGTTCATAGGTATATGCAGGTATATTATGTGTATGTAGTAAGGTGAACCTCATAATTATATTGTTTCAGGGTGTTTGATAGCACACTTGAGCCCTACCTTTGAACAAAGTGTGAGGTAAGTATGTTGGTTTTCCCTACTCAGAGGTGATTCTTTCTTCAAGTGTGTGTATTTTATGTACCCCTGAGCATCTCGTTTGTGTGTATTACCTACCTGTGTATGCAACTAGTAAGACTCTTAAAGGGGTTCTTTTCTGGCATACCAATATACTGCTAAATTACGTGCCATTACTGTACAACATTTTTGTTCTCTTTGTCGGACGCTGTTAACGTACATGTGTACGTTTGATGCTCTGATGAAGGAGTTTTCTTAGTCCCACAGTGATTCCCATAACAATCCATACGCTATTCAGCTCTCCATGCCAACATCTAGATGTTCCTGAACAAATCGTGTTTGATTTTCGTCTGAAGTGCATGTTTAAACCAGTAAATCATGAACTATTTGCAAGCAAACACAATAGAGCACAATCTTGGAACTGCCGTATGTACGTGGTGTTTGTCTGTCGATAGTGACTGCGTTGTCATCGGACACTATAATTTACAAAAGGCGGAAGAGTAGGTTGCTTTCTCAGTCAACTGCAGAGTTGGATATGCTTCGCTCGCAAATCAAGAATACTAATGTCAATGGTCAATTTTTGTTATCTATTCATGTATATATTGAAGGCACTCAGAGGAAGGAAATTTTTGACATACTTGGTTCAGTACAAGTCTTACTGTTACCGAAGGTTAGGCCCTGTTTTATTCCTTGGAGGGGGAAAACCGGTTGGCCCTTGCACCACTTGTTGATGTCAACAAGTGTGGGTGTAAGGTATCCAATGTGGTGGGTAAGGTATTTATAGTTAACTCGTAACGTGTTTTCAGTTTTACAGACACATCCTGATGTTGTACCGAGACGTTAATCAGGTGAATATTTTGCATACTTCTGAGTGTATGGTAACAATAAGAGTCGGGATGCTTTGTTAGCCCTCAAATATAATTATGAGTGTTAGAAAGTCCCCTAGTATCACATAGTAATGTGTAGAGTATACTATGGTGGTCCATTACTATGGCTCATATCTTGTTCCAGACTCACTTCTCAGTGCCGCATTTTTCCTTGCATTTCCCAGTCATCGTTTTGCATTGTATTCACCTCAAACTCAATTAAGCTTTTCGTAATCGGATAAATCAGAAGGACTGCTCTCTTGCTAATACCATGATGAATGTGTTCTGCATTGCTTTCTGGGTATGTACGTATGTATGCTCCCTCTTACAGATAGCTTAGCTTCAGCTCTCACCTGATTTGCTCAATCGCTCACTCTGCAACTTTTCGGAATCACGTCTATGAATTTGTGGCCCATGCACTTTTGATCATTTGGTATGGTTGGAATTCATACTAATTGAAGACACACTTCTGCAAATCAAATTTTCCCCTCTATAAAAATCCAAAAGCTCTCCTTCCTAATGACATTAATCTAATAATCCCCGGTTGTGTAAATAGTCACTATTGTAGTTTACATACGTATTCATGGAAAGTGCTGAAAAGAGCAACTAGGGAGCACCGCCTAAATGGAAAATGATATCATGCGGTTCTAATCATACTCACATCACCCTAGCCAACAATGTGATGGTTTAATGGATAGCAGCACACTGTGGAGACGACCTCTGCCTCCACCTGCCCACCATGTTGTGTGTGAACTCATTCACGGACAAGGTTAAGACCTTTGGAACATTCTTGGTTATTAAGACCTCATATCCTTGAATTTTTAATGCAGCACCCACGCTTGCAGGCAGCTCTATATAAATGACATGCCCAAGAGCTGAAGTGTCTAAATCCAAGAATATAGACTCCTTCCTCATGTTCATTATATCTGTGCTGTGTGCAAAGTGCAAAATGGAGACTTCTGGTCGAAGAAGGTGAGCAGCATTAGTGAAATACCAAACAATGCCACAATGTCACCACTTCGATCAATAATGTGCCACCTGACGGTTAACGATTCGGCCATCGTCGAAAATGGACATTCCTTCTCCCTAATGGCTGCAGGCTAGACAGCATGTGTGGCTTTTGGCAGGTGCACTTATAGAGCAGCAACCAGTGCCATCAAGCATGTACATTATTTTGTTGCTACCATTCCTTGCTCACATCATAATACACCTGCACACACAAACTTATTGGTTTAAAAAATGAAATCGTGGACATTCATTGACCTTATCTCTTGATTGCCCTAATGAAATCAGTACTTGCCAAGTGATTAATGTATAAAGTTGCAACAATTACGCAGCCGTGTAAAATTCGCACACATATCCCTCAAAATATATTCGCATGCCAAGTGACCAGCGAGATTTATGCCTGCAACTCATCGAGCATGTTCTTTCAACAGTCAACGAAAATTTTGAACTTCGCTATTCTCGGTACCAAAAATCATGAATCATCTGCAGTGGCATTTCCACCACTCATATCTGCAGACAAAGCTCCAAGTCAGCAATAAAGAACAGAGTGCAAATAGTGCAGTGCCCCATTGGTACAAAAAGGAAGCTGATCTTCTGTTTGTGGAATGCTTTGGCTGTGGAAAAAGAATCAGGCATTCCTGTGCTGAGTGGTCGACTGAGCTGTGTATAGCAAATCAGTAGGTGTCTATATACTCTTTGTGGTGGCAGCAGCAGGATGTTCAGGCTCCTGTATCCAGGTAGGAAGGTTGGTACTCTGGGAATTACTCCAATGTATGACACGATTTGATTGGAGGTCAGGGATTAAATTCTTTGCGGGATACAAGACTCAACATTTACCGAGATGAGTTCCATTGGTCATTCCTGAGCCTAAGATACCCAATGGTATACTGGTTGGTTCGAAGTTGTCATTGTGGCGCATGTTGATGCTGGTCGTGTTTCTTGAAGCAAGTGAGATAAATTGATCTGAGTAACATTTTCGTTGTCAATAAATCACTCTTCTCTCTATCCACATTATTGCTGTAGTTGTTACGGCTGACTTACAGCAAATTATGACATTTCAGTGAGACAGTGACCAAGCTTCTTGGCAAATTGATATGTCTGAGTGTCACATTTCGCTATAAGTAGAACTGGGTTCCGATATGGCTTCGGTTTGTTTTGTATATATCACTCCAGCTGAATGCACTTGAAATCATGAGGAAATGCATACTACGTCCTCAGGAGATCTTCATTAAGACTGTTATCCCTTCCTTGGCTACAGCTACATCTGTTGCAAGAGTTGTTGTACATCTTGACTGGAATCTGGCGTAACCACAAGAAATAAGTTTTGACTGATACTTGGTAAATTCTGCTCACTGGTGGGCGGGTTACATGCCTGTAGCAAATAACTCACCCCCTCCTGGATTGTGGCTCTCTCTATAAAAACTACATGACATGTGGGTATTTGGTTGTGACTTCAGAAGAGTGTTGACTGCCCTCGAAATTCCTAACACTTCTCGGATGTGCTTGTGGAGTTTTGGAGCAGTGATCATGGTAAGCAGATCATCAGTTGTATATAATTATTATAACCACATGTTCCCACATAGTGATAGCTGCCGTATGTTTTACTGTGTCGCTTTACATGCGAGTCGTGGCAGTAGCTACCTGTGCCATTCCTCCTCTGCTCTGATATTGCAGTAACACACACGTATATTCACTGTCAATTTCACCACCAGTTAAATTTTTTCAAGCCTTCTTCCCTTTCCCAAAATCTCCGTGGTTGGTGTCTGGAGTCGTTTCTAATGTGTCAGGGGAAAGTTATCTGTATAAACATATCATAAGCATGCTGAGTATGGGTGAAATTGCTCCTTCGTTTCAAATTTACTCACTGTCTCGTCTACTCTGCTGGTATGGCGTCTGAATTTTATTTGCCACACACTTGAGTTATTCTCAGGGTTGTGTGGGGCCCCCAGTTCAAAAGATAATCTCTCTAACCACTTCTGTCTGTGTCTTACTCTTGTGCATACATTTAACTACTGGGAATGTGGGGCAGTGTGGGGTGGGTGCATGCATGCATGCACGCACATCAGGTATTACTCGGCATTACAAGCTGATTGTAGGTTGGGGGTGGATAACAATGATAAGTTGAAAACTGCTCTTTCACCACGTGGATGTGCTGTAATGGTGTAGCATCCCTATGCAAACAATGATCCACAAAAATGTACATACCGGTCTGTGTTTCTCATTGGTGTCGACACTGTCTAAAAAGGGGCAGGTTTAAAGTTTGCGGACTGCTCTAGGCGGGCACGTAGAAAGAGCATTATCATACCTGGTCAATGACCCATGTGTACGTATACCCAGATGGGCTCTTGCTTACTCTGCACATCGTCGTCAATCTGTTGACTGGTCATGGGTGTGCCCGAGCAATTTTTAAATCCTGGGTCCTTCTTCTACATTGTTTTGCGTTTGCTCATATTTTACTTTGTCTATTAGCATAAATGAGTTGTATGTCACCCACAGGGAATGACATATAGTAACCAATACGTACGTAGCTACAGGCATGTAACGGATCTTGGTGGTAAGGTTTCAAACTATACTGTCGCACATTCCAGGAAAGAGGTACGTATTTATCTGTTCCAAGAAAGACAGACACTGCATCTAGGTAAGAAATTAATTTGGCATTGTAGTTTAGCATTGACATGCAACTGTAGTGGTAGGAACGCCTTCGTAATAGTTGTGGCCAATATAAAATATCAGTTGTATGTACACATTGGTATGTGGTGTGCTGTGCAAACAAATTGTAGTAAATACCATCTCAGCTCTTTGATGGCGAACAGAGAAAATTTTTGTGTGCTCATTCTACTTAGTCCCATTACATTTACGCACCCACAAGTTTTAGGCGGCTTTATAGTGACTGTATATGTAATTCATCCTCTATTCAGCCTTACGTATGTAGACTGCAATAGAGTCGAAAAACCACACAAAATCTGTCCTAATGGCATTAGGAGACCTGCACAAGATGTGCAAACGCGGTTACGGACAGTTCAAGAATGTCAACAAAACCTCAAAGTATTATTTGTGTGGGTAAACAGACACCAAAACTGCGCTTTAAGTGGATTAGGTTGTGCTGGAAAATAATTTGATAGAATGCGCTCAGCACAAGTGTGGGCAACTGAAAACCAGGAATATCCCATGTTTAGGGCAAAAAATAAATTCTTTTGTCTGATCAAAGTTCAATGCTGTTATATCTTTGTTACATATACACATGGACGAATTTGACATGTATCATAATATATAAAAATTTAAAAATAGTGAAGAGATCGTGATGAATGATATGGAATGATAATAAGTGTTATCTGCTGCTGGAGGTTGGGGGTTGGGTTCTGAGTATTGACATACACGAACACTTTTCTACGGAGATGTCCCTTAAAGTTACTATCTTAAATTCTTGATTGGGTAGGGAGAACAATGTCTCGATACTGTGGTACTTCACGGGAGCACAACACTGGCCCCACATTGTGTTGCTGTAGGGGGGTGTATGGCTGCGTGTGTGGAGATAGTAGAGAATGATAGAGTGCTGCGCTGTATACAAAGACGGAAGGTCCCGATCACAGTTACCACCACAGACGTTAATGTCGAAAGTCATTGGGTATATTGCTGACTGTGAAGGGTGTGCTAACCGCCATATCTCGTTGAAGGTGGCCAATTCTATCTGGAGAGTGTGTTTCCCGCATCCTCTCGAGGGGGGCAGTGTTGGTCTTGCTTCAGAGTAACCATCAGCCTGTCGCCGCCGTACCCCAGTTGACCCTTTGGCTTCAGTCGCTGCAACGATAGCTGACAGGTTAAATTTAACAACGTCCAAATCGTATGAGTATATCATCAGCATCGGTTGTTGGTCAATGTCACCGTTGGTTTTATTGGTGACTTCGAACTGAATCGAAGACCCGTCGTGGCAGTCCTTTCCGTTTTCCTCCTTTGACAATTCATTGATAGAGTTGTAAGTGGTGATGTAAAAGTGAATGTGTTTGTGAGGGTGGTTGGATGCTCTCCACCGCTGCAGATGGCTCAGTACGTCGAACACAATCCACCCTTCATGACTAGGATTCACCCGCTTGTGCAAGCCTTTGTGCCCACCGTGGTAAATCTGCAGAAAAACCGGTTCAATGACTGAACCGGCCGGAGTTTTCATGTAGATCCTGAGCTCTGCTCTTGTAAACACCTCAAACTCTGAGATGTCACCCACGCTGAAGTTGAAGCCACAACCTGAGTTTGGAAGAACAAAACCACATAATGCTGCTTGCCCAAACAATGAAGGAATGTAAATGTCTAGGACATGTCGTACTACAACATGTAACTACTTACTCGTGCATTCCAACAGTTGTATATACTAGGGTGTACGACAGAGACTGTGCATTATAAAAACAGAGATCTTTAACAATCGTGGACACCTGACACAACCTGTTGTTCGGCACCTGCTGAGCTACACTATGCACCGTATCGGAAGACTTTGTCGACGTACGATTGGGCTAGTTTGTTGCCTAGCAGTGTTGATATGAGAATCATTTATAATTGAGCTTTTATCTTTAACATAGACAAGCAATCTCTCCACCCTCATTCCAGCTTTAGCTAGCCAAAACAACTAACACTACTTCAGAGGCTCTGGAGTTTATATGATTGCTGGCTGTGGTGCCACATTGATACTGATATGATGTGAACTAGCTGTTCGAGCTAAGTGGACTGCACACTACTTTGGCTGCTAACACTTTGTTGTTATACAATCTATTAGCCTCAACTGGACCTGTAAGTGGGGTGGGTTTGCCTAAGAGGCAAACATCCCTAGAGAAAAGTATTCACTGCATTCCTGGAGGACTTTATCAGTTGCAAATATGTCAAAATCGCACTTGATAACAACTAACAAAAGTGTATTCATCCCACGTACTAGACTACGGGTGTCTTGGACGTTGGTTGTATATAGCATGCCTCTAGTGAAGTGATAAGTGCGCAGGCGCGCCGTGGTATGGCGCGATGGACGTATTTTGCAGCTACTCACCATTTCCAGTCTCCATGCCAGGCATGGAGCGAATCGTCGTAGTGTCGGCGTCCTCCGACTCGTGTCGTGATAGGTTCCAGTACAGCTCCTTCATGTACGTAGGAATGGGAATGGAGAGATTGTTGAGGTCGCTGTAGGCTGCTTGTGGCGATACTTGCGTAGGGTCTGGAGCATCCCTTCTCTCCCTAGCTGCGGAGTTTTGTTTCTTCGCCACTCTGAGCCCGTTCCAAATCTCCCTCGCTTCCTCCCACGGTTTGCTGAGGGGTTTTCTTCTGACGGACTGGCTGGAAACTTGATTTGTCTGAGTATTTGCTGCTGCATTCGGCTCAGTTGGAGCTGGTGCAGAGTCTGCAAGGTATATTAGTACGGATATGACGCAGACTAGAAGAAGCGTCGCGTTTAGTCTCTGTAAGACCGTGAAATCCATTTCGGTTAGCTTTTCTTTCTTAGCTGCAGGGAACTTGCAATGAGCGTTTCTTACCCCAGGTTGGTCGGCAGTCTGCTTATAAATAGCCTGCGCAGTGCAGTAAGTACTAACGCCCACGCGCGTGCGATTTCGCTGCGTGTGAGCAGCCCCTCCTGCTAGCTTGACTGCATAAATTGCAATTCGGAGTAACTCATTGACGAAGCCAGATGCTGCAGGAAATTCTGCTGATATCTCGGGGTAAACACGCTCTCCAGTCGTTAGTGGAAGATGGATCCATTGGCTATTTTACGGCATCTATTATAAAGCTCTACAGATAGAATCCAGGCTGTGTTGCAATTTCCTTTTTAGAGAAAACCATGAGCATTCTTATTGCACTCGAAGTCAGGTTGGAGTAAACTGTGTTGTTTGGCTGCATGCATAGCTGTTAGCTCTGCATAACTTAGCTTAATTACAGCAGTCGTATTCAGAGCTACAAAGAGCTAGCTAGTGAGCATTCCTGCAGACTTAGCCAATACCTTTGCTGCTAAATTTTGTTCAAGCATGATTTTTCTGTTACACAGAGAACCTACTTGGTTTCTGAATAAATTATGTGCAGAGCACAGTGTGATCGTCTCCCCTTGCATGATTTTTAATTTTCCCCTGCTAGCCTTCAATATTTGCACTAAGGTAGAACTAACCGAGAGGTATATACACGAACGGTGTGTTCCTTGCCCTGCATTTTGGCAAATGTGCTCTAACTGGTTTTGAAGGAAGTATGACAGTACGTTAATGTGAATGACCCCGGATGTGTGACACTTCACTTTGTGCACCTTTAATCGTTGCTATACGTACCACTCTCTGAATGCATAGGAAGTTGAGGATTGTCCTTATAACCCCTCATCTCACGCAGTTATGCAAACTTACTTAGGCGTATGCTTAAATTCACCAAAGTCCTATAAAATTCACCAGAAAGTGATGAACATTGTCACCGTTTCCACTAATCTATTGCTTGTGAGATCTTCAACAAGTAGTAGAATAAGACAGAGAGTGAACGTGACTGTAGACTTTTTATATACATTCTTCTTTGAGGTATTGTCAGTGATTCCTCTGAAATACCTTTATAATAATTATACTGCCCTGTTCCCTGAATCGCTACTATAAAATTTAATACGCTCCGAGAATTGTTGACTGAGACGTATATATGTATGATTGACTGGGACAGCTATTTCCACCCTCATATCTGTGGTAGGTATGGGGTTAAGAGGATAATAAAATGTCACAGTACATGTACTTCCTGTCCCCCTTCACCCCATGTTTTTTACCACATGATTACTGTTCCCCTAAGGTTAAATGCATAGTCGTGTGTGACTTGGTATGGTGGTCGGCTAACCTGCTGTCTCACCAGAATAAATACCAAACAATCCCTCATGCATACATCGAACATGACGTCATAGATGTATACCCCATTCGTAAAGTAACATCATCGGATGACTGTTGAGAGTTTTGACTGGTTTCAAAACTTGCTCCCGCCGCTACATTTTATCCTTTAGATTCCATTAGTTACATCTGTGACTGTTACCCCATTACATTCCTGCATACTTCTGGAGTTAATGCGTAGTAGTAGAAACAGCGATAATATACAGCAGTAGGTAGATATGAACATCAGTCACTAACGAGCTTGAGCTGCCACTAGACCCATGACACAATCAATCTGTTTTCGCATCGCGTACTGCCGAGGCATCAACACGCCACACCAATTCAGTGACGAACGGAATAACGCACTACACGTGGTTGACTCACTACGCACTCATGTTCCCCTCACGCGGCGACCGGGCGGCCCGGAGGACGGACGGGGAAGGAACGCAGGACCGCCGGCGCCGGCGGGGGGGCGGGCCGGAACAGACCGAAGAGACCGCGCGGACGGACGGCGCCGGTAGACACGGGGCCGGACGCCGGACGGCGGCCGCGGGCGACGAACGCGACCCAGCCGGACGCCCTCGTGACGGGGTGTACGGTGCAGCAGGGGTGCGACGAAAGGCGCGTAGCTCGCCGCACGAGGACGGTACGCTCGGCGTACTCGTCTTCTGCGGTGGTTACGCTGCCGCTCAACCCTCTCCCTCATGGACGAGCTACCATTGCCCTCGACCGACTACTTTAACGCCCCTTCTTGCACTCAACTTCTCCTCCCACCTCTTCTTCACTCTTCTTCATACATACGTAAGAAGAGCTCACTTGACTTGTGTTTCTCTCCACACTGACCTCACATTACTGCCATGACGCACGCTTCTCCTAAAGGATTTTGTGTTTTCTCTCTGAGTGGTTTCTATTGCTTGCTGCCCTTTTTGGCTTGTGGGCTGAATAGAGATGGGGTTCCTGTTTTCAGTAATGGGAGCCTTGTGTGTGCTGAAAAGAAGAGTAAAAGACACCAGATTTATACAATTCCTTTTCTTATGGACAAAGGTATGGATTAGTTTCAAACAGAATAATATTTGTCTTTTCGTTAATAACCAGATTCCCCGAGGTGACTGCAGTACATGCACTCAATTAAAAAGGTTAATGGAAGCTTTGTCGTTTACTAATCATGTGGTGGAGTACATAGAGTAAACCCCTAATAGCTTCCAGTCGCTTGCATTTTGAGGAAGCCATGCATATTACGTGGTACGTGATCACCAAGCATTGAATAACCCCTGCAGTTTGAGTCTGAGTTTGCTACAAGGGATGTGCCCCATATTACATGCCGTATCAGGTAACAGCATATCTGAAGTGCAAGCTTCCTGCTATGTCCCAAGCACATTCCTCTTTTATCACAAGTATAATACACCAGACCCTTCTGGCTTTTCGCTGCTGTCTCATTTGGGAAACTGACCACATTGGCTTTCCCCATGACATCCGTATTCCCTCATCACTTGACTCTAAAAATATGCTTCCTTCATCCCGCTGGTAAGTCCCATGCAGGGATACATTATACATGTGTGGCTATACACTGTTCTCTAGACATTCTTTTCCCACACTACTTCCTCAACCCCTACAGTTAGCACTTCTCTTAGCCCCAGAACTATCCCCTCCATGAAACTACCCGTGTGCATTTTTTGTGCGGCCTTTCACTGCAAACTGAAGATTGCATACCCATGCTTCCTTAAAAAGGATTCAGGTATTATCTCATGTGTAATGAATGTAGCAATAATATAAAATCAATGAGGACTTATCACATGATCTTTAATGCATATCACTGCAGACGAATTAGGTAGTTGTCTCTGACAAACAATGTGCAACCCATGCAACTTTTCTGTGACCTCAGTAATCTAATTGGAAGTGTGCCACATAGGAAAAATGCTTTACTGTCATTCATTTTTGCCACATCAAAAGGTGATATCAGATATTCTGCGATTCATCGTTGTTCCTTTCTGCAAAATCTTTCTCTCTTGCATTCCAAGCCTGGATTAAAGATATTCAGTACTGAGGTGATACGGGGCATTGATCACCTGCTTCTGATCAAAGACATTCCTATCTTGTCCTGTGTACATTATTAATACACCACTGAGGTTAAATATGCCCATATATTTTTGTGCATCATATTTTGCTTTACAAACACAATTCTTTTCTTTCGCCCCGACAACTATGCATGAAACATTGACTGGAATTGGTGCCCGTCTCTCACGCATCAAATTGAGTGAGGTGACCTGTAAATGTGCTCATGCTTTTAAATTAAATTCCTCGATGTGGATGATTGGTTCATACTATATTCATATGCTTTCCTGATTACCTCTCGTTATCATTGCATGTATCATACATACTACTGGCTATTACACCTTGTTGCAAAGTCTGTTTTTCTTTTATGAGGTCACTCAACTTTTTAGTTCATGCGCACATGAAGTGGACACATCTCCTGTGCATCAAGAAGGAAATTGTGCATATTTGCAAGTCCGTAAAGGTTTCAGCGAGTACATTCGGCAGCCCCGAAAATACATCCTGTGTGTTTGCAAACACTCAGCTTTGATGTGTTACTTGGGATTGAATAATTGAGACCGCAGCTATTCTCACACACGCGTCTAATCAAACGGGTTTCAACATACATCGGTTGACGGTGCATTCTAGCACAGTAATAGGTAACTAGTGGGCGATGGTAATTCATGAGGTGTTGTACTGTAGTATACTGTAGTGAGACGAATTAATGTCCCGCACCCAGTTAGTTGAGGTATTGTATTTGATTTGAGCCCCGGCCTGCTGAGCTGTCCTGGTAGCAGAGTGTCGCAGGTTGGAATCGGGCCCAGGGAATCTTCTCTCGTAAAACTGGGGTGTCATTTAACCGTTTGCTCTGCATTTGCCTTGCGACTTCATTTCTATATTATGTCTAGACAAACTCTGATTTATAATATGAAACTTTTGTTGACATCATTGTCAGATACTTTGAGACCAAAAGAAAACACTATGTTCCAAACCCAAACACAGCACGTGGTTTTGAATAAAAGATGGTCCAAGTTTGCACTTGGTCAATAACCGCCTGCCAGCGACATCAAAGAGAGGAGTTTAATTGCACAAACACATGAATATTGGGTTAAACGTGTCGCGAAGACCGTCAACGTGTCAGACATTGACCTCTGGTACGCAGGTGACAAACATGTTTTGAAATTTTCCCTTTTCTGGGAGGTTGAACAGTCTATGTAAACATAACAGTTTAACCTCACCTGTACCTCCCAACTCTGCAACACGAACGAAGATATATACACACACACCGACACGCTTTTCTCACAAGGGCAAGATCACACCTCCGCAGCTATGCATGCGTGTGTTCCAAGTCTCAAGCATTTTTGCAATGGAGCCCATGAAATGGTGCGTGGTGTGATAGAGAAACATGTGGCGCCACTTTGTCTTTCGAGCCTCCATCCCTCTCGTTTACGGACGAAGGCTGTGAGGTATCATTTGAATGTCTGTGGCCAAGCATCCGTAACAGCTGCAGTACTACTTACCATAGAAGAAGTATGCTTTGGTTTGGGGGTGAGGGAAACCAATGGCACAGTGTTCAGTTTCAGCATCACAGTCCGTTGGGAGGGGGGGAGAGATGATGGGGGCAGTGGTACAATGAAGTGTCTGGAAGGTAAGGCAGATGTCACTATCTCATGCACATAGTGTTGTCTATTGCACTGGGTTATGGCCTCAGTTCTATTGCTGCCTTTGAGTATTATATTTTTAAGAGCTCTTTTGCCTACTTTGCACTAAATTTCTTTCTGCTGATCATTCCAGTGAGACGGAGTTACTCACTGTAATTAAATAATATATCCGTTACAAATCATTGCTGAGTTAGGTCATACACAACTAGTGTGTTCCCTCGGCCATTTCGTGTGTGTTCCGCGACCTATATATGCAAAAATTTGTGTTCATGGGCACATCAGAGCTAATTGCATTCCTCAATTCAAATTCCACTAGTGTTCCAACAAAACTGCTTGGGAACTACTATATACATATGTACCATGTGTGTGTGTGTGTCTGTGCTATGTTTATTCGTGGGTCATTGCTTCCACATGGGAATGGACTGGTGGCTCTGTGTGTGCAGTGTGTGTGGCAAACTAGTGACCCTGGAACTGTGATACAACATGCTGTTTAACCTCTTCAAAATTTTCTCTATATCCCTGTTCAGTCCCCCACCCCCTTCCCCACACACATACAAAGATGCCAGTCGGTATGTAAATTCCATAGTTAACCGTCTGGGCCTAACATCATAAATTTATTTTGTAACTTCACTACCAGCTATTCTGGCGACTGTAAAACACATCTCGTAATTGATGATGTAAAGGATATAATATGAAGAGCACTGGTGAGTTATTAGTGTTAGGTATCTGCATACCTAACCTGTCATTGAGGGTAGTTGTGTGAATGAGGTATGTGCATTCCAGGAGTGAGAGGGCAGTGAATATGATAACCTTTTGGTTGTATGTCCCAGGGAAGAGGACGGGGGTACAGACAGAGAGATAAGAGCTAGCAGACATACCAATCTCTGTAATATTGCACACCCCTTTATATGGCAGGCATTGGCAAAGGTGGCATGGTTGGTGCATCCATGATGTATAATCATGGAGTAGGGTGTGCACAACCCCTTCTCAGCTGTGTACCCCTGATGCCTAAAATATTGTATGCCACTCCTTGTCCACTCAGTCATACTCTGAAGTATACACAAGACCCACTTGGTAAGTAGTCATCACTCTACTATCAATCCCGAAGCTATTCATTTCTGTTCAGCCCTTCCGCAGCCCTTAGGATAGGATGTAAATGAGGGTTTGGAGAGTAGATATCACTTAAGCATCCAATAACTGTAGATTTTGGTGATCTCTCATATTACTGGACACTACTCCAGAAACAATGGACCACCAACGTTGATCAAACGCATAGCTAATTTTCTGGTTACACTTTTGGTTGAAGACATAATTATGCTGGAGTAGGCAGTTTAGTACTGACAGATGTCCCTTTTAGATAAGCCGAAAGTGATGAAAAAGTACAGCCAATGTTTGAGTGTGGAATAACTATTGGTATCCTATTATTCATCAGTGTTACAGTGAAAAAACAGAACGTATGTGATGGGCTATTGTGGAACGTAACTCCCTATGCATGATTGCAGCAGAAAAAAATCCTTTCAAAACATGTCTGAAGCCTCATACTAGATTCCCACATCCCCATACCTGAACTGCTCTTTTATCACCTACTGCCCCAGTCACAACATTAGAATGATTCCTGCACAGCATTTGCCTGTCACTGAATGCTTCCCGGATAGCATGCAACGCAGCAAAAACCTTTCTCATACAATGGTTGGCAAGGACAAACTACTATTGCACAGAGAATGTCATTCAGTGTCACTGTGCTAGTTGGAAAGCGCACCTATCCCCTAGAGTCTAAAACCCACAAGCCACCAGTGAGTATTTTCTCTTTCTCTGCCAAACCACACCAAAACTGCATCTGTCGCACTACCTTCAGAAAGTGGTGCTACCTGGTGATGTTGAACTATTGCAGCAGAGGTTAGGTCGAAGGACAGAACGTTGGTAGTGCATTTGTGTGTCTACCTTTCATGTGGCGTACTTGCCCTCAGTGAACCGTAAACAGGAGGTGAATTCTGAGATGAACTGTTTACTTTGAATCTCAGGTCACAGCAAATACAGGTTCACCTGCATTTCCTTCAGTGTGTTGGAAAGTGACCTGGGCAAGAACCAGAACGAATGGCTTCTGACGTCCTACAATCTGAACTCCCTTTTGCACTGTATGTTGGTGGATATGTTCAATAGAAAGGAAGGAAGAGGGGTTGGGTCATGAACCGCAGGGACAAAACCTCTACGGAAATGCAGTGCTTCTCCGTAAGAAACCTAATCACCGTCCAGCGATAAGGAAAAACCCTGCTACCTTTGTCTTCACAGACAGCACAATGTGCCGTTTGTGTACTTGCAACCCTGGGAGCTAACCTCGATGAATGGGCATTGACCTGCAGGTAACACCTGCTGGCTGGTGACGTAATGTGGTTACGTAGGGAGAATTGCCCTTGTGTGTATTCCTACCATTGCCATCGTTGGTATGAAATCACGATTGTAGCGTCGACACGTGATGAAAGACTGACTGCCAGCTGTACGTGCAATCATCCTATTTCCCCAGGATTTGCCCCAAACACTGAAAATGCATTGGAAGACGCTGGGGAGACGATTCTGTGGTGTGTAAACAAGCTGACTGGTGGAGCTGCTGCCACCCACAGGGAACACACACACACACAGGCAATGTATGTAACAAATACGTAGTAATAAGAACACGTGCAGCAGTTGTTCAATGTGAAGTCATCACTCGGTTCACAGGACAGATGTCGAGTACCGGGGTCATTTCCCAGCATATCGGACATGTGCATCACATCCGACTTTGGCAAAATCTGCTGTGACAACAGCTCCACCCAATGTTTAGAGACTGTAATTTTGCTTGCTCAAGTAGGAGCAGGGCGCCAAATTTGGAACTAGCAAACACTATTATGGGTGTGTGATCCTCATTGCACAGCTGCACTGAGCGTTTCCATGACAGCCAGGCATGTAACATGAAACCACACCCAAAACAATGTGTAAGTAGGTGGTTGCACCTGGAGAGTATGCCATTGCACCTGGGCCGTAAACACACTCTTCAATACACTTGCACTTCTGTCTACTGATGTCTGACATAATACAGTTATACGGGGCTGCAGTTTCGAAAAAATGATTGATGACATGAGGTTATATGGGATTATCAAAAAAATAAAATGTTCCTCAATTGAAGATTGGAAAATTTATAATGCAGGAACCACACAAACTTCACACGACCAACATCTTCATGCATGTATTCGAGGCAATAGAGTCATTTTATGATGATGTAATGATTACGCCATCAGAAGTTCTTGCTGACATCCTCCATGGAAGTGTTGGAGTCACTGTAGCAAATGTGAATGCTGCCAGTGGAAGAAGTGCGCAGCCTTCCCTGGCGATCTCGTGGAAAACTCTTTCTCAACTGAGCTGCTTTCTCATCCACCTGAAAACAGGAGAGCAAGGGACACCAAGGGACACTTTATGGCACAACTGGTCAAATACAACTATACACTGTGTATCTGTGTAAAGAAATTTTCAGTGAAACTTAAAGGCTGGGGTCCCCATGCATAACATATTGGGCAAACAATCCTCATGCTGAAATTGTTGAGCTGTTGGCCATATGGTAGTTCTTTTTAACCTCGTGGTCAGTTGGACAGTCCTCTATGGCAGTGAGGCTGATGCTCTCGTGTCTGCAAACTGTCTTGCTGCCCCCTCCATCTGAGTGGCTCCCTCGATGGTACCCTCCTCCCGTTCCCCTCCCACCACCACCTTGAAGAAGGTCTGAATCATTGGACGAGTTACTATTGTCATCTTCATCTGAGAGTGGAGAAAGAATATGCACTAACATGATGGCAAGAGTAAAGTAGAACAGGAGGAAGAAAGAGCTTTATAGAGTGCACCAGCACCCCTATTGAATGAAGACCTACCCTTGCTCTGCTGAGTACTGTGGGAAGTAGCATCAGTAGTGGTGCCAGAGGATCTCTTGCGCCGGTTGTGTTTGTAGCCCCTAACACTATCCTCATCGCTAGAGCTGGTTGTGTCCTTTGTTCTGATAGGGATGAAATAGGAGTAGTTCATACGGCCAGACTGCAGTGCTAGAAGATTCTCTATGGAATCCCCTATCTCCATGCTCTCTATGGAGTGAGGTGAGCTCTCTCCCCCTCCGTCGTAGGCAAAGGAGTGATTTCGGGAGGGAAGGGTGCTCGGAGGGAACGTTGAAATTGTGCTGGAAGTGCTCAGAATGCTCGGCGTTCTGAAGAGATCGGTAGTGAGCGCAGATGAAACCTTGCTGGTTGCGTGTCCAGAAGAAACAGCAACAGAACTGGTCGAGTCAACTGCACCACTTCCAATAGCAGTTGCCCCAGCATTAACCCTTGTGTCGTGTCCCCCAGAAATGCTACCTCCAGCGCTTGATGCAGCGGTTGTGGCAGCAGTTTTCTCTCTGGAGAATTTGTTCTTCAGCCACCCGGTTGGAGGACGCGGGGCCCAAGTCTTCTTGGTATGGGAGCCAGCTTGGATTGGACCCGGGTGAGCCGGAGATGGTGGATCTGTTGAGGCAGTCTCAGAGGATTTGCTGCTCTGTTTGCCCCGTGGGGATGTCGTGTTTGTGCCTCGTCCTGCTCCCCAGACCAACAGGAAGGGAAGACGTGACAGTGACTTGATGTTCCGGCTTTGTGAAGCTACTTCCTTCGCCCTCTCCGATTCCAACCGTATTCCCTTCACCTCCTTCGCTCTCTGGCAGTCTCTGACCTCCCCCACTTCTCACCCTCCTCATGCGAGTTCTGTCCCCTCCTCCTCCCCCATCTCCCCCACCTTCCCCGTCACTCCCTCCTCCACCACTTCCCCCGTCTCCCTCTATCAGTTTTGTAATCCCCTTCATGACTTCATGTGCCGTTTCCTTGACCTTCTCGGGACTCTGCATCCGATGAAGTGCTCCAACCATTGGGTTACTCCCGGCACTTCCAGGCCTGCTGAGTTGCTGTTGCTGCTGCTGTTGCTTTGCTGTTAGTGGTTTCGGTTTGACAATATTGACATGTGCTGGTTTCGAGGTGCTGGAAGCTGGCAAAGGGAGAGTTGACGTATTGCTCGGTGGGTCTCTTTGGGGCACGTCAATGATATTGCTCCCCATGCTGGCCGTGCGGCGGTGCCGTTTTACTTTCTTCACCTGCTGGTGTTTCGCCACTTTCTCGATCTCATCGTGTCCCCGTCGGAAGGGGTATCGGGAGCCTTCATCGTCTGTGACAACTGGTGGCCCGAGAGAGAGGGGGTTGTAATGGCTCTCAGAGTGTTCCTCCAAATTTACTATCTCTGAGCCGCCCAAGCTTCCTCCCTTCGTGCCAGGGATTTGAATGGCAAACTCCGGCTATAGAGCAGAAAAATAAAGGGTCACTTGTCAGTGCTACAAAAAGACTGGCTAATGCTATTGTTCTTTGAAAACAGGCTGAATAGAAACCTTGTAGATTGGGGAATTCTCATAGGAAGCAGTTGAGTCTTGGAATGTTCTGCTGGTAAAACACAAGGAAACATTTCCTCACCTGCATCAGAGAGTTCCTGGAGGAAGGTTGCGGGCGATTCAGAATGTGGTAGTTTGGTTTACGACATGCTCCACCCCCTGCCTCGCTCCCGGCGCTCACGGGCCGGCGCTGCATCAGGAACCCGGAGGACATCTGGCCGGTAATGTCCTGGCTGATGGACGAGAGAGCGTGCTGCTTTTCCGCCTGTAGCATGGTCAGCGAAAGTGTGTGTTTGTGAAGCTGGAACTTGAGATCCTCCATCTTTGCCTCCTGCTCGAAAATTTTGATGTTGGCAGCGTCCAGCTATTGGATGGGAGAAGATCTCTAGTACCCTATGTACTACAGTGGAATTCTTGAGTACCGGTGAGTTGGCAGAATCACAACTACCTACTAAGTGAGGTAGGGGCATTGATGGTTTCTAGTATGTCCTACTATACATACCATAGCTTGAGGCAAAACACTAGAGTATTATGTTTCACTAGGGGTCTGCAGTGTGTTTAGATGGTTTTTGAGATGTACCCTGGAGGTACACTACATACAGAAGCTAAAACGTGCGTTTTCTATTTTGGTTGTGACAACTTAGCTGAAATATGCCAGGTCTTCCCACTAAGAAAACACTAGACTTAAAAGAGTTCTTCTTTGGAAGTAAAAAATCGTCACAAGGGGCTAAGCGGTACTCACTCCTCTCTGTGTGTCTGCAGCCTCCTTTTGCTGTCGCAGTGCCTCCTTCACTTTCCTCACCTCATCCAGTAAAACCTTTGCCTTGTCACCTGCCAATCACGTGAGAGACATGTGATTAAACCAAGCTATACAAGCAAGAGTAAGTGTACCTTTTGCCTGCTGCTCTACAAACTGCAGATTGAGTGTGCGGAGGTAGTTGATTTCGGCTGTCAAATTCTCTTTCATCTGTTACATAAAGAGAGTAATGTGATAAATCACACTTAATGTGCCTTGCGTGTGAGAGTTCCTCGATTTCGCTAAATGTGTTGATTACCAAGCGATTTTCGTTTATCCGAGTTAATGCACGTGTGGGTAAATCAAGCACACAGAACATTCCTTCTGCTGGACCACCGAAACTCCATTGAATCATCTCACCTGCTGTTGCATTATCTCATCACTGAGTATCTTGGCCTGCAGGGTGGATCTTTGCCTGTCTGCTGAGGCAAGCTGCTGGTGAAGCTGAGTCAACTGGTAGCTGCAGTCCACCAGGCTATTCTGTAGAGCCCTGATCTCCTCTCCTAACACAACAGACGACAATACATTATATATGAGGCTCAATAGATTGCCTTACACAAGCCATTTTGCGTGTCAGTAGAGCTTCATGCAAAATAGACCAGATTGCATACCCATTGCATTGTGAAACAGACTTGAGAGCATGTACACATGTTGCATACCTTGGAGCCTGATGACATCGCTCAAGCTCACTGCCCCTCCACCGGTCGCAACAGCCACCATCTTGAGATGCTCCGGCAGTGCCTGGGCAATCAACTGCTCTCGCTCGTGAACCAACCTCTCCGTCTCCTTCCTCAGAGAAATGAGCTGCGTCTCGAGCTCCAGGTAGCGCTGGTCCGCTTGTTGGATGTAGACATCTTTGGACCGCAGCTTCCCCACCTGCGCCGAGAGCTGGTTCGTCAAGTCTATGACCTAATGGAGGATAAATTTGGATAAGGGCTGATGAACTACAAAGAATGAAAAACAGAGAAAGAGCAATGATAAACCAGTGAATAGCAGTACGGTACGGAGAAAAGTTTGAGAAGTCGAGGGATCCATTTGAGCTCGAAAAAATAAAACGAACACAACATACACACATGTAGGTCTGTACTGTACCTCTGAGTTGAGTTTTCTGATGAGCTGGTCGTGCTGCTCGTAGTCCTGCTTCATTTGGCTTTCGATCTCCTGCAGAGCTGCGTCTCTGTCGATCACCTGGTCCTCCAAACTCTCAATCTGCTTCTGGAGCATTGCGATGGTCTGCAGCTGGTCAGGGAGAAGGTCCTGCTCGTCGATGTGGTCAAACTGGTCTTTCAGCTTCTTATTGATGCCCACCGCCTCGGCGAGCTTCTTCTCATGTTCTGCAAACTGGGTCCCGACGAGCGTAGCTTGTTCTTCCCGGTTGGCCACAAGAACGAGACTTCTCTTGAGAGCCGTGTCCGTCTCGTCAGTGAGCTGTGTGAGCAACTGAAATTTCTCCCTTGCATCGGAGAAAGCCGTGGGTGACTGTAAGGAATACAATACAACATGTATGGCACCACTGGAGTCGATGACACTTATGCATAGGAATTAATGGACAGAATCACTCTTCGGTTGGGGGACACCTAGATGGACGACTAGTTTTGCAGACAGAATGCTACAGTTGACGCTGGGACTGAAACACACATAATGCATCGCTGCACCACAGAAGTACATTGCGTAAACTGGTGAAAGAAGTACCTGTGGTGGCTTGGCAGAGGAAGGCAAGAGGATGGGTGTGGAGGGAGTGGAGGGAGGTGGACTGGTGGCTGTGCTGTCGATTCGGGAGAGATACGAGGGATTCAGACCCTTCAAAACTGGCGGGAGGGCAGCAGACGATGTCCGCATGAGGGTCCGCGCTGCCATTGCCTCAGAGTTTACCAGGTGCTGCAGCTCGATCTGCAACTCCCTCATCCTCTTTTGTGCCGACTGGAGCGCCTGTAATTCCAGCTTGAAACCCGCCAGACCAGTTTGAAGCTCTGCAAGGACTCGGGGTCCCTCCCCGGCAACCCACCTGGCGGTCTCCTCCACCAGACCCCGTTGTCCGCTACTCTCGTCAAACCCGTTTTTCAGGACTATAAGCTGCTGGTGCAAGCGACCGTTTTCCTTCACCGTTTCAGTGATGCGCGTATCGATGGCCGAACGCCGCTTCAGAAGACTGTCTTCCAACCCGCGCACCTTCTCTGTGAGTGCATGGTTCATCTCACGGAGTTTTCTCTCCTGGTCGCTGGCGGCTTTCTCTTTCGTTTCACGCGACACCCGCAGAGCTATCTGGAGCTTGTCGGACAAGTCCTTCTTCTCCCACTCGAGAAAGAAATTTCGCTGCGAGAGTTTGATGATCTTTTTCCTGAGTGCTGGATTGGAGTCTGGAGGCTCTTTCCCACTTCTGAGTGTGTCCTTGAGACGCCTATTCTCCGCCTCCAGCATCGTCATTCTGCTTTGGAGGTCAGCAGATGGCACCTGTGAATTGAGGGAAAGACAATGTATGTTGATTGTAAGGGAACACAGCATGTGATACTTGGCTTGTTGTTCACTTGTAATCACCTGATACCTTGTGTGGTTAGGAACACTAAACTTATTTGTCAAGGCTGGTAACATCCTTATCTGAAGGCTTTGTAGTCAATCTACTACCAATACTCACCCACTCAAGATACAAAAAGTACAAGCACATGTCACTCGTAGCACTTGAAGGTCAATAAAGAGCAAACGTTTTCCTCACCTTTTTCTCAGTGTTATCAACTTGTCTCCGGATGCTTCCTGCATATCCCCTGTCCTCTCCCTGAAATGACCCCCCTTCCCCTCCTCCCCTCTCTCCACTTTCGACCCTCCCCCCTGCTGCCCCACCACTCCCTCCCGCTCCCCCATCCACCAACTCCGCAACTCTGGCCTCGAGTGCCTGCTTCTCTTCCTCGGTGCTCTTGAGTTTGGTCAAGAGAAGACTGATCTCGGTGCGCAGGGTCATGTGGATCTTCTGGTTGTCCAGCTGCAGCGACTGCTTTGCCTCTGAGAGCTGCTGCAGGTTATCGACAGCAGACTGACGGAGCTCGCTGAGGGACCTTATTTCTGCTCGAATCGTTTCATTTTCGGTTTTCAGCGAGTTAAGTTGAGCCGTGAGCTCACCTACTTTGTCGTCCTTCTCCTTCGTGTTTTTCATCCGGGCCTCCATTTCTTTCTGTTTGAGCTGACTCTCTTCCAGCGTCTGGCGTAGCTGATCTCTGTCGCGAGTGAGGGCGGCCATCTTTTCTCCCAACTCGCTTTCCCTCGCAGCATATTCTTTCTGCCTTTCTTGACTGGAGACGCGGACCTTGGCCAGTTCACATGCATGTTCGACCACCGCTTGAGCGATGTCTTTTTGAACACGGGTTATCTCCACAGCATTTTCGGACAACTTCATTTCCATGCCTGTTATTTTTGACTCGAGCTCTCTCTTCTCTTCTTCCAACTTGCTTTTGTCGGACTCCACACAGGCTAACCTTTCGCCCATTGCATTCTTCTCTCGGACAAGATCCTCCTTTTCTTCTTCAATGTTCCCCTGAATGAGCTCCATTTCAGCCATGCGGTCCTCCCAGTCCCTCTCGTGTCGCACCAGCTGTGCCTTCCACGTCTTCTCGCTGGACTGCAACTGTGACTTGAGCTTCTTTTTCTCAGCCTCCAACTGGCGGACGGTCTTGTCTTTCTCGGCGGCCATCTTCTCGTTCTGCGACAACTGTCGCTCGAGCATCTTTTTCTGGTCCTCGAGTTGGGCCACCTCGGCCCGTAGCTGGCTCACGTCATCCGCTACAACACTCTTGTGAGACTGAAGCTTGAGGTTAGTCGCTCGCACAACCTCCAATTCAATCTGCAGCTTTGCCAGACTTCGTTTGGCATCGTCCAGACTCTGCGCCATAGTCGCCTTCTCCTCCGACACACGGCAAATCTCATTGCGACATTTCCCGGCGAGTGCCTCAAACTGTTCCCTGGAGAGTTTGTTTTGGTGTTCGGTGAGGGTCGTGATGGCAGTTCTGGCGGCCTCGAGATCATCATACACTGACGAGACTTGAGAGAGCAGGGTTTTCAGATGACCTGCGACCTGAAACACGAAGAATACAAACAAGAAAACACACCCCTGTAATAACACCCTTTCTCCCCGAAAACACTTCTAAACCTCCTGTACAATATCCCTGACAAAACTCTTGGAAGCTCTTTAGCTCATAAGGACACATCACCAAAAAGGAAACTTATTTCCAGGGTCCCATTTTACATTTAAGTCCTGTAATTTTGGTAGTGTATATGTGGACACACATTTCTCTTTATGGCATTGGTAGCTTGTTGCTCCAGAGAGTGCCCCTTGAGCTGAGCCCTCAGCGAGTCGATATCTCTCTGGGCCGACTTTAACTGCTCCTGCAGTTGTGTCCGCTCGGTCCTTATCTTGGTCAGCTCTTCCATGTCCTGTTCCACTTTGGAGAGCATGCGTGGTTTCTCCGGCGTAGGGGCAGGCTTGTCTTTCGCAGCATCCACCTTCTCCGATTTCAGAGCTGTGTTCTCCTCTCTCAGTTTTCTGATGGTAAGGCGGTAGTTTTCTTTCGTCTTTTGTCCGTCATCCACCGATAACTAGCAAGAAAACAGACCACAAACTTGTACCCTCTAGCAGCGGAGTTGTATGCCCTACATCTAAGAAAGCGTCTTCATTCATTACACACGTGCCTGGACAGCAGAGTGTCGTGGGTTCGAATCCCACCCAATTTTTGCCTACTTGCTATATACCTTGTTGTTGTTACATTGCTTTACCTGCAGCCTCATAACCCTCTCATAGAGCTTGTCTCTCTCCCTCTGCATCTCTCTTAGCTCGTCAGCCAAGTGCATGTTCTCCTGCTCGGCCTGTCGGTAGCACTTCTGGATTGTACTCAGTTTCTCTGAGACTGCCGAAAGCTCACTCAGCAGCGACGCATTCTCCGTGTGCAACTGGCTGTGCTCCTCCTGAGAAGAAAAAGACTTATAGCTGTGGTCTATACACATAGGAAGGAGTTGTGTTATACAATAACTGCAGGTAGGCAATTTTCACAACTGAGTAGACTTTATACTGCCCCGGATCAAAAATGTATGCTTTCTCTCCCTCAGTGAAATTTAAAGTGGAATACCTGTTTGTAGGGGAGGGGTGACTACATTAATACCATGCCTAAAGCCTTAAATCCAGTATACATGTAACACATTGGCATCTACACACGTAGATGCACACCTGTAGTTTGGATATGGTTCCAGAGTGGTGTGAATTCTCGTCTCTCAGAGTCTCAATGTCTTTGCTGAGATCCTGCTCCCTGTCCTGCATCTTGTGCAGCGCCTCCCTCTGTGTCGCTGACTCTGTCTCCACACGGCGCTTCTCCTCTGTGAGCTCGTGTAGTCGCTCCTCCAGATCACAGCATGACTTGTGGAGAGACTCTATTTTGGACAACAAATCTTCTTCCTGCCAGAAAATAAGGGGGGAAAAGAGAAAGAGAAAAGGCTACCTGGTATATAGTGCATGGCAATAACACAAGTAATGGAGTAAGCTGGGAGGGAGAGGGAGAAGAGACAGAGCAGGAGAAAGAAACAGAAACAACATGGAAGGAGAAAGAGAGCAGGAGAAAGAGAAAGAGGAAGGTGGCCGGAGGGAGGAAGGGGGTGAGGGAGTGCTTTTTGAATACACGTACACTTGAGAGGTGCTTGTCTGTCCTTTTACCGCCTTTCTCCATCACCTTTCGGCCATCCAACACCTGGAGTGTGAGCAAGTGCAGGTAAGCTCATGATGATTATTGACATGGCACATTGGGGAAAATTTCAGGTGGCACAAATTTCGTGGCCCACACTCTTTTCAAGGGGAAATTTTGGAGCTGAGTCTTGAAACGTGAAATTGACCATTCAAAAGGTTCCACATCATGCACTAATACATTGGTGTTTGACAGTGTCAGAGTGGAGCCTGCAGACCTTGGAGGGCAGGCCGGGAGGGGTGTAGGCCACGTCTCCAGCGGTCGCTGCTGTCACCTTCTCCCCACTGAGCATCTCCCTCAGTCTCTCTCTCTCCTCCTCCATCTCTCTCAGCTGGGACTCCAGCTGCTGGTTCTAGAGATGCGTGAGTGAGAGATCATTTAGGCAAATCGGACTGGTGCAATAGCCTATCGGTGGGTGCATATTAACCTCTAGCTGCTAGTTGCGAAAGACTATGTCTATAGCTTTTCGTTGCAAATCAGCTACGTAGTAATGGGGAATGGATTCATTCTTACTGTTGAAAGTGCAGTGATCTAATTCAGTGTCCATTAGAAATTGATGTCAACAAGTACAGATCTATATTGTAAACATTGTGTTGCGGGTAAGAGTGACTACAACTACAGGTGATAACACAATCAAACAAGTGGAGGAGTTCATCATACATTAAAGCCCAGTATGTACATGTAGGTCACCTCATCGATAGAGTATTTACATACAGGTCACCTGTTCTGAGAGAGCAGAGATCTGAGCAGCCATTGTATGATCTTCTCTCTCGCTGTCGTCTGACTGACTGTGCGTCGAAAAGGTCGGCATCAGCGGCTCTGGAGCTAAAGATACAAACTCTAACGATAATTCCTGAAAACATTTCTGGCTATGTATACCAGCAAGGAACGTTTCAGCTACAAATTAATAGAGACCAATGTCATCTAGAAGATGACAAGCCAACAAAGTTCTTACAACAAGTTCTTATTGCCAGGTTAAAATTGTTAAAAAGTGTGACTTGCACAAGCTCCTAGAGAAAACCTTCGCATTAATTCTCAAACTGTGAACCTTGCGAAAGTTTCCTTCCTCAATAGTCTCCCGAGACACCGTACTTTGGAAACGTAGTATAGAGTCCATAATAAGGGTACGTAGGAAAGTACTCAGGTGGCTGCCATAGCACTAGGGCCATAGACCACGCACCCAGAGCAATGGGCGGAACCGTTAACAAACGAACATACACCATTCAGCTTGAAAAGTAGGAAAGTATTTTACCGTGGACAATGACTCTCTCTTTCTGGCCAGTTTCTTCCCCAATGGCGAGAGTATGGCCGGTTCGGTCCAGGGATGATATGGAGTCGGTGTCTACCGAACCTTCCTCTGAATACTCCCCTGTCAGTGAACCCCTGCATTGGACGACAAGGAGAAAGAGACTTCATGATTGTGACCTCTTAATAATACTAGGGAACTCTTTTGTCAGAGATGGGGATAAATATGTATGGTAGTTGAAGCCATAGTAGCCAAATCCTATTTGTAGCACACACCAAGCACATAGTTATTATCATCACGGGCATTGCGGGTATGAATAAAACAAGCTGAATCCAGGATCGAAGAACGATCACATGCGAGACCAATCCTCCCCATTCATTCGATCCTCGACGCATTTTGATAGCTATGAAGGAAAACCGAAGGAGGGGATGTATGTGTATGTGTACCTCTGTTGAGGTGGTGGTTCACTGCTGGTACTAGAGTGCCTCTGTGACGACGAAGAGGAGGAGGATGAGGGGATTTCGGGGATCTGCCCACTGGTAGCTGTGTAATAGACAATGATCCAAAAACCACACAGTGAATAGTACACAACGGTAGATACAAACAACATATGTAAGTAGTTGTACAATAAGTCGTGGGGACAGTGTACAGTGTTACCAAACTCTAGGCCAGACCATTCGTTGATAAACCATTCTGAAGTTGGCACACATAATATTGCTAGCAAACGGTTGGTTTGGTTGGGTTAGAGTGCTCTTCCTACTAGACTGCACAGTGCCGTGGGTTGAATCCCACCCGAAGAAAGGGCCGTGACTGTCATTGCCTTGCGGTGTCATAGATGTTTACATATGCAGTAGTGATTAAGGTGGACCAACCTCTCGTTCCACGTGGAGACATGGGTGCTCTTGACCTCGATTGGGCACTTGGCACCTGCACAATTAAACGGTAATTTTCAAAGTACCTTCGACAAGTTGTACCACCCTTTTTATTACGATCGGTTTAACATCTAACGAGGCATGATGTATTGCTAACTTTAGCACAAAAGCTCTGTTCTATGTTTAGCAACAAAGCATTAACTTGTGCAATATTACACAACGCCCTACACACAGGTTGGTGTGCGCACTAATTAAGTAAGGCAGTAAGCATGTAGAGGCCACCCTCATACAGTTTCAATGGCACAGTCACGTAGTAGAGTTATGATATATGAGATCATGTGTCCTTAGCACAGCCCCCTACCACGCATGTCTACCAAAGAACCATTGTGATGCACTGTGGGTGCCTCCAGTATGTACTACAAACACCAGCACTCCAAAAAATGCTATGTTGCAGGCTCATGCTGTCCTGTCTGGGTACTGCAACAGATTTTGGATATCCCTAGGCAAATGACATGTAACAATAGACCATGTATGAATCCTGCTTGCACATGTAGGATTGTATAGGCTGATAGTACCTATCTTCATACATGTCGGTTGCCTAGGGATATCCAACGAATAGGCATGCATGGTTCTACTCAGTATGCTATAACATGCTTCTGAGTATATACCTATAACCAGATTTCCCAGCTAGTATATTTGACAAATGCTCTAGTGCAGTTGAATGGGACGAAATGTGCTTCAAACGATCATAACTAACGTGAATTCGCTCTAAACTATAAACACTATCATCATCATAGTACGTACAGTAGCTACAATATCATAGCACTATATCGCTACAACCAAAAACACGAAACCTTCAGCCGACTGGTATTACAAAAAAAACGTGCACAACGTCGAGTCAAGAGTTGCGTGGCGGGAGTGCTTTGGCAGCAGCTGCAGGTGAGCATCCTATATAGTTACACTGTAACCCTCTCCCACATGTAATGTAAGCTTGCTCGGTAAGAGCCCGATGGATTCCCGGAAAAACGGCTCAGATACACAAATAAACAATATATACATAACACATATTAATAGTCGTACTATATTATATAGTTATACACACGTGTATAATTCATGGCCACTGGGAATTGTTGCTACGCGCTCGTCTGTTCTTGTGTAGCAATGGGTACAGTACTTACATAATACATGTACAAGGTGTAATTGCATTATCCTAACAAGTGCAGGCAATTGTAAGTTTAATAGAGAGTCATGTGTGCCTCCTTTATGCTAATGAGTTATACATCAAGGACCACTAGAGACACTAAAGGGGGAGTGAGAGAGCTGTAGAAAAGGGAGAGGAGATGAGAGAGTGAGGGAGACGAGATGAGGGAGAGAGGGAGACGAGATGAGGGAGAGAGGGAGATGAGAGGAGGGAGAGAGGGAGATGAGAGGAGGGAGAGAGGGAGATGAGAGGAGGGAGAGAGGGAGGTAGAAAAGGGAGAGGAGAGGAGAGGGAGGAGAGGAGGGAGACATCTAAAAGGCCTGGTCCATTTTCTGCTCAAGTGGATAATGATTGCCATGGGAACTTGGCTTCCATGGCTGTTGTTGCTGCACGGTATTGGTCTGGCAGACATTCTGTCTGTGAGCAGTATTGTGGGACAACTGTTCCCCTTTATGCCACTCCCCTATCCGATGTAATTAACCCTCATTATCCCTACCCACCTCCCTCTACCTGTGCACGCCGTCATTTTTGTGAAAGTTCATCGAAATACCGAGAAACATTGACTGTGGTGCGAACAATGTTCTAGAGTTTCTGACATCACTTTGCCAGAAAATAAGTGAGACCTTAGCCTAGTACATATACAATACTAGGTGTCCTTACTATGATCTATCATTACATACGTACCTCATTGGTTCTCACTCCGCATCTGTTTTCAGGCCTGCATGAATGAAGCAATAACTACTAGTTAGCTACACAGGTAACATTCTTTTCAAATTTCGAATCAATGTTGAGATGTACATAGAGTACATGAGGTGTACATGATAACATATGTTGGTACATGTGTGAAGTGTGACTATACATGAAAACACACGTTGGCTACAAGCTCACGTTTACACTATATACAAGTCATGTGTTGTCTGGCGTTTGTACGTTCACCTTGTAACTTTCCTGTACGGTCGTTACAAATTATACACACATCATTACAAGACAATTACAGGTGGGCATATGCACAGCTTGTAGCAGTACATGGGGTGTGTCTATTACCGAGCAACAACACAAACTCCTACTCTTATGGTTTATATGTCCTCACACTCTGGCCTTGAGTTTTAGTACATAATTATGGTGTCCATCACTAACCAATCAAGATGATTTGGCCTCTCCCAGTGATTAACCACCGTCAACCCACTGAAGATCTACAAATCCAAGCTGTAGCTAAGTCGCTAAAAATAGATCTCGGCGGTAGATTATGCATTCGGCTAACCTTCGCCCTGTCGTCAGTAAGTTCTCGTCCTCCGAGACGCTGCCAGACTCCATTCCTTCTCCGCCACCGCCTCCACCTCGCTCGAAGGCTTTCCTCCGCAGTTGGAACTCGACTTTGTTCCAGTTGCCGCGCTGCGACGAGCGACTCATCTTCCTTAGGCTCGATCTCTACGCCGGCGAGTCTTAGTCTCGCTCTACGCAGTGGTAGTGAGAGAGAGTAGCGGTCGGGACGCAAGGGCGTGGGCAGTGTAGAGTTGTGTGCTCAGGATAGCCACCAGGTCGCGGCCATGAGTCCTCTGCGCGACTAGTCGGGGATCGGAGACAACGGTTCGCTCTGACTCTCCTACTGTAGTCCCGTGTTTTACTGACTCACGGCTGGATAGCCCGGAGGTTGTAAACAAAGTCGTTTGGGAATCGTGTGACGGTCCAAGTCTGTGTCGCCACTCCCCCGTGTCAAGTTGAGTCCCCTGGGGCTGGTGTGGGCGTGGCTTGTGTTTGGTGCGCTTCATTTAGAACGGCACCGTTTTCCGACTGGGTGTGAACTGGGGAACCATGAGCAAGCGAAAAGCTCCACAGGGAGATAATCCCAATAAAGATATATGCGACATGCTGATGGGTGAGTAAGTTCGGGGCAATACTGTATGAAAAGACTGTTCTTATGGTCGCGATGTAGAGCTTGCCGCGTACGAGAGAAACGTTGGGAGAAATATTCACAAATCCAACGCCTACAAGTAAGTCGAGTGACGAAACTTTGCTGGTAATGAACGAGGTGTATTGCTACCATATGCTCTCCTTACTCACAGGAAAGCTGCAGGTGCGATATCTAAGCATCCTACTAGGATAACAAGTGGCTCGGAAGCAAGGCAACTGGTGAGTTGAACAATTAGACAGTGGAATTTTGTTCATGTAACAGCCATGAGAGAAGTTTTATAGTATAAGAGAGGTAGAAACTCGATATTGACCACAAAATTTGCCATGGGAAAAATCAGTTTAGGCAGTAGCAAGGGTAGCTTTTTTTCATTTGTATCCTGTGTACTGGAGGTCTGGTACTGTTAGAAAAGTTTGCGTGTGACATTTCTTGTAGGGTGGAGTCGGGGAAAAGATAGCCAAAAAGATTGACGAGATCCTAGCCACTGGCAAACTCAACAAACTGGAAAAGGTGTGTCACGTCATTGTATTGATGTCTATTAAGACAACTGACTAAAGCTTTCACACTCTGTACAGCCAATGCAGCACAATAATATGCACAAACTTCATAATACAGAGAATGCTGGGACCATTAAATGTGTTGCATGTCCTTTATTCTGAAGCACTGAACAATAAGGAGAGTCTGGTATGAAAACAATAGTCGTTTGGTAGAGAGTGTGTCCTTTAGTCAGGGTGTCCATTATAAGAGGTTCTACTGAACGTACAACGTTCCTGTACGTGAGAGTTCTTTACCTGTGTGTGTGTGTGTTCCTACAATATACAGATCAGAAATAGTGACGAAAGCCAGGCCATAAACTTTCTCACTGAAGTCAGTGGAATCGGGTTAGTGCAGAGGCCTTCAAGTGGGCTTTTGTCAGGGAGTGGCAGTAGCTTAGTGATTAGTATAATCTATTTCCCAATCACTATGCCCGAGTATATACCACTCCTGGACAAAAGCTTGTTCTATCTCTAATCTTGTCTGTGAATCATTTTTTATATCCGCTATTTTGCCCAGACCTGCTGCTGCCAAGAAGTTTGTGGACGAAGGAATAACCACGTTGGATGGTTGGTGATTGTTTTTGAGAAAGAGAGCTGGGTTAGTGGTGATGATGTGCACTTCTTTTGTGTCTTAGATCTGAAGGCAAACATGGACAAGCTCAATCACCACCAGAAGATTGGAGTCAAGTTAGCCAACTTCGTGATAGCTATGTACCTATAATAATACACACCTGGGGAGCTAACTATATACTTAACGTTATTGGATGTTTGTGTTTTAAGAAAGCACTTTGCTGCTACTGAATGAGTTTTCTCTGCTCAGGTACTTTCACGACTTTCAGAAGCGGATTTCTCGAGCGGAGATGGTCGAACTACGTGATATCGCTCTCAGTCACGTCGCGAAAGAGGACGAGAAGTTTGTAGCGGAAGTATGCGGCAGCTTCAGAAGAGGTTGGTTAGCTTATTATTGTAGGCCCTTTTGTCAATGATAGATGCGTTTCTGCTGCACACCTTCTGACATACATGGTATATACATTGATTTTTATAAGAGTGAATGAACTATGTAAGCTAGCTATGGAATACGGCATCTTTCCCAGGAGCTGAGTCAAGTGGCGATATTGATATCATTCTCGGTCATCCTGACTACACCTCCGAGTCTAAGAAGAAGCCGCCATACATTCGGAGGGTCGTGCAGAGGATGGAGGCGGCCGGGTTTGTCTCGGACAGTCTGTCACTGGGAGAGAGCAAATTCATGGTCAGGCAGGTTTCATATGAAGGGCGTTTTTAAGTTTGCACCAGATACGTAACTTAGTGAGTTTTGTCCTATGAAAGTTAGAGATTAAATATATAGGTTTTGTTGTTAAAGTGGCTGTATTCACTGGGCCTATCTCTTTAGCTCATTCAATGTCTCGGTATTGTTTAAGTTGCTGTGCTTTCTATTAGGGAGTGTGCTCGCTGCCAAAATCAGAGGACAGTCCACAACCAGCCTTCCGTCGTATTGACATCCGTATTGTTCCAATGGACCAAGTGAGAAAAACCTCATTGTTGCAACAAACCTCTACATAAGTTTGCCCGAGACCATTCTCCCATTTACAGAAACTTCCCTCAAAATGTTAGCTCTTAACAGTATTAACTCATCATTTTACTTCTGAGATGTGCACATTATGGTGTCTACGTTTAAACTGAATCAGTTTTACTTATTGTGGGATGCAACCTTTATATAATATATATACCTAATCATCATTGAGCTGCCAGTTCTATACATACATACACACCTCCCTTTCCCCCTCTGCACAGTACTACTTTGGGATTCTCTACTTTACTGGCAGTGACATGTTCAACAAGGAAATGAGACAACGAGCACTGGACAAGGGATTCACACTCAACGAATACTGCATTCGCCCCGTGGGAGCAACAGGTATATCTTCATAGTAAATTATACTTACCGATTTTCTTTCAGCTAATCAAGGCTAACATTCATTTAGAATTTAAGCTTGAAATGGTGCATTTATAATGTGAAACCATCACAGTAGAATGGGATCTAAAAATGATCAATTACATACAATGTCTAAAAAAATTGAAAATGGGACCAAAACACCACTATACTTAATGTATAAAGCCCCATTCACACAATATTAAAGGATGATTGTTTCCCTGCAGGTATTCCGGGAGAATCAATTCCTGTGGAATCCGAGGAGGAGGTTTTTGCAGTGATCGACTTCCCATACAAAACACCTTCCGAGAGAAATTTTGGAAAATGAACAGACTCGCAACCCTTCGTGCCCAGTACTTTATTATGGCCACATTGTCACATATCACTCGTTCACCTCTTTGTATAATATAGTGATACTTTGCAGCAGTTTATACGCATGCACGGCAGTTTTACAGTGCTATAATAAAAAGCACACCCATTGCGAACTGCGCATGCGCGACGTTTTCGTTGGCGCGCGGAGCGCTTACACGCAGGCCGTCTTGCTTTGACCTACCGTCGGTGGCTCATCTAGCATAGCTTGTCTTTGGCCGCTTGCAGCAGTAGCTAGCGTCTGAAGCAACATTCCACCGACCAGTTGTCATTCGAGTAGCTGCTGCGTTTCGTTCGTCCCGAAAGTGTGCACAAACGGCTCGCGGTGAGCTGTAACTCATTTGCAATTGGCCTTTTCGCGGCATAACTTTGGAACGGAAGGTTTTTTCGAAAATCCACGAGTCAAGAAAAACCTACGAGAAACCTGTGTGTATCGATTGCTTGCGGATATAAACGGACTCTGAAGCAGCTATATAGAACGGTAACAGATACAAGACAGACAGACACACAAGACAAGGGTCAAACCAAATTTTCAGAGGAAAAACGGTAAAAACTTCACGTGTTTCGTTAGTTAAAACATTTTTATAGTCAGATTAGAAGAGTAATCTAGGGATGAGTTGGTAGGTGATTGCGAAGTAGACAAGGAGTGCCGTACACACGACGGCTACCAGGAACAGCAGAATGGTCTGCAAAGGCTTAGAGCTCTTCGACGCAGACACGTCTTTGGCTCGGAACGCCTTCTCCTTGTGTCGGCCCACGAGAGGATGCTTCTCGTGCTGCCCGAGACGCCTCCGGTACTGCTCCACCGTTGTTTCTTTCACCCTGTCCTTTCTTCCCATGACCCCCGTACGTACGTAAGTACGTGTACGTGCTCGCAAAAGAACGGGCTTGCGCATGCGCGCTGATTTTCGTGGGCGTGTTCTCCGCGGGTCGCTTTTCGGCGTCCGTCCGTCCGTTTTCTCCTTTCCCGGCGGTTTTAAAGCGCAGCAGGCGTTGCGAAGCGGATCAGTAGGGGGGAATGGACATAATGATAGGAGAGTTAGCGGCCAGCGCTGCAGTGACGCAGTCGTTGACTCCGGCACAAATCGGCTCCCTGCTAGTGTCACAAGATAGCGACCAGGACCTGCTCGGAGGAGCCGCGGCCAAGAAGGAGCGGGAGATCATAGAGAGCAACCGAGTCAAGCTGGCCAACTACATCCACGACGTCACGACGCTGTTCCCGCTTCTGCGACAGGAGGGCATTTTCAGCCGCGACGACGTTGAAATCATCGAGGCGCCCGTCACCACCACCGCCAAAGTCGACAAGTTCCTGGATGTCCTTCTCAGGAAAGGTTGGCTCTCGAGACCGCATGATTTTAGGGATGTGCGTGCGAGTAAGAGATTCCTGTCGCATTCCCGAACGCGTAGGAAAGAGCATTAGCTATGCGAGCTTAGCATACTGTGAAACTGCTCTAATCTCTAATGTATGCAAGATACACTAGTGAATGAATAAACTAAGTGGTTTTATAGATCAGCCAAACAGTACTATTGTAGCTATGTGTTGTTGGATAGATAGTGAAACGAAGTGTATCCTGAATAGGTGACCAACACTACCTGCAAAGTGTATTCATGGCTTTGTGCAACTTCGAAATGCCCAATGAATTTCACTGCGTATCTAACCACATGCCACACTGCATGGCTTTTATTTAAGTGACTTTGTGAGTACATGTGGAATGACACTACCTCAAGAATGTAAAAATAATGCTACATGCTTATAGTCTATTCGCACAAGCCACCCTTGTAATTAACAAAAGAATTCCCCACATTTTTTTGCCAGTTTGAAACAGTAAAGTGTGGCAATAGATATCCTGTCTATTAGCCTTACATACATTCAACTTTGTCTATCGTCCACATCTTTTGTCCCATTTTTAACATACAGGTCCAAAGGCCATTGGAGTGTTCCATGAAGCCCTCAGCTCACACTATCGCCACCTCTTCAACTACCTCGCCCAGCTCTTCACTCAGGCTGGCCTCAACCTTCCCTCCAGCAGACAAATGAAAGGTAAAATTTAACAGTGTGTACTGTACTTTTTCTTCTTCCAACTGTTTTTCCGCCACATTAATTATTTATGATGGCTTATTCATAAGCCATCTTCGTGCAGTGAGTTACACCATCTTGAGGATGCTACTTGATAAGGACATTTTTGTTTCACTGTCAATTTTTGCAGTCTCGCTTGTCCTCATCAGGTCTGCCAAACTAAACAGCCGCTCTGTTTTTCGCCTACTGGTATTGTAGTCATTGGTGAGCAGGAGCGAGCTAACCTAGTGGTCAGAACGGCGCAATACAATGGCCAAGTAATATGTTTGTCATTCCAAAGACACGAGAGTTCTTAGTATTGTGGTTAAGGGAAGTATCCAATCAGATGGGCTATGTCTCCAGTGATATGTGCGGTTGCCTACAGTGAAGCTTTTCGGGAGACAACCTCTTTGATTTAGGGTCTTCACCCACTGTTGCATCGTCATTGATTTATAGTGTGGGAGTTGCACACCGCCTCGCCAAGCTACTGCTGCTTTTGGAGTAATATTTGCACAACCTGAGACATAATCAGTGGGGTTTCTGAAGTGTGTTAATGGGGGCTCTACCATTCCCTTTAAACGTATGTAAATAGAAGCTGTTCAGTATTGGTCTGGAGAGAGCACTGTCTCTATTGTACCATTATCATTCCAGGGGCACTCTTGTTTTAGACTGCCCTCTGCACACAAAAGTGGCAGTGTACCGAGACACTAAGAGCTGTATATACAAAAGTGCCTTGTTTTGCATTGGGACTGTATGAATGGAGCGGTGGGACCACATGCATCTGATGTTGTCTTCAGTTTAGAAGTCATCGAATGGGGAAACCGCAAGAGCTCGGTGCATGTTGTGGCTATAAAACAAACATGCTTTGACATTGCCTTGGGAAAGAGTGCTGTGCTACTTGTGACATTTGAGCAGAATCCCTTATGTGCACTCACTAGCCTTAGCAAGAGCTGTTGTGCTGCATACCATGGAGCCTCATAATTATGCACACACACCACAGGCACCATTACTTCATTCAGATAACCCATGTTTTTATCGGAGTCCAGAGCAAGTGTTCTCTATCCCTTTTTTGGAACTTCCATTATGATAAGTTCCACTGAGCTATGTGGGGCACATTATAATGCAAGTCTTACCTCTCTAAGTCTGTGCGGTGCATGTGTCAGTTATTAAACACATTGCGAGGTAGATACACATTTCCCCACACCGATTGATGAGGTCTTCTGAGAATCGATGTCACTAGTGACTTAGGAATGGGCCGACTTACTTATCAGTTTTATTACTGTATTATTAGTTGAATCACACCGCATGACTCATCCTGAACATAGTGCCGTAACTATGTCTGTAGAAGCTAACTTGCCAGCACAAAAGAAATCACAAGCCTATACTACTGCTATCTTTCACAATTCCTGCATTTGTAAACTATTCTTAACTTCTTAGCTAAAGTTTTGGGTTTGCTTTACTCCGTGGGATATCTCCTAGTTTCAAACAGCTCGGTAAGGGATCGTGTTTGCAAAGCTCTTACTTAAAACACCGAGTGTAAAACTCCCCATAACCATGCAGGAATACCAGGCGGTTGGTGTAATGGTATAGTCTGAGACACGTAGATGGCAAGATGGGATTTTCCAGAGAGATTCCAGTGTTTCTTTTCTGTTACGTAGCTGCCTGCAATTCGTGAGCAGTTTGTGCAAACATTGGCCAATTGTGAGATTTGGGATTTTTTTTTTATGAGCTTCACCGCATCTATGTACCTAGTCTAAGACTTCAGTGGTGCCTTGTATTGCGTGGTGGTTGGGCAGACTTTAGTTCCAAGCCGTTTTAGTATGCTTATACCTACACATTTACCTACATTAGTTATAGTGCTATAGGGATGAGCCTTGTAGGTGGTTGATGTATTCATCTTCCTCTCTCTAGTTTTTCGACTTGGGCTAGAAGATAATTATTGGTAATGTCCTCTAATAGTGGACCACCTGTGTTATAACATTAACACATGGCACCAGCAATGCCCTTTAATTGCATCTGCTGTAATTCAATTTGCCGACTAATTATAATGTACGAGTGCATTGGATGGAGCCAATTACTTGTAACATTATGCCGGACAGTTAGTTGGATTTTAAACCTGGTATAATATAATATACTACGAGGTTCAACTAGTAACTATTTTTCCCATCTATACCTTAGATCCAAGGATATAATGACGAGTTCAAGTTTCTGTCACACCTCACTAACTTTTTTTGGCTCTCACGTGCTAAGATAGTGTTCAACTGGAAAAAAAAACGTACACAAGGATCCAGCTGGACAGCATATGCACCGGTATCCACCCCACCCCCTCAATAGCCAGTAAAAACACCACGATCCGCCTACAGTTTCCTGGCGTGGTCCGTTGTGAAAAGTCTCCTAAGACTATGTACATAATGAGGTGCTCCTATTCTAAGTGAACTACTTACGTATTCATCTTAATTCCAAGAGCTTTTGGGTCACACTTTACAACGTACAAGCGAAGAGAGCGGTTCCACGATAATACCCTATATGGACTGCCGTGTTTACTCACCAAACATGTGTTGCATTCATTCTCGTATTAGTTAGTCCTGCCAGTTCAGAGACTTATGTGGTACCTATAGGTGAGAGAGACTGTCATCATGTAGTTCAATGATGCTGATTGTTTCCTGTGCAGATGAGGGGGACGATGTGGATAAAGAAGTAGGTCCTAAAGACAATGAACGCAGTAAGCTTACACACAATAATTATGTGTGCATGGAGGAGGTATAAAGAGCTATTTGTTGTGATTGTGCTATTGTGCCAAACCACAAATCAACCAGTACTGGCTGTGCATGAAATATGTTTGAAACTGCCAGGTTTCTGAATTGTAAAATTTGTCGTAGATTTCGCCATTTTTTTACCGTGACTAAAGTAAAGAGTGCAGATACGTGGCGGCGTCTGTTTATGCAGGCCCCGTGAGTAATAGTCTGTTTTCTTTCCACTATGTTTATACACGGTGTAGTTGCTCTTAGGCCCACATATTGAAAGCGAAAACCAAAACCCCTGTGCACTCAAAACAACAAGAATGTGTATATAGGTATGCGTATGCGTTGTTGACGTACACTCTGACAGTGTTACGAAACTGAGTATTCAAGGGCATCGGAAAGAGCACGTGTTCCTGTAAAATAATATGCTAACCTCTCGCGTGTGTTTTTTCTATGTTTTCCCCTTCACTTCGGATGGAATCCCCAGTTGTATATACTGGTAAAGCAATGAGCTGTGGAATTGGAGTGCCCGTTGGTTTACTTCAGCATTCAGCCGTACTTCCAATTTTATAGCCAGGGATATAACTATATGTTTAGCAGAAGATTTTAGAGAAAACTTTTTACGGGTTTATGAGCCTTTCACACAAACATTGTGGGGCAGCAACGCTTATACTGAGAAACCAGCGATATACGAAACGTTTCTCTGCAATTAATGCCCACCGAACTGCGCGATTACGTCACGATGTGAAAACCCTCTGTACAACACGGGACAAAGTCAAACCTCAACACATACGTTTTCCTACTAACTGCTATTGCTGTGATAATGTGAGCTGCAGAATTACGTCGTAACCTCCATGCATCTACGTAAGGCACTCGGCAATATAACACAAGGCAAAGGCAAATTCCAAACACAAGTTTCTATGACAAATAAAGCATATATACGGTATTAGATGAGCCAACTATAAAGAGATCAGATGTTTCTTTGGAATCTCAGCAATTGCATAACTGCACAGTTCCGAGAAACTGCAAGGACAAATAGCATTCATTACTATCGCCATGTGTTAGAATAGTTTGTGAAATTTCCGCAGTAAGGAATAAGGATGAGATCCAGTATGCCTCGCTAACTAGATGACCCTTCTAGTTGCGTAACTGAAAGCTAACACACATGGTACGTAGGTGCTAACCCCTGTTAAAGTTTTGCTTTCAATGTGAAATACAATTTAGAACCTTCAAGGTAAATATTGTTAACATTCCCTAAGAGGGAAACTATGTATGGTAGAGCCGCTTCTACAATTATTGTTTTCAGTTGCAGTTTAGGAAAAACAACCACTGATGCAATTAAAAATTGAGTTAGTTCCGGGGTCCTTTGAGAGCAATAACTGTGCCACTGTGCCACTATAAGTATATACCAATGTATGTGGACCCGCCCGCAGGCAATAATGCACACAGCCTGAGAGACTAAAAATTCCAACAATCGTGGTTCACGACATCGATGTCATTATGTATGAAATATATGAGACACATACGATAATATAAGGGGCATTAAACAAGATGTGAGGTGAACAGAACATGTGTGTGTAGCAGAAAGTAGGTTCAAATTCTGTTTCAAATTCTGTTTCAAATTCTGTTTCGTGGCTATGATAGGTCGTTCAAACAGCACGTATCGGAGCGGGTCTAGGAGTGTGACGATAAGGAAGAGACTGGAGGTCATGAGTCGGCAGTGTGAGATGATAGAGAATGACAAATTCAGCCTGCAAAAAGCCCTCAGCGACCGAGAACATGAGATCAGCTCACTACTCAGGTTGGTTTGCACAACCACAAATCTTTCATCTCCCCTCTCTTCCTCCCTCCTTCCCTCCGTCTATGTCAACACTGACCAGATGCATTAAAAAAATAGACTCTCTTTACTTTCCCATTTCCCTGGTTTTCTTTCTTAGTCACCTCAATCTTCACGTTTCCTCTCTCTCCCCCTCCCTCCTGTACCCAGCTGTCTCACAACGATCTCTCTCAGATTTTAACTATGAGTAGTATACCCATAAGTATATGTCCCTTCTTCCCGCTCTGTTTCACACATGTATTCATTACCTTCCAACTTCTGCTTGCTCTCTCTCTTCCCCCTCACCCCTCTCACACTCCCCCCTCCCTGCTCTCCCATCCAGTACAAAGGAGCACGTGCAGATCAAGTACCAGGAGCTCCTCTCTCAATTGGCTCACTGGAGAGCTGCCCTGGAATCTGATGATGCAGTCCAAGTAATCCATGAATATTTGCTGTTTGTCAAATATTTTTTGTGTACCTAAACGTAATACTGCCTAGGCAGTTTACTATGTACATTTAGTGTGTGTAACACATTCCTGCCATAATTGGATGATGGAGCAAGCTTTTCTTTTTTCGGACTCTACTTTTTATCTTACTTAGTATATTGACCGTTGGTACACCAGTGTCTTGATCGTTGGTACACCAATGTATTGAGCGTTAGTACACCAATGTATTGAGCGTTGGTACACCAATGTATTGAGCGTTGGTACACCAATGTATTGAGCGTTGGTACACCAATGTATTGAGCGTTGGTACACCAATGTATTGAGCGTTGGTACACCAGTGTATACACAAATGTATTGGGCGTTGGTACACCAATGTGGTATTGAGCGTTAGTACACCAGTCTTTCTACGCGATATCAACTGGTATTACTCTCTCCTATGCACAGCAATGGATGGTGGAGAGAGAGAACATTCAACGAGAGTACGACCAGATCGAGCAGGACTACAACCTCCAGTGCTCCGAGCTGAACGCAGCACGAGAGAGAATCAGCCTTCTTCTCCAGCAGCTCGAGAGAAGCGAGAAGATTGTGGCCATCACTCAGGAGAACTGCCAGAAAGAGAAAGACACCTACAAACACAGAGTCAGTAACAATATACCGTTGTAAAACCGAAAACATTTATTGACAAAAGACTTGTCGCTAAAGCAACTTTGTGAATGCCGTTTAGAGGCATGAATGGGTGTTAAACCAAAATAATCACGAAAATATACTTTCTTGGTTTATGAAGGAATGTTTTTTAGTAGCAGGTTGCTATATACCGCCTACTCTTTGATTACGTATGTTGATGTGTGTGTGTATGTACAGATTTCGGTACTTGAAGGAGAGGTGAAGCGACTGCTGGACAAACTGGACCACGTAGTCACCGGACCTCTCAGCAGTGACGGGAGGACCAACGACGAGTGTCCTCAAGTACGCTGCGATAAGGTTTGCTTGCTTGCATCACATGGGGGTGCAAGGGGGGGTGGTGTAAACTGAAATTCATTTTCAATTGATCAGCTCTCTCTCCCTCTCTCTCCCACTTTTACTCTCTCTTTTAACAATACGAGGCTTTTCTTTGGCTCTTACTCCCATTTAACAATACGTAGCTCCGTTGTGAAATAAAGCAAGCGATAGCAGCATCAATATTTATCCCTTTGGACACCATGGGTGTCTTCTTAAATAAGCAGAATTTTATGTATGAAGTTTTAGTGCCTAGTATTATAACCCCCATATAAATTCTTATGGACTTATGGAGGCTCTGGACGCACTTATCTGGGTTCAGTGTTAACTCTCCCCCCCTTTTTCTCCCTTCCCCCTCTCCTTACCGCCACTAACCAACACACTAGCTACAGCGTGAACTGGACCAGGCTAGAGACCAGATGTCCACTCTGAACGATCGACTCGACGTGCTGCAGAGAGAAAAAACGCTGGCGTACGACGAACGAGACGAGATTGTCAAGAAGCAATATGTGGAGAATGTGAAAAGAAAAAATGCCGAGAAAGAGGTAAAAATGATCTTTTTTCTTAAAATATTTTTCTCAATGATCTTTAAAGTTATATAATTATACAGAATAAGCTGTGGAGGATGTGTGTCTATTTGTGATTGCCCCCTCAATATCAATTGGAAGACTTTTGCTGCCCCCCCCCGCTGATTAAAAGCAGTTAATTGAGGCTCTGCAATGCTTGACTGCCCCCGCTATTAAGCAGCTATAGGTATATTACTTGTTGCCCCCCGCGAGTTAATTGATGCTTGACTGCCTCTTCTATGTTACCTATAACAGCCCTTCTCAATTTCCTCTGCAAATTTAACAGCTATTGTTTGATTGCCTCTGTAGATTAAGCACACACTGATTGTCTCTGCAGATAAAGCAGCTGAGGATTCAAATCGAATCGCTATCCAACTGCTCAGATACACTCTACTCGCCGCAGACGCCGCACAAGACCTACCCCATAGTGGGCGGAGCTGGAACGATGGCCACGCCTCCCTACCCCGCCCGTCATGCCAGCTGTCCTGGGGAAGACATGATGGCCCACCGACCGGGGTTAACAGGCGGGGGGATTGGAGGTGGGATGACCACAAAGGTGGAGAATCTCGAAGTCTTTATGCCGGCACCGGGATTTGATGGTGAGTTTTTCCGCCCCCTATCATGCCAGCCCTTTTCCCGCGGCAAGGCTGCTCATCTGGTGCTATCAGACTGCAAGTAATGCAGTGAAAATGGGTCGTTTGGTTTGCTTTTGCCTTGAGCCCTCATTGCTGGCACATGCCACACCAGCCTTTTCCAGCAAGGCCGCTGTTAAGTAACGCCAGTGAAAGCTTTGCAGCAATCAGGCCCATAACTTTCGTAACTTTCGCCCGTGATTATAACTTTCGTTCGTTTGAAAGTTGCGTTTTTATACACAGTAGAGACTGCTTCCAGTCGTGTGATGCAATGGAATGCAGCTGCCTTTTAAAGAGAGTCACGAAAACAGAGCCACTGTATTGTGGCTATACAATGACGAGTCAAATTCCCGGTTGCCGAGGTACCCACACTTTCTCCGATGATACGTTGAAAGCATCACAAAAACAATGAAAAGTCACTGAAGTGCAAACCCTCAGCGAACTGCGCATGCACGATACCGCTAATTGATGTGCTGGGCTGATTAGTATGCGTTTACTCGTGGTCTCCCGCTAGTAGCTCACGGAGAGTCTGACGCGGGCTAGCTACAGTAGTAGATAGCATGCGGACTTTTCGACCTATACCCAACACTGAATACTAGTATGTTTGTGGAGCGATTCATGGCTCGTGAAGTGAGATGTTAGGCAGACAGACAGACAGACGACACATCACGACAACTACAGTAACCCTCGCTGCGCATGCGCGCCGAGGGTTAAAAAGTGACCTCACAATGGCACAGAGTGTGGGAGCATGCAAGAGAGTCACAAACAGTTTTATTACTGGATCATGGCCAAAGATGCCCTCTAAAAAGTTTTGGGAACCCCACCACAACCACAGTGCAGGAAATTATTGTGATTGGGTGCTATAATATGTCTTTCCTGTCTGTTTTTCCCCACACCTGTGTCATATGTAGCTGATCTGGGTATGAAACTGGAGCAGGGAGTGGTGGTGAGAGAGTTAAAAGAAGGCAGTCAGCCTCACAAACACGGTGTGAGACTTGGAGACGAAATCTGCCAGGTACATACATACGTTGACTTTGCAGCATATACAATATACCTTTGCCCTATCCCTTCAAAGGGAATGTTGCAGTATCTAAGCGCTAAACGTTTAGAAAATGTTCTAGCTTAGCGCTTAGAAAATGTTCTAAGCATTCTATTTGTTCATCTTAGCCCTTATGTACTAAAACATCCCCATTAGGTCCCATTTTGAAGCCTTCATTTTTGGGCTATATAGTGAACTTTGAATTCTCCCATGTTGTATATATTTGATCCTGATTATTTGTTTTGCAGGTGAACAAGTTCACACTGTTCGGAGATAACCCTCTGGATTTTTTCAATCGTCTCTTGAAGAACGCCACAGAGCCTGTCGCACTTATGCTAAGACGCCAGGTACATAGAAATGTTACAGTAGGGCTCATGCTGTCCTGTCTGGGTACATAGAAATGTTACAGTAGGGCTCATGCTGTCCTGTCTGGGTACATAGAAATGTTACAGTAGGGCTCATGCTGTCCTGTCTGGGTACATAGAAATGTTACAGTAGGGCTCATGCTGTCCTGTCTGGGTACATAGAAATGTTACAGTAGGGCTCATGCTGTCCTGTCTGGGTACATAGAAATGTTACAGTAGGGCTCATGCTGTCCTGTCTGGGTACATAGAAATGTTACAGTAGGGCTCATGCTGTCCTGTCTGGGTACATAGAAATGTTACAGTAGGGCTCATGCTGTCCTGTCTGGGTACATAGAAATGTTACAGTAGGGCTCATGCTGTCCTGTCTGGGTACATAGAAATGTTACAGTAGGGCTCATGCTGGGTATAATACATAGAAATGCACATACTTGAAAATTATACGAAATTGGAGTAGCCTTATGGGGTGTTGTGTTGCATGGTATCCTAGTTGCATGCAATCTCTCCTAGGTTGTCCTTGCTTTGGGGGAGGTTGTTAACCCTCGGCGCGCATGCGCAGCGAGGGTTACAGTAGTCGTTCTGTCTGTCCGTCTGTCTGTCCGTCCGCGCGAGTTCTAGCACTACAGGCTACGAGGCGGCCAATGAGTGGCACCAACGGGTTGTGAACGACGAGAAGATTGATATAAATGTGGCGATTTTCCCGAAACGACTGCGTTCCAGAGATATGGCGTGAAAACAAGCGAAAAGCCAACGCGCGGTCGATCGCGCACGCGCCCTCTCCTGCAGGCTATATTATAGCTATATAGCGCGCACGCGTAATGTCAACTAATCGCCGGAGCATGCGCTTGGTTGTATATACGATCCACGGCCTCCTGTCAGTTTTGATCTCTGTTCCCTATGGATAAACGATAAACATGCTGAGCAAGCAATAGTTCAGGTGGCGAGCAGTTTGTGGTTGCGGCCTTGCCTTCCCATCTATAAAACATCTGGCGAGACCATTGAAACACAGAAGAGCAGATAGAGTGAATAAAGCAAATATGAGAGCCTCTGAAACACCTGAACTATTGGTCTAACCGCTAATGCAACTACCCTGTGTTACGGTGAAACTCGTGTTACTGGCTCTGTCGATGACGCACGGCCCAGCATACAGCGATGCTACAACTCGCTAGTTTACCGCCGAGGGTTTGCACTTTAGTGCTTTCATTGGTTTAGTACAAAGACAGGAAAATATATGATTGGTCCATACTGATATTGCAATAGATGTCCCCCCATGTAGCCTTGAAGGAAGCATATTATATAGAGTGGAAGTGGTTTTCTTTGTTTAAGCCCTACCTTGGACAGGGCTGACCACTGCAGCCACCTTAGGGCATCTTTGGGGGAAAACAATAACCACTAGAAGTTTCGAGGCAAAGCAACAGAAGCTTTGCCTCGAAACTTCTAGTGACATGTCTATTCAGGGTTCTTAACCTGTTAGCACCTCAGAGGAAAGAAGTTCTTGCTCGGAGAAAATCCAGTTTTTTGATGTGGCTTTGTAACTCTGTGAAAAGTTTACTGACATGTAGTGACCTTGAAGCTTACTTGCACTGCATATAAACTCTTTTCTCTATTTTACACTCTCTATGGTACAGAGTCCATATTATGTTGGCCCTATATACAGTCTGTCATATCTGAGGTTTCACCAATCCCAGTGTGTACATACTTTGTGAGCTTTGCGTGGGGTGTAAGTTGCGGTGGTTTGGATTCTTTTCGTTTTCCTCTTCCCTCCCCCTCTCAACTCACATTCCACCTCTTTATTTCTCTCTCTCTCTCTCTCCTCCCTCTCTCTCCCTTCTCCCTCTCTCTCCCTCCTCCCTCTCTCTCCCTCCTCCCTCTCTCCCTCCTCCCGCTCTCTCCCTCCTCCCTCTCTCTCCCTCCTCCCTCTCTCCCTCCTCTCTGTCTCTAGGTACAAGTATCAGATACCAGGTCGTCCATATAACACTCTTCCAGTCGCGTCACCCAGAGGAGGCAGCCGCCCCATCTCTCCTTGCTTCCCATCTCTCCCTCTGCACCCTCCTACCAGGTATACACACGTTCCTTGTACGTAGCTGTTTTCTGGGGGGTCAATACGTATATGCAAATGGTTTACATCAGCAAATTTATAAAGTGAGTTGTTCACAAATGCCACCATCACGCTTGCATCTATTTTACATATTAGCATTTTGTTGAGAAAACCCGCGAGTAGCTTTTAAAATTGTGAATTACTAGTTTTTGCATCAACAGCCATTCTTTCTCACCCTCCCTCCCTCATGTGCACAGCTCCGTCTCCATCTTCCCGCTGAGCCCCCAGCTGGGAGCTGCCTCGGCGTCCCGCAGGTACCCGGCCTTTCAGTCTCCTCCCGCCACCGGAGTAGCCAGCAGTCCTGTATCCGGTCCTACTACTCTCGTCGACGCTCCCATGGACGGGAGAAAGGCCAGGGTGAGCACTCTACGTACTGCATCTGGTGCTCATACATAGCTGCCCTGGCAGCTTAGTCACGGGCTAGCAGCTTAGTTGAAAACAACGCTCCTGTCTGCTAAGATGCCCTGGTAAAACTCAAAGGAAGCATGGTCTATATATAATTATATATACATTGGGTATGCACTTCAGTTAATGTGAGTGACTTAGAATTATTATTAAACACTGAAGGAGTGGATGGTACAGTGCTGAGCATAGATGGACTGAAGCCAGGGTTGACAGCTGGTCTCGCTTACTTATACCTGCCTGTGGAGCTGCCCCAGTGGCTTATTTAAGAAAAATGCTCACAACCTTATTTCTCTAGCTGTTTGTCAGTGCTTCAAGTGATGTGTGTATACGATTATAATTATTTAGGTGAGCACTGATGGGACATCTAACTCAACCCATTCGACTAATAAGGTAATGAGCCAGCGAAATATCTTGTCCATTTCACCTTAGCCTTCGTTGCCACATATACACATGTCTATTAACTTGCTGTTAACCCAACCACAATAATTATAGAAAGCATTATACATTATACTATATACGGCAGTTGAGTAAGTAAGTATGCACGAGCAAATAGTACAAAGGCTAACATAAGTCAACAGCAATATAACTACGATCGATCCTCTCTGTCGATATTGCAGGACTCATCTTGCAGTAGTTCCAGTGATGAGGACGGGGGAAGAGAAGGGAGGAGAAAAAGACCTGTCATCATCCCTCAGCAGAAAACCAACAACAGGTTCTCCAGTGCCTCTGAACAGGACGGCATCGTCACCAGCCCCACCGAGAGAAGTATATATAGATACATTTTAATAGGAAGTTTTACAATACATAAAGGAAACATTTGCTTTCCTTTATAGCCATTGAGTGTCCATTATAAGAGGTTCCACTGTATGTTCACTATTAAATAATAGCGTCTGTCTGGAGATACAAGAGGATGACGAAAATATCGACCATTGACTCTGGATTTGAGTTCCCGTTCACGGAGGACGGCCAGCAACTGGATGGCCCGGACATTCTCCTGCACTCCAGCGAGTGGGACGTGGTGGAGTCACCGGAGATGGTGGAGGAGGCGAGGAGGGAGGAGGAGGGGAGAGAGGCCGCTGGTGGGGAGAAGGCCTTTCGGGGCAGGAAGGGGGCCGTCGCAAATGAACGGTCTTCTGGACCACGCAGGTGGGAGAGGGAGGAGAGAGGGAGGGAGAGATAGGTGGATGGGAGCTTGGACACTTATACCATAGAGATTTTCACAAAAGGCAGTGCAAATAATTGCAAGGCACTTTGGGTGTTGCCACATGCTGGTTTTCTTTAGATTTATTTCGTGTGTTGCAGCACCGAAATGTCTTCTACTTGTGTGCATATCTGCATTGTTGGGCCCTTACGACTTCCTTAAAAAGAGCTCCTTGAAAAAGTTAACAAAACTCAGATAACTTTCAGAAATAACGATCCAAAGGTATGTAAAAAGCCGGGCTGGGGTGGTCCTTGCAACAGATGTACGTATGTCTAGAGTTTAGTTGTGCAAACAGTGGAGATGTGATGTGCTGTGTCATTCTCTTCCAGGAAAAAGGGAGTTTATCACAAGAAACCCAACATTTCGAAATCCCTCGACGACCTAAACGAGGTAAATATTGACACACCCCCAGTCGTCTGAATTGTGCTTAACAAAAACCTTTGCCAATTTACAATGCGAATGCCTGAAAATCTTTTAGAGCACTTGTTGATTGTGTTTTCTCACAAAAATTCACTGCTACATAGTTTGTGTGAGGCGTGTAAAAGGTCGTGGACTCTTTGCACACGCTATTGAGCTAGGTATGCAATACATATCGACAGAAATTTCTTGGTCACCGATGCCTGAAAGTAGTAGTGGTCCCTAAACTCCCTCCTCGGTTGTCGTCGACACGACACAGAGTACATCTTTAATATTTCACAAGTCGGACTGGCATTTGTTTATTACGTCTGTGAAGAGGAATTTGAAGTGTAAATATTTGTGTACACATGTGTGTCACGTAAGTGTGGGTCTATGTACATATGTATATAGTAGAAATGTGTGTGTGTGTGTGTGTGTCTGTGTGCAGGCTTGTGTTAAAGTGTTGGATTTGTTTTGTTCCACAGACGACAAAGCATGGACCTGCCAGAGAGTAAGTTAGGATTTCGAGCTCAGGTGCACACTGCTTCATCTCTCTCCTTTTTCGTCTGTGCCCTCCTTCCCTCTCCTCCCTCCCTCCTCTCTCTCCCTCCCTCTCTCTCTCTCTCTCTCTCTCTCTCTCTCTACTCAGTTCTCGTGACGGAGAACGAACGGTAATCATCACCAAACAAGAATTCCTGACAGAAATCAAGCTGATTGGTGGGCGGGGCTATGGAGTGTTCATAGAAACTGACTCCAGGAAGCACACAGTTGAGACCGGAGACAAGATTATGGAGGTCAGATTCACACGACAGTGGCGAATCTAAGATTTTGAAAGGGGGGGTTCCACTGTTCAGAACGTTTTCGACTGTGCTCGTGCGCATGTACGAGGCCTGCAGTGCATGCGTGCAAAACGACAAAAAGGGGGGTTCCGCGGAACCCAAGGAACCCCCCTGGATTCGCCACTGCACGACATGCCACCACAAGTAGCAATGTGCACCAAGTTGGACCGCTACGAGTCGTAACGCTTGTAATCACAGAACCATTTTCAGCTGGTACAGCCGTTATCAAATATAAGTCTCCAGTACAAGGAAAACTTTGTGGGGCTGCGATACAGTATAATAATTATAGCAAATATGAAATTTGCTCACGAATACAGGTCCACTAGTCCATAGATTCCACATGGAACATTATGTGAATAGTTGAAATCTCCTGGAATGTTTCCCACTACTATATACACTACAGATAGGAGAGAGAGTCACAAACGGTCTCACACGAGCGGAGGTGTTTGAACTTCTGGACTCCGGTTTTCTGAGGAATGACTCTGTGAGACTGACGGTGTTCTACGATGCCAAAGCACTGTCTCAGCTTCCACCTCATGCCAAAGACAACTTCTACGTCAGGTATGTCTGGAGCCTCTTGATCTAGATCTCCAAATTACCGATTGGCACCAGGGTATATATATACACACAGACTCCTCACCAATATTGCCTCTATTTCAGATTGGTGAAGCTAAATAGGGATAGGTGCAGGAAGATAGAGTGCATTACTATTCCATACTCCAATGATAGTCAAAATATTCAGTGAGGTTATCTTGTGTTTTCTTCCACTGATGTGCCTACAAGAAATGCAAAATCATTGAAACCCTTTTAGGGGTATGGGGTTGGATTGATAAAAAGGTCAGTGAAATAGAGGCGAATGAGGGATTGGTGCAGCTTGACATGGAGAAGTGCAGGAAGAAAGTGTACATTACTATTCCATACTACAACGATAGTCAGAATATTCAGGATAGTTGGCTTGTCTCTAAATCCACCGGTGTACCTTCAACAAATGCAAAATCGTTGATACCCTTGTTAGAGGTTGGGGGATAGATTGGCAAAGTAATGGCGAAATATGGATTAGTAAAGCTATGTACAGAAAGATAGAACACATTACGGGGACAGCAGGTGAAGCTGAATAGAGATAGTTACAAAAAGACAGCTCCATTGTGCTCTTTACATCTCTACTCCTTCTCCTCTCCCTCCCTCTCTCTCTCCCAGATGCATTCAACCCTATCGTCCAACTCATTCCATCCTCGCCAAGAACTATGACCTAGCCTTTGAGAAGGGCGACGTTCTTCACATCACCAACACACTACCCACAGGTATATTATAACAACATGCCTGTGCATTTTACCAACAACACCATATATGTACTGTAGAACCTCTGTTAATGGACACTCCAATGTTACAAAACATCTTTCTTTTGATTCACCGCTACTAATACTTAAGTCCTGACAGAAAACCCACGTTCGTTGGAAACCACAATTAGGAACAGTCATAGTTCCAATTCAATATTAGATTCCCATTTAAAATCCTTATGACTTTCCCTTCAAGTCTATATTAAAACCACACAAATGTAGAGACGTAGGTAGGTATATGTTACACTCATTAGAGGTTAATTTGTTTGAGTCGCCGATTGAATTCTCGACTGGGCAAACAGGTCACGCGGGTTGCTGGACGGCGGAGAAGATGGGGAGCAAGGGTGAGATCCAGGGGGCCGGGCTGGTTCCCATATCTCTGAATCCAGACTCGGGGGACGACAGAATCAGGAACGGAAGTAAGCCTCTCCTTACTGATAACCAGTACCATTGGTGGCGTGTGCCACCTTGCTCAGATTTTAGGGTTTTTTGCCCTTTACCTTGTATGTACTGTACTATGAATAGAACTGTGGGGTATATATTTTAAGGGTGCGACCATATTCGAGTTACTACTTCTGTGTCGTGTAGTATAATAATCGGACGCCACCATGCACGGAGCCTTCGTACTATGCTAGTATATTTGTCACGTGATGGTAAAATAAATTGTACATCTTGTCCATATGAAAATGAAAGCTCATATTATTCGGTGTACTGTTCAGGCCCAAAGACTTTGCCGAAGTATAACAACAAAGCAAGCAATGTTGACGGCACGTTGAAATCACTCGCTACCTCACTTTTCTCCAAGGCTCTGCAGCTCTACTGTCCCGTGTGCCAGGTTACTGGTGAGTGATACACTGTAAAGGAACCTCTTACGTCTTTGTATAATATAGCTCTGCGTTCGGTAAATTTGGCAGCACAATATCCGACGGGAGGTAATGCTTTTGCAGTTGCTAACTGTGAAACGAAATAGTACATTTCCCCCAGAATTTTTTCTTTCAGCTTGCATCACACTCGATGGTAATGCGTACACGTCTCTCTGTTATACAGTGAAGTACCCTCGACCAGTTCTGTTGCTGGGGATACTGCAAAAGGACTTTCGCAAACACATCGTCAGTAACTCCTCTTCTCAAGACGACATAAAATTCTGCTTCTCCATTCCAGGTAAAAAGATAATCAACACGTAGGTACAGTTGGATAATGAACACAGTGGGATATCATAATAGAAGTCATCGCCAGATCAAACTAGTGGGTTAGAAAGATGTGTAAGTGAGACGATGAAGCCAGGCACACATCACTATATAAAGTGACTGGAATTAGACAAACCAACCATCCTTACTACTTTGACTGTAGAAATAGACTGCACCTTTTCCCCCTTCACTAGTAGCAGCACTTACCCCCTTTTCTCCTTCCCTCTTCTCCCTCCCCACCTCTTCTCCCTCCCCACCTCTTCTCCCTCCCCCACTCTTCTCCCTCCTCCACTCTCTCCTCCTCCACTCTTCTCCCTCCTCCACTCTTCTCCCTCCCCCACTCTTCTGCTCTCCCCCGCTCTTCTCCCTCCCCACCTCTTCTCCCTCCCCCACTCTTCTCTCTACCCCTGATCTCTTTCACCCACCATCAGAAGAAGCCGGGAAGGTCCACTGTCCCGAAGATGAGATTGTGGAAAGATTGACAGAGAACGGCAAGACAATGATCACTACCACTTCACACATCAAAGACCTCGGCAGAGAAGTTAGTTTTTTAAAAAAACCAGCTTGCATGCCGGGTTCTGCCAAGAATGTATGGAATTATGTCTAAACTTAGGCTAGGGTTGGTCACAAGATATGATGACATCTATTGGGACACTGAATGTCTCTTTGCACCTTAACCTGTTTGCTAACCACAAATGATGCTGCCCTATTTGTTGCGCTGAAACATATCTTTCCCTTGGTAAGGCTCCCCTCCCCCATCCTGTAGGGCTATCACTGTGTGCTGTGTAATGACGCAGACAGTCTACATCTGCCCGGTCTCCAGAGTCTGACACCAATTGTTCTTTACCTTCAGACCTCGGCCGTCCGCGTCGTAAACAAAATCAGGTCGGTTTCTCTATCCTTTACTTCATCCCTCCCCCCCACCCCTCTCTCTCCCTCCTTGTCTATCATTTCTTCTCCATCTTTTACACCCTCCTTCACTTCTTTCATTCCCCTTTATCTTTCCCTTACATAATCTTGAGTAAGAAGGCCCGAGTTACGTCATAAGTCACATGGGTACAAATAAAGTACATAATTATATAGTTGCCCTAGTGTTTACATCATCGCACAGTACACTGCCTTTTTCCACTTGAGCTATACTATGTATGGTAAAAACTGTGGGAGAGCGCCCCATATTTGGATGCAGCATAGGTACAGTACAGTGATTGTAAACTTCCTTAGTTGTGAAAATGTGGGCGACTTTTGTTGTGTATTTTGTCCATATGTGGCTGTAGATAGGCTCTGGTTATGGGTATGTGGGTGGTTTGTATTACCACATACCTAACAGCGGAACCTCCAAATATGGCCTTTATACAGAGCTGTCGTGTATTCCGACATTAAAACACTTTTGATGCCATGGGTATCTCCTTAAAATAAGCAGAAATTGATGTATAATATATAACCTATATTAATGCCTAGTACTATAGCCATGTATAAATTCTTATGCACTTATTGAGGTGTTTTAAGAAAAGGGCCACATAACGGACCCCTTTATAAGCACACCCCTGAAATGAGGGTACCACTTTTCTTTAGACAAGAACAGTTTTCTGCATTCTATTTTAACCCATTGGTGTCAGGATTATAGAGGGACTCCACTCTATACATACAGTCTTATGTGGTTCATAATATACAGGCAGAGGCTGCCACATGATGGGGAGTTCAGTGCCCAGGAAGAGATTGACTATGCAGAAGGCTTGAAGAGATACCTACAATACTTCACAGGTATAGAGAGAAGAATAAGCATTTTGCGTCTCATAAACATTAATTGGTTACGTGTTTAACTGGTAATATAAAGGGAATTTGCACTCAATCCACAAGACACATTATAGCTTTTGCATAAATGCAGTATAAATGTACACTTATAACTATGGGGCTAATGTAATTAATTCTTGCAGGTCAAATTGACCTCCAAGTGTCGATGGTTGATGTCGTGAAAGAAATCAAAGCAACAGTTGCCCGTCAGCAGAAATCCGCCATATGGGAAAACGAGATTTGAGAGATTTAATATTTTTAATCATCAGGAAGATTCACAAAGACATTGAAAGTAGCCATATAGGTGGATATTTTTTAAACTTCATAATAGCTTTGCAGACTTTGGACTTTTTAATCCATGTTTGTATGTAGTTGCAAAGACATGTGTCAGTTCATGTATAAAGCAATTTTGATACTAAAGTAATGCACACATAGGTGACGGTGGATGTTAACAATGTACCAGAGATATACACAGTCACCATGATATAATTATACACAAATCACTAAAGATTTAGAGCAAAGTATTAACTTGAGGCTATATATTAGTTTTTCACTAATGGAGGTAGCTGACATCGTGCGACGTGAGATTGGAACTCCGCCTCCCCTAGTGTCAGGAATACAGTGGAACACTGCGGACACTTTCGCTCCGTTTCACACGCAAACCTAACTCGCGACACTATCACAGCCTCCGGTTGATTGGGGGGCGGCGGTTGCGAAATACGAGAGCGAGGGGAATTTTGCGACCCCCGCGAGTTACGTTTCAGTTCACTGCCATCAGATGATTTGGCGGGAAAATTCTGTGTGCACGTGGTGTGGTCCTTAGTAGTTCCGTGGTTAGAGTTCCATTGTGTGAGTTGTTGCAGCTGCTTGTGTATCCCACGGGAACGGCGGCTTTTTTTGTGCCATGGGAGTGTCATCGATAAATATCGGTGCTTGTTTACGGCCCTGGCCTTGGCGGTTGTCGTGGTAACAGTGGGAGTTTCCCACTCCGTTGAGGTCGTCCTCTTTGGCCAGCGACTCAACAAGAACACCTGATTGGTTGGTGGCCGCTTCGTTTAACAGGGAGCCTTCACAGCTACTGAGATTACTGGAGTGCTGCATTTGGAGCTTGTTCTGTAGTGTCTCAAGTTTCTGGACCAGAGCTTCAATCTGGGCTTTGTCTCTTTCGGCCTTCTCTCTCAGCTGTCTGTTCTCGCTGCTCAGGGCCGTCAGCTCCTTTACCGTAGGCTGTGGAATAAGACAGTGATCAGGTTATACTACAGTGCAACTTCTGAAAGGGACCGTCTGAATAAGGATATGTTCTGCTCCATGATATTAATGTCTGGTTAAGACTTTTGATGACCCCAAAGTGCCCCTTATTCATTCCTCTTAACATTGCATAATAATTATGCTGCTCAGACACTTAGGTGGCACAAAGACTGGCTTCTTCATTTCAGCACTATATACAGTGCAAAGTGGGCAGGTAATCAATTGCAGCGGGTGATCTAATGATGACGTAATTGTTTGGGTGGGGCTGTTACTTAGGGACAAAAGTATGGGGCTACAATTGAAGGTGACATAAGGCTGATGTGATGTCATTTAGGGTTCCATGTATATAGTTGGGTGGGGCCGGGTGTGGCTGGCAGTAAAAGGAGCTTTCAGGGGACAAAGGAGTGTGGGGCATACAGAGTATTTAACAGGAGTGTCAGGCCGGCAGGGTGGAGCTAGGTTGAATCACTAGGGGATTAGGTGAGGCTCAATTAGGTATTCGGGTGGAGAAATGGGTGCAGCAGTGTACTATAGTAGAGAGCTAATACTTAGTCACCATTACTCTGTAGCAGTCCCATACTCCCTCAGCGTCTATCTGTTCACTAGTCTAGAGCACATTATGCCAATTCCCCACCCACTACTACAGTCAAGTTTTTAGAGCATGACACCTTTTATAAACCCCCTACTATCTCAAGTAGTAGATGAAGTAAGGGAGTAAACCAGGTACTGAAGGGGTAGTTAACACATAAGCCACAAATACAAACATGCAAAGTCTTACAAAATAAACCTAAGGGGATTGCCATGTACAACAATTATTAGCACTTCCCATGATGTATTCACCTAAACTTTCAGATAAAACAAGTCATGAAAACAGAAAGGAAGTTTTCCGCTATTAAGTGTTGGAGTTCTTGCACACATTAGACCTATATAGTTATCTACACCCCTACCTAAGCAATGGATGGCAGCAGACACTCTACAGGGGGCTATCTACAGCAGGCTAGGTAATGGATGACAGTGGCGACACACTCACCATCTTGCTCGTAGCCTGGACTCTGAGGTTGGCAACTCTGTCCCTCAGTTCCTCGATCTCGTCCCTGTCCTCCTCCCTCCCACTCCTCTCCTCCACCAGCTCCGCCTTCAAACGCTCGTTCTCCCTCACGGCCGCATCTCTCTCTTGCTTCAACTGAACAATAAGTAACAATTAATTTTACCGTACCACTGACACCAAAATTGTACATCGTAATTTGTGAATAAAACTGGATTTAAGTGTGTCAGTGTGGCTGCTCATCCGTCACGACTGTGTTTTGCGCTATAATTATATCAAAAACACTGTTTGAGTTTTACATAAGTGCCTGATCAGCCACCAATGACGTACTATGCATGCATCACTGACAATGCTATTGGGTAAGTAACGTACTTCCTTGGAGTTCATATCACGGGGTTTCCTGTAGGTATTTGCATAACGAGGAGGAAATGACGTGTAATGAGTACTGTCACATGATTCTTGGTACTGTCACAATGGCTCACAGGTATATATAATTATACAGCAATGAAGGTGTTGTCTAACAAGGAAATGATGTAATCAGGAAATGTATTTGGGTTCAAAGGAAATTGCATTGAGAGGTGCAATACACACACCTATCATATTGTATATAAGGTTCAACCCCTACTCAAGTTCCACTATATACAATACCTGATTTGTATAATATGATGTATAATTATACCTGTTTTTCCTGCTCTGTTCTTGAATTGGTCTCCACCACATCGCCATTGCTGGTGAACTCTGACCTCGTTATGCCGCCGGCCCCGCCCACCACTGACGGTGCTGTGGTGTGTCGTGTCTTGCGTAAGCTCTGATTATCTTTCCTGCAATAGCACCGTCACAAATCATGTTGAGGGCTTTAATGCTATTCAGCATGTATGCAAGGTGTTTAAACAGTTGCTGAGTAATTCTATGGACCAGAAAAGATGAAAGAGCAGTCTGTTGGCACACAAGTGTTGATAGAATAAACCGTTGCTGAGTAATATTATGGACCAGAAAAGATGAAAGAGCAGTCTGTTGGCACACAAGTGTTGATAGAATAAACCGTTGCTGAGTAATATTATGGACCAGAAAAGATGAAAGAGCAGTATATACGCCTGTTGGCACACAAGTGCATTCATAGTGCATGGCTAAAGGATAATACACGTAGTTCCTTTCTTACTGTGCGTCTTGGAGCTCAATCTGCAGGATTGCTACTTTGCTGGCCCTTTCTCCAGCTTCAATAGCCCACTGGTTGTTTGTAGCCAGTAGCTCTTCGACACGAGCATTCGATTTCCGCAGCATTTTCTTGAGACGGGCCTCCTCTTCTCCCTCTCCCTTCTCAAGTGTAGTTGAGTGTCCAGTAGTACCGTTCTGATGGTGGGGCGGGTGACCATTAGTGAGTTGATGTGAATCTGGGATCTAGAGAGAGAGAGTGAGAGAGAGAGAGAGAGAGAGCAATGGATAGAGATTTTACATTGAAGATTCAACCTTGTATAGAGATGACTAGCCATTGAGGCTGTTCAGATTTTAAGGCTGCCTTTAACGTAGTACAAAATCCCAGCAACAACGAAACCCTGAAAAAATGCCAGATTCCACCCACAGAAACTCAAACTCTGCAGAGATAATGTGCTTGCTCAGTAATAAGGAAGACCATTATCGTAGTGGGGACCTTTAACTTAAGGCAGAGGTGTGTATATAGGGCAGCACTAAAGCCAGCACCAGATTGAAACAAGTGTCCTTTATACAAAGGTGTCCTTTATTCAGTGGTTAAACAGTAATAGCTCTGAATTGAAACAGCGTCCTTCAGAGAGGTGTCCTTTATTCAGAGCGCTCATTACAAGAGGTTCCACTGTACTATTGGTATATACACCCACCTCAGTTCTTCTCATCCCCAGCACTTGTTCCTCCAGGTGAGCATTTCTCTCTGTCAGACTCTCCAGGAGCTTGGTCTTCCCTGCCAAGAGCTTTCTCTCGCATGCTTCCGCTTCGTGCCTTCTCACGTAGCTCTTGAAGTGGGCGAGTAGTTCAGATATACTCACACTCTTGAACACACCCTCGCTACTCTTTCCTCTTCTTCTTCCTCCTCCAGTGCTATGGCTGTGACTGACGAGGGATTTTCGGAGATGAGAGGGAAAGTATGAGAGGAGTTGGTCCGCATTCAGGTCCGCCTGGAGCCACTCTGAGATCAGGGGATCACCTGACTCGTCATGTGACCATCTACTGCTACTGCTGCCACTCAGGCTTTGCAAGAGCTGGCAGACGAGGGTGTAGAACTGTGGAATGAATCTGTCCATCTGCAAGGAGAATTGGTAACGAGAAATGAACGCTGATCTTGTGCCCGACATTTTATATAGCTAGTGGATGACCTCACTTTGGGGAGGATGAACTTTTACACTCAGCAAATACTCAATACTGGGGATTACCTGGTATGATATTCATTGCATTCCAATTTGTTGCATAATCACGTTTAATTTCTGAAACAAACGGTGGTCTAGAAAAATCTGTCCGCTTTTATTTTTTGGAATTACAAACCTCCACTCCCACTCACAAGGCTTCTACATCATCAGTCACATGGTATGCTCATGCAGCACTGCCGTTGCAAGGATGCTGTAAGTACATACCTAGCATGAACCTAGCATGCAATTTCTAGGTGCCATAATATTGTGTACTTACGTCTGGGAGTTTGGTTTGTAGCTGTTCCTCTCTTTTTCTTTCTCCAGTTACACCTGATGCCCTCTTCCTATTCCCACCACACCTATCTCCACCTTCTTCTGCTGCCCTCCCATTTAAACTGTATGCACAAAAATCCAGTCTCCCTCATAATATTATGCAGCTGTTACACCCACAACACTAATAAACACACTGCCTATAAACGGATCAATAAAGATACCCCATTATATCAACACAGCCCTTAATCCAATTTGAGACTGAAGCACAGTTACTTTTATGCAAAGCTGTAGGGCGCCAGTAGTCTGGACTTCTAGGTTATCCAACCAATTCAACATCAAAAACATGCTGCATCCTTCCATCTGCAATATTGTTGTTACACAAACATTTCAGCTTTCAAAGTATACACATGCTTCTCTAATCAATCCACCTGTTGCACACTAGCATTTTATCAGTGGTTTGACATTGCAGTTTTTTGCGGTTGCTGATCAATGCATGCTGTGGTGAAATCTTCTCATTACATACATGTGTTTGCGGTTTGGCTGGGGGACAGGCAAGTCCTCACAGTGGCTGAGACCACAAACAGCTCCCCCCTTCTCCCCGGCTCTCTTCTGGCCCCTGCTGAACGAGGCAATCTCAGCAAGGATCTTATCCCTGCTATCTGTGCCCTTTGACGCCAGTCGCTCGCAGAGATGAGCAAACTGGTTGCTTGTCGAACGCAGTCTGCTAGCTTCACTTCTTGTCAGAACCTCTCTTGCCACCAGATGCTCAATTACTTGTGGCAGACTTGGGTTGAGGCTCCGGAGCTGACTCTTGTACTGGGAAATGAGACTTGCACTACTCATGATGCAGCTATTTTAGAGCCACAGTTTGTACACTTCAGTCACTGATAGCTATCCTTCGTCACTGATTCCTGTCAATGAAACTCTCAGTGTTTCTTGCTCAACGCGTGAAAGTTGCAACTTATTACTGGGATATCCGATTGTTGCAGTTACAACTTGCGTCTACCTGCAGATAATAATAATAATACTCAGGTGGCTGCCATAGCACTAGGGCCATAGACCACGCACCCAGAGCAATGGCGTCTACCTGCAGAAAAACAAAGTATAGCTACGTGACGCATGGCCGTGTAGTGTTCACCTTGGCTTGCAGCAGAAACTACTGGGCTCGTCGGCGCAGATCCTCCAGTGTCGCTCGATCGGCTCCGGCTCCTAGCTGCAAAACTGGCCGGCGGGAATCCCCTCATAAAGCCGGCCGTGGGGCGTGGCTGCGCCTACCAGCTAGCTATACGTAGCTAGCTAGCTAGCTACACGTAGCTAGCTAGCTAGCTACGTCTATATAGCTCGGGTGTCTTGAACGTGCCATTTAGTTTTGTTACACTTCGCTTGCCATACGGGTGGTTGATGTACTTGCGAGCCATGCTGCTGATGCTCTCCCATATGGGAAGCAAACCGCTCTAGCTCGGCCTTCCCGGGGATCATCCCTGACCTGTATAAATCCAACCAGGACATGTTCAATTTGCTGTTGAGGTCCTAGTTATGCTGTATGCCCAACAACCTCAGCGTGCAAGTGTTTAGTCATGTACAGGGCCTACGTACTTACGTCAGCAGAACATATAGGCTTGCTTGGCACATTGAGTAATTGCTAAAAGATTTGAGCTCTCTCTTCATTTCCAGCCTTTTACGGCTAAACCACTGTCTGGTAACAAACAATGATACATTGCTACACTGCATTCTCAGTAAGTGCCTATAGCTTGTGTTCCAATACATTTTGCCTGTATATACCCCTTTGATGCTCTAGTGTGACACTTTTGTCTTGTCAATGCATGAACAACTTCAACAACCAATCAATACTAACATTGCTCCACACACACTGAATGTAAATTTTTTCCACTAGAGAGTAATAAGTCTAATCAGCCAAAAAGTACGCTCAAAATATATTCATGCATAACAGTGCCATAAAACTTCAAACATTTGTCCACCTTAGAAAATGGTAAGTGCTGCGTAAATGTTTACTCAATAAGTGGTTAGATCCTGCTAGATTCAGACCTACCATAAACTGTTAGTGCATAATGGGTGAGGTGTGGGTAGATACATACATCTTGGCTAGTATATTATGTTGTAGTTCCCAGGTTGGTTCTTTTGGTCCTAATTGGAGGGAGTGAGGGCAAATACTGTAGTAACCATGTATAATTATACTTCCAGCCCTTTTGCTGGATCAAGGAACACAGGTGTAAGGGATGTGTCTTCCCCACATGTAGACATACGTATCCTGTTCCTTAGCATTACTTATGGCACACCCTTTTTTATAATGAGCTCAAGGTGGATGTATATACAGATGCACATTGTGTCTATATTATGGAGCCACACAATCATCACATATTACAGTACCCAAGCTATAAACAGGTAGGGGCATTTTACTTTTGATGGAATTCATGCACACTGTTTATAAACAAGGGGAGTATTAATAACAAAAAACGAGTGCTGTTGTGTGGGCTGGTATTACTTTGATTGACGTATGGGTGGTCCATGGTCCATTAGTTGACAGTATATCTTTTCCTGATATTACTATATACCTGGGTGGTCTAGACCCTAACAGTAAAAGTGCAAAGGCTGACAAATGCCACACACAGGGAGTAGAGTGCAGGTGTAACGTTATACTTTTGCATTATTGTCTGCCAGTGAAACAGAAAAAAGCCCCACAATTCCAAGTTTATAGTAAACAATTATCCTTCCAGTGATAGCATTGTGCTAAACCCCTCATAACTTTCCCTAACACAAATCAATGAGGTATACATGCAGTCACACAATGGCACTCTGGCTCAAATATGAAACTCTACTTAACAATGACAAATGCGCCATTCTCTAAATCCTAGGTGTCAGTACATACTAGCTGTCCTCATCATGTTGCAAGGATCAGTTTTCTTTCACATACGGATGTTGCAAAGCAGCAAGAATTGCACCATAGCAACATAGATATTGGTGGTAAAAGCTGGGTCACATGGGCTCTATCTTAGCGCGCGCACGGGCTCCAGTGCACTACTGCGCGTGCGCGTGTGGGATCCAATCTGCGGTTGAAAGCGTCAACAAAAGATTAAAAATGGTGCGTTGTTGTTGCCGCTGTGTGTTTGAGTTGGGTAGACGGGTGTGAGAGCGCTCGTCAGCAGCGCTACTGGAGATATATACTTTCAACTGAGGTGAGGATACTTAGAGCTTTGCGGTGTCAGCAAAAGCCTAAATTATGGTGGTAGAAAGATCGGCGGAGCCCTGGTAACAAAGCTGGTGCGTTTTTTTCCTACCGCGATTCCAGCTGCGTAAGAACCCCAAGCAAGCAATTGTGCGCAGTGTGTGAGATTGATTTGTCCATCCTTTCCCTTGCAGCAGACACAGCATTTTAATACAAAGATACAGGGCAGAGATAGTAGCTACGTAGCTATCGACGTACCATGAGTCGACACAATGTTCACGAGAGTCAGCAAAGAGAGCTGGCCCAGTTGAGAGCTCAGAACCAAGAGGTACGTAGCTAAGTTACATGTAGCAAGTCAAAAGTGAACGTTTGCCCACCTGCAAATCGTTTCAACTAGCCAATACATACAATCTTCACTATACATTGAGTGGCGGAGCCCTAACATTAAACCTGGTCTTTGGGTGGTCGTCTGGCCGCTGTAGAGATTCAGTAGCTAGCCAGGGCTCAAGTAGTGAGTACTGCTGAACCTATCTTGCACAGTGTATAATGCTTGTTTCTCCATTTGGTGCCTATCATTGTGTAGTCTACCAGTAGTAATCACCCCACAGTCTTTGTGTGTTGTACTTTGTTGATGGATCGCTATGGATGTGCATGCATGTTTAACATGCATGCACCCTACTTGTGGAATGGGGGGGGGTGTAATGTTTGTAAGCATGAGCTATACACAGAGTGTCCATTACAGTTACGTTCTTGCTTGGCTGCCAAGAGGAATGTCCAAGTGATATTCCATACTCGCCACTCAGTGGCCTAACAATGTTGTGAAAGGCAGTGATATACCAGGAAAGGTTCCTGCTAAGTCTCAGAGAAAACTCCCACTTGCCATCAATTCCCAATCAATATTTGACCCCCAAATGGACTATTGCTTTGTTAATGCATTATCATACGTCTCGGAAGGCTCTGTCTCACATACATACATACCTAATAAAATGCACGTTTTGCCTAGTTCAAACAACACTTACGGTGTAGTTTCTGGTGTATAATTATTATACCAACTGCAAATGTGTATCAATATAATTATGCGCTAGTGATGCTGGCAACAAAGTGGTATTCGTCATACACGTTTGCTTATCGTAGGCTCCCTTTTAGGATTCGTTTGTCCTTTTGGTTTCAGTGTGTACACACAGACCAACTGGGGATTGATCCGCGCGTGTATATGCTATTGTCCGTTCTGTATCAGTACACAGCAGCACCACCAACAAGCTGTTAACAGAAAATGAGAGAAGGAAGTGTGTGTGTACGTATATAATGTATGTATTGTGGCTATGAGCCAGTGGTTCACCTGCTGTTAGCATATGACCCACCTAACCAAGATATGTGCACTACAAGTACAGCGGCAGTGCTGTGCTGGAGAACTTGCTTTATTAAACCGGCACAAACCCTGTTAGTAGAGCGATGGTTGGCCATTTAAGGCTGACGTGAGAGCAAAAGCGGATGGACAAGGCTTCTCTTGCGGACTTTGAAGGGAATGTGGCAGTATATGAGGGCTAAATTTAGAAATGTTAGAACTCAATCACTGTGCCCCTATTGTTTTGTTCTATCTTTAGTAGCATTTCTAGAGTTAGCCCTTATATTATTATACTGCCACTTTGAAGTGACATTGTAGTACCTACGTGTAGTACCTACGTGTAGTTTACTAGCTAGACAAGTGTATAAGGTGTATTCTGAATGCTGAAACTGCGCCCACCACCACACCTGTCTACGTGTATACCACTGTGAGAGCTAAGTCTTCACTACTACACACTACTATATACACACACACCTCCACTACAACCTTAAGTAGTGCGTCTCAATGGTGGCTGTGTGGGTGGCTTTTCCTGTACACAGTATATAGTAGTAGTCATCTAACACCACGTAGGTGGTAGAAGTACCTAACAATAGCTGGTAGGAACACTTTCGTCAGCATCCATTTGTACAGTGTGCTACGGTGCAGACATGTTTTTTCCCCTAAAGTTCTTCGTCAGCATCCATTTGTACAGTGTGCTACGGCGCAGACGTGTTTTTTCCTAAAGTATTTGACAAAGGTTACGTATGGCTAATTCTTAGATGGGAATTCAGGGCTTTTAAGTGCGATTTTTTTCACGTCATGTATGAAAACACACGCAGATCGATTTTTGGGTTTTACGAGATGCCCACTGACTTTTCTATGCACTGCCTGCAGTATCGCGGCATATAGCAAAGGAAAATACGAGCAAAAGTTCTGCTCCATACATCTTTGATGTTACGTAGATGCCATGCCAAGCTCCATACCCACCGGAGGGATTATTCAGACAATATTATCTATAATACTCCCCCAGTTTTAAATATCCTATGGTACATGTATGTGCCGGGTAGTGGGTAAGCCCTGGGGAATAATTGGGTCCCTAGATCATTTGAGAGGGGAATGTTTTGGAGCGGAACACTATGGTGACTTCACTGTCCTCTGTCCTCTGATTGCATTCTCACAGAATCCTGGCTCTGAAGGAGCTATTGCAATCCCAGTAGCCATTGCTATTGGTACTATAGGATGTGCTGTTGAAAGTGGCACACTCCTGTAACAAAGTTGAATGAGTTTTGCAATGGGGGAATTACGTTGCAATTATCGAGGAAAAGGTGTTGATTTGTATGTACATACACATGTACTGTTGGTCACACTTAGGAATGTTGATTAGTCGCATCTGCGTACGAATGGGTAATACTCAGGAACTCAGTATGTGAAAGTACAGAATCTAAGCACTGAATATTGCACCAGCCAATTGGATGGTTTTGTATAGCCACGTGGATTGATGGCTTGCTATTTGCTATTTGCTAATCTGGCTTATGCAATGGCTATGTGCTCACTGTTTTGTGTCCTCCGTGAACTGTGTACTAATAACATGTGCAGTGACCTGTGCCTACCACATTATTATGAAGGCCATACTTATGCATTCAATATGCACACATACCTTGCCATTTTCCTGTGGTGTGCACCATGTGATAGTTGAGAATCAAAACTGCTGGTGGGAGAGAGGGTCTTATGCAATGACTTGCTCATGATGGCATGCGGAATCACCAGTTATGTAATTTGAATGTGTAAGCTATGTGTAAATGAGGAAGTTGTGAGGAATTGTACATAACTCAACTGGAAGTTAGTAGGATTCTAACTGAGCTTAGGCCACCCCTGCTTGTACTTGACTCTTCATCCCTAAACATGGTCATTGCGTGCTTCCAAAGCATGGCATTCAAGTACAACTGTTAAAGTACGTTCGCGCTGAGAATGCACCTTGAAAATCTAGATAACTTCCGATTCCAGCACCGTATGCGGCCACGCTTGGTATCAAAATGTAGCGCTTTACACTCCGGTTCGTTCAGCGCTTACCTCGTTCAAATCCGCTGCGCAGTTTTTCTGCCACACACGTTACGCATAATCCCATACATTTCTACGGCATACTTTTCCCATACATTTCTACGGGCGAATAGTAGCGCCCTCCTCATTATCTACTTCCGCATGCATTCTCAGCACAAACATACTTTTTAGAAAGGTGAACTGAAATTAAGAAGTAAACAACATGTGTGTTTACGGCTATATATTGCTAGCTAGGCGTGTTTATCTTTGCTAGCTGGCAATACGCACCGCCCCACTGGAATAATTAACATCAGTAGGAAATGTGGCGGAAATAGAAATTCCACTACTACAGGGAAACACACATCATCATAACACTGATCTACAAACACAGCCCCTCCCCACAGGCCGGTAGTCAGTTACATTGATGTACTCATACATTGAGGTTCCCTATTATACCCATACATTGAGGTACGCCATTATACCGATACATTGAGGTACCCCATTATACCAATACATTGAGGTACGCCATTATACCGATACATTGAGGTACCCCATTATACCAATACATTGAGATACCCCATTATACCCATACATTGAGATACCCCATTATACCGATACATTGAGGTACCCCATTATACCAATACATTGAGATACCCCATTATACCCATACATTGAGGTTCCCCATTATATCCATACATTGAGGTTCCCTATGATGCCCATACATTGAGGTTCCCCATTATACCCATACATTGAGGTTCCCCATTATACCCATACATTGAGGTTCCCTATGATACCCATACATTGAGGTTCCCCATTATATCCATACATTGAGGTTCCCTATGATGCCCATACATTGAGGTTCCCCATTATACCCATACATTGAGGTTCCCTATGATACCCATACATTGAGGTTCCCCATTATACCCATACATTGAGGTACCCCATTATACCCATACATTGAGGTACCCCATGATACCCATACATTGAGGTACGCCATTATACCCATACATTGAGGTTCCCCATTATACCCATACATTGAGATACCCCATTATACCCATACATTGAGGTTCCCCATTATATCCATACATTGAGGTTCCCTATGATGCCCATACATTGAGGTTCCCCATTATACCCATACATTGAGGTTCCCCATTATACCCATACATTGAGGTTCCCTATGATACCCATACATTGAGGTTCCCCATTATACCCATACATTGAGTTTCCCAAACATTGAGGTACCCCATTGTACCCCATACATTGAGGTACCCCATTGTACCCCATACATTGAGGTACCCCATTTGGGTTTACAGTAGCTTACAAAGCCCAGGATGCAGAAATGTGCGCATGTCATAAGGGGAATCCCCCTTCAAGCCTAGGACGTGCACAGGGAAGTTTTCGGTCGCCAGGGTGGCCGAATAGTGAGTGGTTTACACAACCGTCCACATAAACATGCACCTGTGGTACATACGGAATGCCCTTTAGAACAGTGTGCTGTAGTTTCTGCCTTTGTTTTATGTCACGGTGTCCCCTTCTATTGGGGGGGGGGTTATATTATTATGTCATTCTTTGCCGTGTCATGGTGATGCTGGCATTATAGGCCTGTATTGTACATGTGATAAAGTATCATATGACATTTTGGGGAATTTGAACTGGAACCATGACCCTTACAGTAGTGTGATCACATGATCACATGACACATGACACATGTTTTGACCTGTCTTGGTGATGTTCATGGTGGTGGGAGTTGTATAAGTACAGGGTAGGGTTCGGGGTGGTTCGACCACACCGAACGCAGTGAGGGGTTATATTTTCGGTGTAGAGCTAGGTTTTCTCCCACCGCCCCACTAGTTCAATGAATCCTATACTAATTCTTTGAATATCGCTAACGTATTTCCCTGGGTCACTCCCTACTTTTCCCCTTCATTCCTCTCCCTCCCTCAACCTCTCTTCCATGGTCATAATTCATGATAAAGTGTTGCACGTTATGTTGTCTTAACCTCTCTTCCTCCTCCTTCACCCTAGTTCTTTCTCGCTCTGTACTTTGTTCATTTCCCTCCCTTCTCGCCCTCCTTACTCCTGTAATGCCCCCCTCTTCTCCCTCGCCCCTATAGTTGATGCACATCAATGATGAATGGGACAAAGAGTACAGGGAGCAGAGAGAGGCGTTCCGCCGCTACCAGGCCGATGCCCAAGCTGCCCAGACTGAGAATCACACTGCCATTGCTCGTCTGAAGAACAACCTGGCGACCGTCGAGGAAGAAAGAGACAGACTCGAAGACGAGTTGGGTCGCTACCAGCGGGAGCTCCACGCTCTGAGGGAGCGGTTGGCCGTGTCTGAGAGTATGAGGATGTGTGGAGGAGGCGGAGAGGTGGTCAAACTCGAGGAAGAGCTCTCTCTACTGAGGCAGCAGGTGTGTGGGTGGGAGAAATAACGATACAACCAACAGTGGGACCTCTCTCTAAAGACACCCCTGAAATGAGGACACCTCTCTAATACAGACAACTTTTCTTTCCACAATAATAGCTATTGTTAACCTAAAATAAGGACACCTCACTTCTGGCCCATTGGTGTCTGGATTATAGTAGTTCCACTGTACCACAATCTTGTAGTTTTTTTCTGACATAATTGTAATTGCTCTTCCTACCAGGTCAAGGCATATGAAGAAGATTTCGAAGCGGAAAAGAGAGAGAAGGAGAGGCTGAGAGACGAGAAGCACTCGGCGGCAGTACGATACGAGGCTGAGAAGACGTCGCTCCAGCTGCAACTAGACCGTTGCCAGGCCGACCTGGCCCACTTCACCGCCGAGGCCAACCGCCTCGCCCAGCAGCTGAAGCTGAAGAACCAGTACGAGGAGGACCGATACAGGGAGCACCTGGAGAATAAGGTGACCTTTTCCCCCTCATAGTTTGCGACACAGTGTCGACGGTACTGTTTAAGTCTGGTTTTTTTACCTGTTTGAAAGAATAAGGGCCTAACTTCCCAAACACAATTTTACCCTCTGTACATGGACCCCTTGGTAATGGACCCCCTTGGTAATGACACCCCTCTCACTAATTTGGACAATTTCTTCTGTCCCATTGGGGTTCCACTGTGTGTGTTTGGAAAACAATGTGAGCTACTACATACATAAGAAAGTGTAATTTTCCAGAAGTGTCCCTTACTCGGAGGTTATAATGAAACTATGGTAAATCAATGTTCAAATTAGTGACGTTTTCTTATCTTGTTGAAGTTTCATTATGTATACTTTCCTGCTTCCCCGTATGACGTTTATAATTACAGGGGTTTGTTTCGCGGTCTCCTGGGAGTGGTCTACCTCCTCTCGATCCGTATGTGGAGATTGATCAGAAGAACATCCTCCTTCCGCCTCACCGAGCTGCCAGCAACGGACTCGCAAGCCGATCAAGGAATACCGTGCAAAACGGGACTCTTCACAATGGGCACCCCCAACTGGTGACCAACTTTGCCAAACTGTCAGTCGGAAATGAATACGTCGTCCCCACAGCCAGACTAAGCAATGGTGGTTGGTTGCCTCCGGTGCATAGCAACGGTCCTCGAAGACAAGGTGCCAATGTCTGTCGTCTTGTGGCCCGTGGAGTGGAGAAGGATGTGGTGTCAATCAAGAACAACTCTGACGGACTCAGCAGCAGTGACAGCAGTTCCTCGGTGGACGACAGCGATGGACTCGAAGAATGCGTCCCTGACCTTTCTCCCCCTCCTCCACCGCTCGCCAGCAAAGGTCGCCACGCCTGCCCACACTGCGCCAGACGCTTCCAAGACAAGAAGACCTTCCAACAGCACAGGGACAAATGTCTTGCATAACTATACTAAAGTAGGACCCCCAAGTGTGATGCATTTGTACATAATTTTGTTTTTTGCAAACCTTCTTCTTTATACCCTCCACTGAAGGAGAGTCGAGTAGCCTATGGGGGGTAGGCGTGCAGTTCTTTGCGCGCATGCGCATAGCGTTGCCGTACGTTTACGTGACGTAATTGTTGTTCGCGTGAATAGGGGGAAAGCCGGGGACAGGTGTCGGGAACCCCATAGTGCAGCTACCCACATGAAGTATACACCTGGAGTTTAGACAGAACAGTGCGGCAGTACTCCCAATAACATCACAAACTAGAACTGCTACGTTTCGAGATCCAACATCCATAGCAGCACGTCGATCGTCCGGGAGAAAGTAGCTATTCTCTAGTCTGAACACCCGGCCATATAAGATCTGTTGCTGTCCTGTCCTTCCCCGGAGCCCCGTTTCCCCCATCATGGCTCAACCTCAACCTTACCCTGGGCAACAACCGCCGGTCACCTCCGTACCTGGGCCGGGGAAGAAGTAAGTGCACTGCAAGTCAGTAGCATGAAGCGTTGCAGCGCGATATAGCGTATGCCCGGTAACAGTCAAGGGTTATATAACACCGAATCCTTCCTTCACCTATAGGTTGTAGGTACTATATATGTAGTGTAAGAGTTTTAGCTGGGGATTATTAATCGGTAGACTTTCACATTTTGAGTTTGTCCAGCTTTGTTTTTTTTGCTTCGTGCACGCGCACCAAACAAACAAACAATAGCGGGAAGACGAGCTACCTTCCTCCTGACGTGCTTCGTCCCCATCATCAGCAGCAACATGCAGCCCACAATCACTACATTAAGGTATATACATACATAACCTAATAATATTATAGCTGCACTATTGGCGGGACTTTCAAAGGAAAATAGAAAATAGTGTTTCACTGACGGGTGTCTGCTTACAAGATATTTTGCAGATGACAAAAAGTTTTTTATTTCTCACTATATAGGCTGCTCATCTACTATTATGAATTTTCATTTAGGATATGGGTCAGGGTAATATTGAAATCCCCTCAGGTGTACCATTACATCATCAAGTGAGCCAACTTACTCAAAAAATTGTTTCATTTTTCGAACAGGATCCTACCCATGGGCAGGTGCGCGATGATGCCCCTCCCCCTCTCCCGCCTAAACCGGGCCCCAAACCCCTCCAGAGACCCGCGGCAGTGGGGACCCAATTTTCACATCAGGGACCCCCAAGGGGGAACCCCCTGAACACTCATTCGTCTGGTGGCATCCCTCCACAACATCAACAGCCGCCATTTCCCTCACGACACCGTTTTGACCCTCCACCTCATGGAGTGAGTGAGGCCCTATAAAATTATTACTAGAACGAGCATTTTTTGTCGAGCAAAGTGACCTTCAATGTTGGTCTGCCGGACGGTTACGTTTATAGAGAAATCACCCGTTCATAAACAAGGGTTTGCTTTTTTCTGGGGGGTCAGTACGACAGAAGTTGCTGGATTCAGTTTTACACACATCACCATATGCAGCAATGTTTTCTTTTTCACTGTTTTCCGTGGCATTGCCAACTGTGCCAGCAGTAGCTTTTTGTACACGTGCGACTATAAAGAGCTTAGCGGTCAATTTGAAGAAAAATGCAGTGGATTTGCCTTTTTCAGTACATAGAAAAGTAGTACATGTGGTCTGGTTAGGGAGAATGTGGGGGGGCTCAACTGTAGCATATTGTTCTTCCATGTTCTAGGCAGCAGCATCGGTGGTGGGCAATGACGAACCTCAGTATGTCCACATGATGAGCAAGGAGGTAAATATACAAGTTAAGTAGCTGTAGAAGCTCTATGTTCTATAATAGTGCTTTTACACTTCCATTACTTAGCCGTTGAAGCTATATTATGTGCTATATAATGCTTATACACTGACATTACTTATGCCAGTGAGTGGTTTGGGATGTGTGTGTGTGTCTGTGTGTATTGCTGTAGGAGCAGGAGTTGGTTCGCCAACGAGCAAGAGCCAGTGACGCTGAATCAAACATAAGAGAGGTAATTGATTGGATCAGGTCCAACTCTTCAGTCTTCCGTACCGCATTATTTACAAGCCTCAGATCTTCAGACCTTTCTTCCCCCTAAAACATGGGAGGGGGACTTTAGAGTAGCTGTGTGCTCTGGAAAGTAATTGTATGGAGTGTTGTTGGAAAGTGGTCTGTGGATGAGAGATTCTTCTGTCCTCACCTTCTCCTACCTCCCTCCATACCCTGTACCTCACCTTTTCCTCTCTCTCTCTCTCCCCCTTCCTCCCCCCTCCCTCACCCTCCAAAGAGAGAGCTAGAGTTGTCCCAATGCCACACTGAGATCGCAAAGACCAGACAGTGTGTCCGCGACAAGAAGGAGGAGGTTAAGGCAAAGGAGCAGGAAATCACTCAACTGCGGGCGGAATTGGATCGCCTTCGTCAGGCAGCAATTGGTCGAGCCCAGCCTCTGGTATGCCTCAATTATTAGTACAATGGAACCAGTTATAATGGCCACACTGAATAAATAGATGTTTCAACCCCTTACACTATACCATGTTGTCTAACCTCAAAATAAAACTTAAAGAACACTGTCACTGAAAAGTGAAACCTTGGCATAAGGGGAGGAAATTGAAAGTGTCCTTTATTCAAGGGCAATTTTATGGGGCAGTGCCATTTATAGAGAGGTGTCTTTATTCAATGGGCCCTTTTTTGAAAGGGGCAGAACCAAGTGTCCTTTATAGTGAGGTGTTTATTCAGAGGCATCCATAAGATTAGTATGGGGCAGAACCAACCACAGTGTCCCTCATGGACAGGTGTGCTTTATTTGGAGGGTCCTTACTTCCCCACGCTCCTCCCATCTCTCATCTACTGTAGGTGGCGGGAAATGAAGCGGCGCTGCAGGCAGAGGTACAGCAGTACAGGAGGGTAGTTCAGGACCTTCGAGGTGAAATGGAGCAGTTGAGAGGACGGCAGAATGTAGCCACACCCCCTCCCTCCACTGACATGCAGGAACTAATTAGACTCAGAGGAGAGGTATACATATACGTACACTGGAACCTCTGACACCTTGGGGACATTGGGGACATCAAAAGTGTTCTTTATTCCTATGTAAGTGTCCCTTATTTGGGGAGTGTGGCAGAACCAAGTGTTCCCAATAGCGAGGGTCATTATTTATCCTCTTTTGGGGTTTTATGCATCATGCAAGCAGTGGAACCTCTGCTGTCTTTAGTCTTTAGGAGGAGTGTCCTTTATTTGCTAAGAGATTTCATTGCATATCATCAGCTACACTGTGTGTGGCATGTCTGTATAGGTCCAGTGGCACCACGGAGAGCGGCAGAGGATGCTACAGGAGATTGGTGTTCTCAAATCCTCCGAACAGGTCCTCATTGCACAGGTACTGTGACACTGTGGAGATCAACAAGTGTCTTTATAGGGAGGGGTCGACCTAATAACTGAATGAAGCTTAGGCTGGGACCATCAAAGTTGTCCTTTCGACAGAGGTGGAATATTATTGGGTCAAATAAGTGTCCAATATAAAGCGGTGTCGGAGCGCCTATTGTCATTGTATACTTACAGTATTGGCTTAAAACTGAGGAGTGTCCTTTATTTGAATGTTCATTCTGAGAGGTTTCATTGCAGCTACTAATATATAGTAGACCTGATAAGGTGTGCTTTATTAAACTGTCCATTATAATCCGGACACCAATGGGACAGAAGAAAGTGTCCATATTAGAGAGGTGTCCTTATTTCAGGGGTTGCAAAAACTGTTCTTGGGGAAAGAAAAGGTGTCCTTATTAGAAAGGTGTCCTTAGAGAGGGGTTCCACTGTACTGCCTCAGCATTGGTTGTCTACGAGACAAGCTCCACCCACTCTACTGATATGGACATGTACATCTGTACATATTATTGGTGCAGGTGAGGACGTACCAGGAGGATTTTGAGAGTGAGAGACAGGACAGGGAGAGAGCCCATGCCACCATTGACGAAATGAGGGAGGAGATTGCCAACCTCAACCATATCATCACCATGCTTGTGAGTCATCATTGGTCATCTGCCGACACTCTAGGATAGTTCAGTGTACAACCTGGGGCTAAAAACCCTTTGGATGCCATGTGTATCACCTTAAATAAGCAGAAATTGATGTACAATGTATTAACGCCTAGAATTATAGACATAATATATAAATTCTTATGGACTTATGGAGGCTCTGGGCATATATAATATATATAATATGCCCATGGCTGGCTAAAGGTTTAACCATGTCCAAGAATGACGTGCTGCAAATAATCAACAAGGTTTGGGAGGTATATAGAATGATCTATAGTCGTTGTTAGTGGTGCCTAAAGTCCATGTTAAGCCACTATCAACACAACAGTAGACATGACAGGCAGCTTATAGGCCTTCTATTATAATCTTCTCTCTGTCTCTTTCAGGGTGGACAGGAGCAACAACAGCAAAACTTCAATCCTCCTTAGAAACAATTTTATTTTTCTGGCTCTTATAGCAGTATATACAACACAGTGCTCATTTGCGACATTCATAATTCATTTTAGTTTTTGTCTTTATTTACCCTCGGCGCGCATGCGCAGCGAGGGTACGGTTGGGTCTCTGTGTTACTCTACATACATCTCACTTCTCGAGTGTTTGTTCGTCTCACAAAGGATATGACCTACTTAACGGGCAATGAAGGTCAGAAATTTCGAACGGTTTTCTCTGAACCTGCTCCGTTGCAAAGCTAGAGCGCGAAAAAGCCAATTCGCAACGGACGAGATGGCTTACCACGGTCTGATCTATCCGCGTGCTCTGCGTACCTCGGAGGCACAAGAAGATGCAACGCAGGGCGTGTATCGCCTCTCGGATGCTATCTAGTAGTGTCCCGCGTCAGACTGCGCGAGCTGGCAAGCTATAGCTAGCTAGCTAAACCCAGCCCATCAATTAGTGGTACCGCGCATGCGTTTACTTACGCGTGCGCGTAACAATGCGCGCGCAAAGGGTTTGCACTTCAAAGCTTTTCATTTTTTCCGGCACGATAAAAAAAAATGCACCAAAGAGTATTATACGAAACTGTGTGGTTGTGATCTGATCTCCTCTCCTATATATTCCTGGTAGATTGGGACTATATAATTATAGAGAGCTGTTGCCCCTTTCTGGAGTCCGTTATTTTATTGATAATAATATGTACAAAGAGCATAAAAGTATTATACACAAGAGTGTAAGAGATTAAAGAACACGGAAAAGCTACGCATAATGTGGTGCCACAGACATGACAGCTGGAGGCTCAGTTAGGAGAGTGTGTGTGTGCTGATCTGGCATGTACTGCAGAAGGGTGAAGACTGGCTCAGGTATAGGCGCCATGGGTTTCTTCTCCCCTCCACAATACATGACAGCCCTACACACACACACATCGCAGCGACCCATTGTCGATAGGTAGTCCTCAGATGATGGTCAAGTTCACATTAAAACAGTGCTCTTTGGTCTTGGACTCCTGAGTGTTATCGTACAACATACAGAGATCATGCCTAAACTTTTCGTACTTTTAGCAAGCTAGTGGAGAGAAAGACAGGAAAAATAACCATTCCTGAATACCTTACTATAACTGGAGGGTGCAGTGGCCTAAACCTTTCAGCAAAGTAGTGGAGGTAAAGGACAGGAAAACTCAATGCCTGAGTATTGCTGGAGAGTGTCAGTACAAAACATACCTACCCCACATCTTTCTTCTTACCCTGCGATTGACCTTCGACGATGTGAGATAAAGTGGAGCACAGCCACAACAAGGTAGTACCACTCAATACATGATGATGGGGCCAGCCAGCGTGGGCCCTGGCATGTACTGCGGAAAGGTGAGGTGTGCCTTTATAAGGCAGCATCTGCCCCCTCTCCCCTCCACAATACATGACAGCACACCACTCTGGGCGTCTTTGGAGGGAGTGGCCAAGATGTCTGACTGACTGTACTAGCCCAGAAGTATATTCATTAGTTTCCTCTGGAGAGAGAGAATAACAAGATGTTTCGATATCTGTGAGCGAGTGTTAGAGAGAGAGAGAGAGAGAGGGAGAGAGTGAGAGGAAGGGAAAGAGAAGTGGGCAATCATAAAGTCATCAGTTAACATGATGGAAATCTGTAATTAAATACGTGATGATTTCTGAGAAATGGTGCCGAATATGAAATGCACGTATCAATGATCTAATTAGTGTGCGTGTGTACGTTGAACGGCATGGCTATATATGACTTTGTAAACTAGGGGATAGCCAATAATCATAATACATGCGGATAAGGTATATATAGTCAATTGATATACAGCAGAAAGTATGGAGACAGAGAACATTATTGTATTGCGTCTATATTACACAGGTATCCTTTATGCATATACTTAAGTACATGCATTGCAATCTGCATGAATGAGTTCACTCTATAAGGACAAAGTTCGTGCCAGCATGTCCTAAACGTTTAGAGGTTCGGCTAAATATCAACTCACAAACTGACACTGGCCACATAAAGTTCAGCTTTGCTCGGCGGATAATCATCATCGCCACGACGATCGAGGGGCAGTACAGGAGGCCCTGGCATGTACTGCGGAAGGGCGAGGGTGTGCTATAAATAGAACACTTGTGCCCCTCTCCCCTCCACAATACATGACAGTTCCACCCAACTGCTCAGCAGCTTTCTTCGAGATGAGTGTGCAGATGGAACCTCTTATAATGAACACAGAACACACACAAAAAAACAGAGGTCAGAGGTTAAACAGTGTTCAGGTTCTACCTTCAGGATAATAATAAGTGGGTGAGTCTCTGGCGTTCCAATATTTTCCAATTTGGTTATTGTACTACATGCCTTTTAGCAGCCTGGCATACGCTCTCGAATTCATTCAATCTTGCCAAAGGCAGTTTACACAATAATTATTACAAAAACCTTGTAACAGCTGACCGAGGTGAGATTAAAGGCTGGTGGTTGATTAATCGTGTTTGGGATGTCTGGGAAATATCCACGATATCAGACTAGCTACAGTAGCACACACTCTGGTGCTTTTGATGTCCAGTGGAATTTATGCTCCACAAGACCAGGGATCCTTTAAAGCCGATTGGAACTTCTGAAACACCACGAAAAGTGTCCATTTTCAGTGGTTAAATAGATTATAGTACTAGTCTTTATAGGGAGTTGTCCTTTACTCTTTATCTTATCTCTTTTTATAACAGTGTCACATTATAGCTTCTGTGTGTTTGTCTTGGATTCATCAATACCATACAACACAGATGGCAAGGTAAGGGTTGCATCATCTTACGTAAGAGCTGGTAGAAAATACCATGTGATGCACGGGCATTTTCGGCAGCACATATCCTCATATGGACATGCGGTAGGAAAGCTATGTTGGCACGAGGAAGAGATGAACTTTCATGACAAAATTCATAACACCTGCCAATACTCCCTCATTTCGGTTGGACCTGCAAACTGAACCGTTCGTCTACAAAACGGTGAAAGCGAGGGGATAAATCCCCCATATTGGGTCGTACATAGTAAAACTATGGGGGCAAAGGACACGCTGGGGAGTTACGAGCTTTATATAAGTGCACCTTGTGAACTATAAAGGGCCGCGACACTGGGCTAGGTTGTAAGTTGGACACCAGTGTGGTAAGGCGGGCACCTCCGTTAATTCACGCACCAGCTGTCGGCAGATTACGTAACCCACCAGCTGCTAATGTTAGAAGATCATCCGTATCAAAATACACGGCCCCTGTCCCGATGGGGGATTATGGATGGTGGAGTTACCGAGAAATTTAAGTGGAACCTCCTATAATGAATAAAGGACACCCTCGTATGTTGCATCATATTATATAAACCTATGGATAAAGGTACACGGTCCCAGGGTGTCAGAGGTATAATATCTAGTATAATATACACCTTACAGCTCGTTGGTATGTGTCTCCAAAGAGCCTTGTTACTCCATCTTCGCCATAGCCAAGTCTGTAAGGCAGTACGGAACATATATCACATCTTGGTCCCACATTCTAAAGCCAAGTCCTTCGGTCTCAGTCGACGATGTAAAACCAGCTTCTCGTATAGCCTTATTTGGGTATGGTGGGTAGGGCGTGCCCGCCTAATGGATGATGTAATCCTTGTGTAATGTAAAATGGGGCGTTTGTTTGGGAGTGAGGGGGTGGACTTGACAAGCAACTGCCAAAATCGTACTTGTAAATATCGCAGTGGAATCCTTGCTACCCTTCTGAATTCAAACAAGAACGTATGCTTACACGCACACACACACATACAACAACAGTCATAAGGGATATGTACTGGAATAGATACTAAGGCTGGGAATAACCTACATACATGTATATACAGTGGTGCTGTTTAAGCAAACAAGTGTCCTTTTTAGAGAGTATGTGTGTACTAAATGACAATATACAGTGGAACAATAAAAACTCACTTTCCCTCCTTTGTGATGTGGAAGCTGTAGTCCAACCTCTTCTGTCAGTCACCGAGTCATTGGTGGTTGCCATGGGCTGCAGCCCTGGCATGTACTGCGGAAGGGTGAGGAGGTGGGCTCTAAATAGAGCTCAATTGAACCCTCTCCCCTCCACAATACATGACAGTTTCTGACAGCCAACCAAATCCCACTTCAGCAAAAAGTCCAACACCTTTAGTATGTAAAAAATATTGCAATGAGCATCACTTTCTGAGGATGCTATAAACGATATGAGGTTAATGTCCAGGCTGCCTAGCAAGAATTCTAATTGATGCACACTTGTTTTTTAATTGCGTGTGTGGGTTTATTTCTACATAATCAACGCAGAGACCTGCCAAACAGAGTCAATATGTCACATATTGCCCACCATATTGCAGCCAATTAGCTACGCAGACAACATGGGGGGGCCAAGTTTCAGAGATGCGATATTGCTAAACTTCGCCATATATGTACCAATGGAACTACAGTAGAACCTTGGACTGAAACATTATTGCGTCATCAATTCTTAGGTCAACATAGAGCACAAAGTGTCCTCTATAATATAAGGAGAGGTGCTGTTTATTCATAGTGTCTATTATATAAGAGGCTCCAACATATATCATATCACTTGTTAACACCAATCTAATGGCTCGATAAAAATGCCTGTTTAGGTGGCTAAATTGGAATACAAAAGATTCCAAACATACCTTTGAACGAGACAGCTTTCTTACTAAAATGGGTAGAAATCGATGACAAGACATTTAGTAAATGTGTAATACACAGTTTAAATCCTGCCCAGCTGTACGTAAAACTGGACTACAATGGCCACACATATTGACACATTATACTTGATCACACAAGAGGCCTGATGATTATATGCTGTATCATGCCACCATGTATGGATGTACAGCTGTAGTGGTACTCTCAAAGACAGAATCTTGCTGTGCCACAAAAGCACCTCACTATAGCTTCACAAACAGCCTTTATTAGCCCACATGCATCAGCCCATACATCGACCTTAAGTGTACGCATGTATACACATGTATGAACTATATAAATCACCTAGAAGCCTATAGAGCGGCCTCGTGTATACCCTACCCTTAAGATTCAAGGTACATAGG